AACTTGGCGAAGTTTCAGAATCTGAGCCAGCTTCAAGGGGGACAGATGGTAGTGGACTAGGTTGTCGATCTGCTGGTTCATTAAAGGTACCACCTCCAGAGTCTTGGTTGTTTTTAGGATTAAAAGAAAGGCCATGCCTTGCTTTAAACCGGTCCAGCCATCCAACGCTACACGAAAACTCAGGATGTCCTAGTTCTTGAGCCAATGTGACACCCATCCCTTGGAGAACAGGACCCGTAATTGGTATATTAGCTGCCCTGGCATACCTAAACCAAGTCAGAAGGGCTTCTTCGACATCAGGGTATGCTGCTGTACGCATTCGTCTCCGTCCAGCAGCATATCTTTGAGATTTGAATTGTGTCATTATTCTATCTTTGTTTTTCATTATAGTTGAAAGCGTTGAAGGTCTTAAGCCCCACTCTCTAGCAATATCTGCTTTCTTTTTAGCGCCCCTTGCCTCGACCTGTTCTATTAATTTAGCTTTGTTTGCTATGGTCAGTTCTTGTCGATCTCGTTTTGCTCTAGGACTTCCAATTCCAGGAATACCCATCCCAAATGGAAGACCAAAATTTTTCATTAACTCAAAGGGAAATGGGAGACCTGAAGGTTTCGCCACTTCCGTGGACGATGGGACGGTCTCTCCACTAACTGTATTAGACTGCTGGCTGTCGCTTCTCCCTCCCTCACTTGACTGTGAATCATCTTTTTCACCAGGTGGAGCACCACCTTTGGTCATTTTGGATAACTGAGCAAGGTATTTTGCCATTTCAAAAGGTGGAGGATCACCTTTAGTTTCTTCGGTCTGGTTGTCATTACTCTCATCTGTATCCATTTCCTCAGACTTCCCACTGGACTGTGCATCTCTGCTGGATGATCGACTTGCACTTCCTGACTTCCCTGAAGATCTTGTAGTGCCATTTTCTTTACCAACAGAAAGTGTGGCTCCCTTTCCTTTTCTCGATCTCTCTGAGTATGGTCCCGACTTTCTTGTTTTTTCAGATTTAGATGTATTAGCTTTGGCCATTTCAAGTTGTTTCGCATACATCTTGGCAATCTCTGAAGGTTTGGCAGAATTCTTCATCATTTCTAATTGCTGAGCATAAAGTTTTAGTATCTCGGACGGCGGTGCAGCAGCTTTGGCATTTTCTATTTTTTCTGCTTGTTGTTTTGCCTTTTCTGCCTGTTCTGCCTCGTACTTTGCTTTTTCTGCCTGTTCTGCCTCCTGCCGTGCCTTTTCCACTTTCTGAGCTTGCATTTTGGCCTGTATTGCATTCTGGGCAGCCCGTTTAGCCACCTCTAGCTGCTGAGCATAACCCTTCGCAAAGTCAAAGGGATGACTAATTCCCTTCTGAGCTCCGCTTTTGGTCTTAACTGTGGATTGTGGGGCTGTTTTGGGCATTTCCAGTGGAATTTCAAGTTCCTGTTGTGTATCGGACATGTGGTGTGTAACGTCAGCCTTTGCAGGGCCAGCAGCTTGAGAGTCTGGGCACTGCTGGTAGGTCTTGACATAGTCGAAGGGGTGGCACACATCCATGCTACCCCGAGCCATGTCAATAGTTGGTGCCACACTTCTCGCCATCTCGTAGGGTTGTGTTCGTGGCATCTCATAAGGCGTGTGGCTGTCTCTTGTCATCTCGTAGCCCTGAGGTCCTCTTGGCATTTCGTATGTTGTATTGCTTCTTGCTATTTCAAATGGTTGACCGATACTTCTGGACATATCGTACTGTTGTGCAACACCTCTAGGCATATCAAATGAGTGGTGAAGTCCTCTTGACATGTCAAATGACTGTGGAATAGTTCTGGGCATGTCGTATGGTGGAGCTACATTTCTGGGCATTTCAAACGTGTGCCCGACACCTCTTGCCATTTCATATGGCTGGTGTGGGCCCTTGTTCACGTCAAAGGTTTGGTATGCCCCCCGAATCATATCTGATGACTGAGAAACATATCTCGTCATATCAAAAGAAGGATGGTCACTCCTCGAGATTTCAAATTGTTGTGTCACACCCCTGGCCATTTCACAAGGCTGAGCATCACTCTTCACCATTTCTCCTGCTGTATTGGACATTATGAACTGTTGCAATACAATTATTTTGTTTTAAATTAGCAAAAATATAACTGGTATAAATTTTGGTATCAACTATAAAATGTCATTGTCATAATAATGCATCGGCACTATGTTTTCACAAGACAGCAGTAATCACACCAAACTAATTGTTAATTACAGATATATATATGTTATAGTTTGTACTAACGAGGTTGGGGGTAGTGTGAGCCCACGGGTCGTCACAAGCCTACTGCTTGAGTCCTCCCGCATCTGACACACGCTGACAGTTCGCTCACTGACACTAACTGTCCTCCGCCAGATACACTCGCAACACTTGAACACATCAATGCTTCGTGATGTGACCTGAGGGGGTAGAGCGAGTTCACTCAACACACGAGCCTCGTAGCGACGTCAACACGGCCCCGCAACACTCGCAAGCTTTGTACCGTGTAAACGCGACCCAACACTCTCCAGTGTCGCCACCCTCACGCACCACCCCTCCTCTTCCCCCTACACTCTTATTATCTCAATTTTATCTCGCTTATCCTCAAAGTCCCGTGTCCGTACACGCATAATTTCATATATATGCGTGAACTATAATATACAACTATTTATTAATATTTAATTATGACATAGGTAATTCATATGTTGCGTCTGACTAATAAGGTAAACAAGGCGGAGAGGAGGAGAGTGGAGTTGGCAACAGTGCGTGTATGGGGGTGGGTGGGGGGGGGGGAGGAGGGGAAGGGTTGCCGGGGGCCGCCACGCCCGGGACTCTCCGCCTCCACCTGGGATCGATTTTATAGGCTTTAAACTTCGCGTTGACCAGCGGAAGTATGGAGCATTTATTATTAATAGGAGTGTTATATATGGTATACTCGGTCTAATCTAACGGTCACGATCAAATGCACCGGTAACTGTTTTTGTAGGATACAGCAGGGGTTAGTAGGGATATCATAGGGGGTGGTAAAGGGGAGGAATGGGCGGATTAAGGCCCGAATTAAGCGCATTAACGAGGTAGAGGAGAGGGGGACCTCGATTATAAATACTTTGAAGTTTCCGCAATTATATTTTAGAGACTTAAAGCTTCTTTCATCATCTTTAAAAACGTTATTTCTCTTAAATTAATAATAAATGCTGTGAAAATCTTGACAACGTCTGCAACAGATAAAGTACTAATATAGCTCAACCTCGTTTATTTGAACGTCGATTGGAGGCTTAAAATGTGTACGAATAAACCGAGTTCACATAATTTGTTAATACAGCTTATCACAATTATCATACAAGACTAACGTTATATACCATGCACTAGCATTATTTCATTTACTAGGATGATCAAAGTAGTTATAACATTATGCAGAACAAACGCAATAGTAATTATATTTTATCATAGTTTTCAGCACTGTCTTATAAAGTTTAGCTGCGTACAAAGCCCTTTTACGCGAAAAATCTTGTGACTGCTCCATATAAGCGGCTGGGCGTGTTCTCCACTCTGTAATATGTTACACCTTGGATCATGATGGTGTTGTCTGTAACTATACTTTACATAATATTTAGGGTCTCAGTACAACTCGTCCTCACGCCAGGCTCGTTAAAGCTGCGGGCGTCCTCCAAAGACGCATTCATCAATTTTAACGTATTATGTATTAAAAAATAGGTGATTATTGGGAACCTTTAGGTAGTTACAATAGAATTTCTTGTGGAATAGTTTGGGGATAAATCAAGTAGCTGGCACATTAGAGATAACATGGTTTACTACACCATTCATTGTAGCTTCGTACTTTTCTTCGACAGTTCTTGATATTGCTACCTGCTTTAATCAAAATAAAATGGACTAATACATTTGTATTTTTTAAGAACTCTAGATACTGTATGTGGAAACACAATTACTGCATAGCCTTTCTAGCTTGGAGACTTCTTTGGATAATTACTTACTCCCATGATTTTGCATACTTTACCTCATGTGCCTCCACACTATTCTGTTAAAAGTTACAAGAAGTATTTCAAAGTTCAGAAATTGTAAACAAATTGTTATATGTGTATTGAGGCTGAATAGTAAAGTAGTTTCAGACTGATGAAGTTGGGAAGGGTGAAAACCAGCTGTCACAGAATATGTCGGAGTAAGGCTGTGAAACAGGCGGGAAGTGTGTTGCAGCTTAAAATGACCCTGGCAACTTCTCCCAGAATCAGTATTTAGAGGAGTGACTTGCTGATATCCGTATCTATTAGGTTTGAAGTGATCTGCCACATACAATATTCCGGCCCTCACTGAACATCACTTTCTCTTTAGTACTGGGTACAGGGATATTGCCCTGTGCACTGTGCCCAAAGCTAACTTCCAGTAAGAGCTCATAAATGGCTGCCAAATAGGCAGCACGGGCTAATCATGAACCAGTGGGTTGCTAATTACCCTGAGCTGAGCTGCCAGAATCACGTAAACGGTCTCCAACCTGGTCCACATTCACTCTGCCTCTAACTACAGCATAAAAATTTTCTTTCTTCCTCCATTAATAGACTGCAGCATCAACAGCCACCACTGTGGTGGTAAGTGGTGAAAAATAAAAGTGGTTCACACACAGTAAACAACCGTGTGCCTTGTTTTCCCTCATTTCTTTCAAGCAGTTCACCGTTTTGTTTGGTCTAAGTTTCTAAGTAGTTTTTCCGCAGTTCCAGATCAGTCTTCGATTCAAGAGCGATAATGGCCATGGCCATGCCCGTTTGAAAGCCAGATTCTGCATGGTCTTGGCTCTTGGTAAGTTGGTTGAAGTTTCAAAGCCTGATATGATCCTAATCCTTAGTTGAACTCATGCATAAGCAATGGGTGACTATTATTAAGGAGGCTTTCCTAGAAATACTGTACTGGCTGATCATCTGAAAGCCTCTGCTATACACAGTCAACAAATTGTTCAATAAGGTGCCTCAATATTCTTTTCATGGTAAGAATACAATACAATTACAGTATGTACTTTTATATTTTTAAACTTTTACCAAATTTATTTATAAACACTTACAGAACAGATCCTAATTATATAAATCTATTTATCCTATTTCCTTATCCACAAAACTCATAAATTTGCACTGGTGTATATAAACTATTAAAAATATCTGTACAGAATATATTTGTGTTGATGTATAGGAAATGTGCATATATTGTACAAATAAAATGCGCATTCTGCTACACAAATGTATAGTACATGTGTATCTTATGCAGCCTACAACTGTAGTGTATTTATAAAATGCAAATGCTTACATACAGGCATGCTTACATTTACTGTTGCAATACATCCCCCATTTTGACAACAAATTAAAAAAAACTACAACAGACTAAAAAATTAAATATGCATTGTACATTGTATTGTAGTTTTCCAGTAAGATTCGCCAGTTTGATTATTGGAGAATTTTTAAATGCCAAAAATAAATATTTATAAAGGGTGCCTCACATATTTGCAAGTTGGCATGGTTATTTAACACAATTCACTTGAATGAGTTAAAAACACTGTACACGAGAAGCAATATAGTGTACTCACCTATCGACTTGAAAATGGTCCAGGACGGACCGAAACGTCGTCGTTCCTTCACCTTCTAGTGTGTGGTGTGGTCTGGTCAACGTACTCACCTAGTTGTGCTTGCACGGGGGAGGGGGCTCTTTGGTCTCTCCTTTCGACTGTCATCAGTTGGTGTACAATTAATAGGTATATAATGCCATGCACGAGTGTACTCAATTTCTCTTACGGGCTATTCATCGTGCCACCTCTTGGGGGTGACTTAATCTTCATCAATTAATCTGTACTCGACTAGTTGTGCTTGCGGAGGTTGAGCTTCAGCTCTTTGGTCCTGCCTAGCAACTGGTGGATTCCTGAGCCTATTGGGGTCTATCATATCTACATTTGAAACTTTGTGTAGTCTTTTTCTCCACTACATCACTGCATAATGCATTCCATTTGTTAACTACTCCTGACCATCTGCATGAGCAAATTCATGTATTGTTACCCCTGGAAGCCTACAAGACAATAACGATTTCTCCCTCTAACTGTACAGCAGTAGGTTTCAAGGCAATGATGCATAAATAATGCAGATAACATTATACATTTGTAATGGTACTGTTTTCTCAGACATAACATAGAATAAAAACTCACTTGTGTTTGTGAAATTTAAGGAATTTACACCAAAGTAAGTAATTATCAAAAGGCACCAAACCGGGAAGCCTATGTAGCACTATCCAATGTGTGGAATAATCAGAGGGCGCTAAATATCACCAAGGATGCCAATACGAGAACAGAAATGCATAAGACGAACGATATCAAAAGTATCCGATTCACCAAGAAGTCTATCGAGGGATAGAATTAATTACAGTTCTTTAATTACATAAATTTCACAAATACACAAGTGTGGGTTTTTATCCTACATCATACATTGTTGGAAATTGCTCAGGTTTTCTTTATTGAGTATTGTATACTTGTGACCAAGAAGTAGAATTCTGTATATGGAATACGGGTTTAAATGAAATGGGTAAAGGAATCAAATGCAGCATGTTGAAGTGGCTGAAGCACAATAAAAGGTGGTGGTATGAATTAATAGAATGCCTGTGGATTGTCAAAAAAAAAGTAGTTTACACAGGTGTAATAAGGGGATCATGTGATACAAGCAGATCAGTATCTTTTGCAACAGAAAGTATCAATAAATGAAAGTGGGGAGGTCTGAGCTTAAAATGAGTGAAAGGTTTGTTTGATAATAGTCTCCTGGAGAACCTTCTGCTGTGGCCACCCAACAATGGGGAGCTTCCAGGAGGAAGCAAGGCATCTGGGTTATAGATAGGTATAGATATAGATAAATAGATGTGCATTTACTCATATTTTTTCAAGATAGGAGTCCAGACAATATTTTTTTTTTTAGAATGTCTTTGGGATGCATTCATATTTTCTTATACAACTCAAAATTTGATATAGCACTGTACAGTATTGGCAAATTTTAAATTTGTTGTTTTCAAGGAGCTAATTCCTTGCAAATATAAAGGAACTGCAGTATTAAAAATGAAGGATAATCCACATCTTTCATATGTAGATTGATGTACAGTATAATTATTAGCTATGTTTGCTAACCTTGAATAATTTAATTTGTTCTTTAATTACAGTAAATAAAAAAGCAGATGGTTTCATTAAAAATAGTACAGTACAGTATTGAGTTCATACTCAAGACACAGCTTTATAGAAAATTTGTTATTGGTACTTTAACATGTTCTTTACATACACTAAAGACAATACAGGAATATTTTATAATTTATATTTACAGAGAATCTGTATGTACTGTACATTTATTAATACATGAATGACAAATTTTTAATCGAGGTCACTGAATGTAATCTGATAATCATACATAAAATTTACAATTACTGTATACAAACTGTTAACAAGAAACAAGAAACCATGTATAAAGTGGTCTCATCTTTTTATCGAGAATATGATATGATAGACTGGACAACCCATCTTCACTGACATCGTTATTTTGAAGCTTATCGAAACGATCTTCTGCTGGTGGTACACGCGAGTGTGGCAGCATAACATAAGATGCTACTTTTGGATCAAAGCGGATAACAGACAGTCCTACCTTTTCAATTCTATTATACATGTCATCATCTTCAGCTCCCCAGCCATAAAATTTATTACTGAATCCATTGACTTTCTCAAAATGTACTTTCTGCATTGCAACTGCTCCTCCAAACAGACGGCGGTATTGAAGATGATATCTGGAGAATTACAAAAAGTAAGAATTATATACTGTTTAACTGCAAGTAATAACATTTCACTTAAAACAATGTTCTTTAGTTTAAAACTGAACACTTACACTGGTGTCAATGTAATGAAGACCTTTTTGCAATGCAGTCTAAGGTGCTTAACCAGTAGACAGTGACCCATATTAGATTCAATGTTCCTTATAGTACAGGGTATTTAGAAATTTCGACTCGGCTTTTAAAACTAAGCACCAAGACAACATTTCTGACTGACATACCTAAAAAAACATTGTAAAAATAGATGTGAGAAGTAAGGGAGGGGGGTTTATGGGAGACATTCTTGGGAATTTGCTGGAACCCCTTAAATGTGACATTTTAATCTGTCACCAAGTGGCAGCATGCATAATACCAGATCTTGGCACCAGTTTTGAAAATCTGAGGACCTGGTTAAACATTACAACAGTTGAAAACTGTTCTAAGCACCTAGAGAAAGTCAAATGCCACAGTGAACAACCATTTTTATTAATTCAGAGTCAAAATTAAGACAGTGAAACTGTTCAGTGTAGAATCTGTCACTTAGTGAACATAACTGGAGGTCACAGCCTAGTCAGTGAGAACACTGCTTGGTAGTCCCTTTGATATAGAGTATGGCTTGGAAGGGCTTTGTGAGTATTGCATATAAATAAGCATTCCAGAAATCATTCTAGATTGGAATGAGTTCTTAAGTACTGTACCTCCCTTGCACCAGTATGACCATAAATGTGTTTCAAATTCACAGTTGCACTGGTGCAGGATGCTTATCTGGGAAGAGCAGAGCCTTGCCTCAGGGAGCAACTGGGTGCATTGCTCACAAAGTTTATCTACATTATACTAATGCTTAAAAAATTTTGCTTATTAAATAAATGCTAAACTATACCTTAAGGGGCTCACTTATTTAATGGGTGGGAAGCAATATCTTAAATGTTTTACTACTGTACTTTTAATGCTCGCCTAATACCCTACATTATATACTGATACAGTTTGTCAAACTCACCTTGTGGTATCAACAGCTGAATACATATGCCTTGGGTGATGAGTGCAGGCATATATATTATGGTCATTTTGTGGAAGCAGATCAATATCATGAAATATAAAGCAGTCAACTTGATCTAGCTTGAGAGTTTCAACAAAGCCAATATTGAACAGCTTTGCGCGGTTAAAATCGACACCTTCTGTCTGCTCGACAACTACAATCCTGTGAACAAATTTTAACAGGTGTTCTTAAAAATATAAATTATACTAAGTGTATACAGTACCTCTATTCTAGCTACACATAAAATGGAACAAATATTATAAAGTCTTAAATAAAACATTCAGCAATACCCATACAGTATCTCTCATTCTATTAAAAAATCAAATTTGGTTAGTCTTTAATAGAATATAACTACTGGTAATTTCTGATGGACAGTCCTCTGCTAATTCACATATTAGAGCAGCACTTTAATTATTTTAGGAATGGGTCCAGATTATGAAAATGAAATTGATAGAAGGGTCATACATTTTATTTTTTATTTTTTTGCTGAATGCTTATACAGTAAGTAGAAAAGACAAATTTGTGCCATTCACTTCTAAATTTAGACACTAAACTCAAAAGCTTGAACATTTGGTACACTGGAAACTGAGCACATTAATACAAACACAAAGTCACTTAAAAAGCTGCAAATAGTACATATTTCTCCCTCCCATCATGTGATAATTCAGAAGCTCACAGGAAGATGAGATTTGTGGACAGTTGAACCCACACGAAGCATATTTTTGCGATTTCTCTTATGTAAAATGATCAGCGACTCCATGAATATTCAATTGCTTCTTTGTTTATTTCCTGTGAATCTTGCAGCTGTCTGTTTTGCATTGCCTACTTTCCGGACGTTTCCTTAGTGGGGTGATCGTAACACTCCCCTGCTTTCTGCCCCTTTGTAAGGAGGAGAGGTTCTGACTCTGCTCTCTCTCAGGTACTGTAATACAGATGTCTTGCACTGATCTGGCAAGTGTGTGGGGCTACCTCAACAAGCTCGCTACAGCAAGCCACCGTTCAGCCCCTCCAGAAAACACAAATCATGGAATCACAAGGGAAGTGTCTATTACAAGAACTTAAGTGTTACAAGTTACCTGTAATTTAATTGTTGCCTGTTCAGGAAAGGATGCATGTAAGTCAAAAATTTTTGTAGATGCAGACTCCTGTTGCGATAAGGAATTATTAATGCCACCTGGAAAAAACAACAACAGGGTACTCTTTTTTTATATTTTTAATTTTTTGTTATCAGATACACATTATTAGTTGTAAGTGATAAACTACAATATACACAACTAAAATTGCACACACACACACACACCAAAAAAACACTTACATTGTATCTTGAAAGGCAGTTATTTGGTTTCCAACAACCACCATCTTGTATTTCAGAATTCCTTAAAATTTCTTCATCTGAGAGGGAATCTGCGTTGTTGTCCAGTAGCGTTACAGTGTTTTGCAGGTAAGGAGACACTACAGGACACCAATTAAAATTGTTTCCTGTTGATCCTATGAGCCCCACTAACTCTTGCGTAATATCATTGAAGGCAATATATGGGAATGTTACATCGGTATACTTTCCAAGCAATAAAGGCAAAACCCATAACATCAAATTCGAAATTATAGATAAAAACCAAACTTTTCTTACATTGACATGCACAGTTTTCAATGACGCATCAATTTTTCTCACTTCCATATTGCAGAACACAAATTTGTCAAAATGCCATCAATAAAACTAGGCAAATGAACTTTCATTAGGTAAGCTTAGTTTGGGGAATTCCTTGTAATTCTCTAATTGCCTCGCATACAAATTTTATTTGCCCTTTGATTTTCGATGACTTTTTTGTGGATTCCGATAACTTTGCATTCAAAATTTCAAGTTTCTTGTCAATAAATGTCAGTGCTTCTTGAAGAGTCAGTTCCAGATGAAAGCCTAAGCCAACATTTACATAAATGCGTGACACATCTGGCCTGTTAAAAATAAAATATTTAGCATTAGATTATATACATTACATATATATACATTACTGCCAAGTTATGATGCATTCCATGCTCATACATATTGGAACGTGGGCTGTGAAATATTTTCTATAGATTACATGTTCACAAATTATATTAAATACTCAGAAAAAATACAAAGTCAACCATCACTGCACAAATTCAAAATAATTGCACATGAACATGTACAATTATATTTAAACTGAAATTTAAAAGTGATTTTAAACCCGTGTTCCTGGTTGTCAGGTCCAAGCTGCCTAATAATGTGCTACATTTCCTGATGTTTTTCTTTAAATATACTTAATCTTTACTGGAAGTGGCGGAAAATAATTTACAGTGTTCGTTTTCCTCCAGTCAAGCTAGTGAAGTTAAGAGAGCTATGCAGGCCACATACTTCTGTTAGCCCATTGTCCTCGTCTGTCTTCCTTCAAGACTGGTCCTCACATTGATCAACCACTGGAAGTTTGTGGGCTCTTACAGATTGCTCGTGTATGGAGTTAATGACCTGATCTACTGCCACCTGTATAGCAGCCAGGTGGCAGCGATCCTTCACCATCTTTGGAATTTATCATGGTACAAGAGCATAAGAAAGGACTACAGAAAGCATACTGGACAATTTGAGACAGCTCCTATTATTTATCTATCTATCCAGACTCATTCATATTTGTCTAGCTTATGCTTGAAATGATCCAGTGATCCCACATCTATAGTATTATATTTGCTTCATAAATCAACAACCCTAACACTACTTTTGCTAACACTACGTTCTCAAATGCCATTAAATGGCAACAGCTACCTGACCATAATTTTTTTTATGAGTATTTAATAAAACTTGCATTGTGCAAAGAATGACTTTAGAATGAAAGAGTTTAGCCAGACAAATCAGAATAGAATTATATTAAAAAGTGAAGATTATATTACATGTGCAAATTATCTATCATTTAGTGTAAGTCTAGCTTCAGATCTTGTTTTATTTTTCTGTCTCAGGTACCAGAATAATTACTTAATTACTTACACATGGGACTGAACATAAAAGTTTGAGCCAAGGTCAACTTGTGTACGTAAACCTTCTTCATGTGGTACTTCATTTATGCAATCAATAACCTGCTTAAGCTGGGAGTGGGCAGCTATATCTTCATACAATTTGTCACGATTCTCAAGCACAAGTCTGTAGGGGAAAAAAATTAGAGAGTTTAGTTTAAACAGTAAAAACCTTAAGAGTTAGAGTAGAACCTTAATATCATGTATAATAAATATTTTGAAACGCTAAATACAGTAAACAGTTGCAGCTAATAGAGGGAGCTATCCTGTAGTTTATTTATTTAATAAAACCAGCATTGAATGCAATGAAACGCCATTTTCTGGGCAAGTCCCGGAGGCTCCTCGGAGCCTACCGGGCTGATATGTATGTATTTGATTGGAGTTCTTGCCTACCAGGGACCACGAGCCAGAGGTACGAGGAGCAATGACCTATAGAAACCTCCATATGGTTAGATGCATACCATGTATGCCATCGACTGGGTTAGACACCCAACAAGGTAGGTGTCCCAAAACAAGCTCCACCTGGTTCAAAATTGCTACTGAAAGCTGAACTATCAAGCAGAACTCCCCAATCTGAATACATGCAAACAAGCATGACGGCACAACCGCCGCTGTCTGTGCAGCGCCGGCCATCCAGCTCCAGTTTGGAGGCCGAATATTAAAAACGCAAATACCACTGACCGAAGGGAGGGAGGGTTGCCAGGGAGCCTCCAGAACTCCCCCAGAAAATGGCGTTTCAATACATTCAACCCTGGATTTCTGTGGAGAGGCCCTCCGGCTCCACAGAGCTACCTAACCACAGAGAAAGTAAAAGACGGACGCAGCCTGGAGATGGCCGCCATCCGTACCTCAACGAAAAGAGACAACTGGCTGCATCCTGCGACCCATAGCGACACACACCCGACTAGGGCCAGAAACATTAAGGAGTGAATGGGCTGCCAGGACCCTGCTTAACCTCCAAAACCCTCATGCCCGAATGTCAGCCCTAGACATATTACCAAAAATGACAGCTAAAGCAGTAAATTTGCGATCGTTGGCCACCAAGGGACCAACGGGACAACTTTTCCCCTGGTAAGTCTCCAACCGAGCCAGAACCCAAAGCAACAGCAGAACCAGGGGAAAAGAGGTAAAGGTAACCCCACCTCGACCAGTCCTGCCGAAAGGCATTGACCCCAATGGCCACACAGTCGGGTAAGGGTGCCACATATACAGGGAGACATACAGGACAAACAACAGCAGGGGAAGGATGAGAGAGCATGGATGAAACCAAAGTCTGGGTCCTCATAACAAAAGCGGGGCAGAAGCAGGGCATCCAGAAAGGTATTCAACCCAGCGCTTTGCAGCAACCGAAACCTTACATGCAACACAGAAGCTGCCTTCACCCAACTATCAGTATCAGTGGACTGGGTGAATTGGAACACCAGCAAGGAACACCACTCGCAGGACTCCGAGTCAAAGGTGTCATCGACCCAACAGGCAGCACGACAGAGGCAAACCCGGTGAATGTCACCCTGAGACAAGGGGACAGAACCTTAAAACTCGCACAAGGCGAGATGCATAAAGTAAAAGTACATCTCTAGGAGGAACAGAACCAGCTGCTGTGATAATAGGTGACAAGCTGCACAGTACCTTGTGCCCCCTACCAGGAATGATACTACCTCCTACCCACAGTCAAATAGCAGCTATGAAAACCCCAGCTGATCCCAATGGCGAGCAATCACAGAGCAGCAAAAGCTCCCTACGGAGGTAGTCCCCAAATGACTTGTGGAAGATAACCTCAAGCAGCAAGGGCAGTACTTACAGGGCACCTAAGGAAGATGGCCCTAGGTGCATGCAGCACCAATACTCCATGAATTACTCCTGGCTCACACAGCAAAATAACACTGCAAAGGCACAGCACTGCACAGAGATAGGAGCCAGAGTCGAACGACCGCCTCAGAACTGGGGTTGGATGGCCGGCGTGGGGATCTGGGGCTCCCTCTTTCCCCTCCTGGGGAGGGGGGAGCTGTGCAGACAGCGGCACGACAGCAGTTATGACATCATGCTTGTTTGCTTTTTTTCGGATTGGGGAGTTTTGCTTGATAGTTTGGCTTTTGGTAGCAATTTTGAATTAGGTGGAGCTTGTTTTGGGTGCCTAGCCCGGTCGATGGCATACATTTTTTATTTATTTATATATACAAGAGTTCTTGCATTCATGAACAGCAACTAGCATGCATAGTGTTTTGGGCAAATGGAATGCTTCCAACTACAAGGAGGTTTCTATAGACCATTGCTCCTCGTGCTTCTCTGAGAGGTCAAAGTTCTGGCTCATGGTCCCCAGTAGGCAAGAACTCCAATTGAATTGACCGATACCACGGTCTAATACTGCGTATGTATTTGTTCTGTTCTTCCTACGTTTTCTGGCGAGTTTTCCTAGTTTTGTGGTTGATCTTTAATCTCCTTGTTCCCTTCTTTCACCTCGGAGAGTGAACCAGATTCTGGTCTCACCTTCTAGCAGAAAATAAGTGGGTCTTAGAATAGAAGCCTGGTGTGCAGGGCTGAGGATTGGTGGAACCTAAGTAAAGCTCAAGGATCTAATGAAGAATCTCTCCCAAAAAACAGCAACAACTTTAAGGTAATGTACAGATTCATAAGATATTGTTCACCCAATAGTTCAAAGTAAATATAACAACATTATTTAAGTTACTGGACTTTATACTTAGAAATACTAGTTTATTAGAATAAGAAATAAAACAGATTAATTCAACTTGAGATTAGTAGATATTGGTCAAGAATACTAAGCACATGTATGAATAGATTGTATTAAGTAGTTATCAACAGAAAATAGACTATTAATTAAAGATAAAATTACTACCAATACTGTCAGAAATTAGATCTTTAATTGCCAATTTTTTTTATTAAAATTAATATGAAACCTTTACAAATTTGTAATCTAAATATATTTACAGTGGAATCTCGATTCAACGAACCTCAACTCTGTGAGTCTTTGGTTGGAACACTCGCTTTTCATGCCAAATGTACTCACCTGATTTGACGAACAAGTATTCGCTGAAGTAAGGATGTGTGGATTTGCTTAGGATGTTGTGACCGAGTTCATAGATGGAGGCAATATTACAAGAAATAGTTGGGCCTTGGGTAAGCCACTGCATATATCTAAAACCACATTTTATGGTCCTTTCTTTTCCAGTTGCAGAGGAGTTTGTGTAGAAATATATGGGTCCCCTTTCCTTTGAAAATAAGATTTTGAAGCTTCGGTGTGGGAAAATATGTTAAATGTGGTTAAATCTTTTACAGACAGGTTCTCTTGGTTGTTGCCCCTTCAGACAACAGGTTGAAATTATAATTTTGCTCGGTGAAATCAGCTCATAGAGCATAGGAAATATTTAGTATGAATGGTAACACTCTTTAATACAATGATTCACTCTTAATATAGCTCCAGTCACATTTTTAATGATTTTCATAGATCGGTGCAACATTATGGAAAATAGTAAGAGGCCTTGGGAAAGCCAATGAGCACATTTCAAACCAAACTATGGTTCATTTTAATTTTGAGATTCCCCAGTCTTCGTTCACTAATATAGGTCCTTTTTCCTTTGAAAATGACATTTCAAGGCTACCGTGTGGGAAATACAGTATGCTAGATGTAGTTAAATGTCTTTAGACATGTTCTGTTGATAGTTGTCTTTCATATGACAGACAAATTAAAATTTCGCTTGGTGAAATTAGTCCTTAAAGTGTCGGAAATATTAGGATATGTATAGTAACTATTAATATGGCCCCAATCATGATTCTGATGACTTTTGTAGATGGACGTTACAAGAAACAGCTGGAGCCTTGGGAAAGCTATTGAGGATATTTAAAACCAAATTCAATGGTTTGTTTTTATCCCGAGTTGGCAAGGGGTTTGTTCACTTGTTCACTTCACTTTTGTTCACAGATATGGCCCTGCTGCCATATCCAAGCAAAAAATTTGAACGAGTTTTGAGGCTGGAAACATTCAAAAAAAGCTAGATGTGGTTAAACTTTTTTGCAGACATTCATTTGGTAGTCTATTATATTATAGGTTGAAATGAAGATTTTGCCAAGTGAAATCAGCCCATAGAGCATTGGAAATACATCTTGGAGGTATGTCCAATTGCAATGAATCCCTCAACGAAAAGAATTGGGATTGGTCTCGTATACAGAGGAACCTTGGTATTCGAGGCGAGCCAAATGCCAAAATCTTTGAATACTGAATTTTTTCTGTAAGGAATAATATGAACTTGATTAATACCTTTAAGACCACAAAAATAATATTATAACTTCTGGTAGTTATGCTTTTAGGGTTCTCTCTGTCTTTCTGTTTTCCGTCATTCAATTCACTGGATGCTTTTCTTACAAGAAACTTGTCCAAGGACGATTGCTTTTGTCTGCACTTTAAAATGTTTCTAAAGCGAGACATGGCATTGTCATTCAACAGGTTTATAACACTGTCTGCCATAGCTTTGTCGGGGAGATATTTAAAGAAAACTTTGCACTTTCCCCCATTTTGCACATATTCCTTGTATTAGAGAACTAGATTTAGGTATACCAAACTCGATAACAAGGGCAGACATATGAGCACAACTTTCATATTTTGCTATAAGGTCTTTCTTTATCTCTATCGTGGTTTCAACCAATTTTCTTTTTTGCTTGGCTCTTATAACTATCTTAGGTGACATGGTGACTAATTTAAACTAGGAATATAAAAAATATCCAAGAGAAAAGTGTAGTGGGTTGTGCACTGAATGGCAGCTATGGCAAAACTGACATCAGGGATGTGTAACTTACGTGCGAATGCCAAGCAAACAGACTAATATTTGACATGAACACAGCATCCATAATGCCGAAAAGTTCGAGTTGGGAGCTGTTCGAATACCGAGGTTCCACTGTAGTTCATTGAATCGAGGTTGTACTGTATTCGTTCTTCAAAATGTCAGCATAACACACTTTTACTTAATTTGTATATTTTAATACAGTACACTCAATATAAAGTACTCACCTTAAATCCTCTCTTAAAACATTATTAAGGAAATGCTCATATTTTTCTAGTTTCTCTCTGTCAGCCATCATAATACACTCTGAAACAGAAGAATACAGAAAAATTGCCAACACACTAAGGAATAAAATCACTTTGAACAATGGGGAGGTCTGCACACTGTGGCACTGCACACTAAAAATTAATGGTTAGAGCACACGGCAAAAAAATTAACATTTTAGGTCTACTGTAGTTATTAACCCTTTGGCTACTCTAGGCAATAGCAGTCTATGCAAGGCTTCGTTCTCGACTCGCAATTGGTGATCCGGGATTCGCTTCCTGGGCAGGACAGAAATGGTTGGGCACATTTCCTTTTACTTAATGCCTCTGCTCACCTAGCAATAAACAGGTACCCAGGAGTTACACAACTGTTGTGGTGTTGCATCTGGGGAGGGTCAGTAGCTGACCTTGGGGGGGATCTCTATGCAAGCCTAAAGTATATATATAAACAGGCTTCCTGTTCCTAACAATACAGATTATTTACAGTGACTTCAGTCTGTATGCCAAAAAAGCATTTCCAACTCGTGTATAGTTCAACCAGTACTGTTCTCACAGGACTGGTTGTGCAGTATCCAGTACTGTTCTCGAAGGCCGAGTCTACAATTCTATTGATAATTATTGCATTATCTGAACTGTATTTGCCATTTTTATTAACAATATATATTACAGCAGCAATTAAGGTGCTGAAGCTGGTAAAAAAAATGTGAAAATATATTTCCTTAGGCAGTTTAAGCAAATTAAAATGATTTAGAAGTAATCATGCTGAAAGACCTTACTTTAAAGAACACAACAGAGATACTATCACATCAAAGAAAAATGGCAGTTTGGGTAACAAGAACCTTCCAAACAAGATGCCACACCAATGATGACACTTTAAAGACATTAGTGCTCTCTAGATGAAATATTGTTGCACATTAACAGCCCCAGTCAAAGTTGAAGAAATTGCTGACCTGGAGAGCATACAAAGGTCTTTTACTGCTAGAATCCACTAAATAAAACATCTATTTTTTTTTGTATATACAAGAGTCACAGTCTTGTAAAGCCACTAGCATGTACAGTGTTTTGGGCAAGTCATTAATCCTAATTTTCCCCCTGGAATATGACCCACCAAGTCATTTAACAACCAGGTACCCATTCACTGCTGGGTGAACAGAGGCGTACAATTAAGGATTGGTGCCTAATCAATGCTCCCCAACCAGGATACGAACCCAGGTCAAATTGATCGCTAAGTGCCTAAATTACTGGAACTCAAAATGTTAAATCTGTATTTCCTTGAATGCAGGTGGGAGAGATCCATAATTTACATTAGGAAAATATTAGAAGAACTGGTTCTAAATAGGCATAGAAATACTTTAACACCACATGAGACCAGAATGCATGGCAGGATGTGCAAAACAGCCCCACTGAAAAGCAGAGGTGTAATAGGAATGCTGAGAGAACTATTTACATCAGAGCCAAGACTTTTCAACACTTCCACTACATGTAAGGACTATAACTGGTCCACCTCTGGCAGTGTTCAAAGGAGAACTCGACAAGCACCTTCAAAGGATACATGATTAACCAAGCTGTGACTCGCACACCAGGCTGTAAGCAGCCATATCGAACAGCCTGATTGATCAGACCAGCAAACAGGAGGCCCAGTCAGACCAGGCCATAGGGACATTGATCCTCGAAATCAACAACAGGTAGGGCAGAATACAGACTTGAAACACAAGCATGTGTTGGAAGTTACTGCCACACTCAGTGTTAGATGGAGAAGTTAACTTCAGCTGGCTGCAACACTCTGCTAACTTGTTCACTATTGTCTTCCTCCCTCCCAATCACTAAATGACAGCATGGAAAAATTAGGGAATTCTGTGCCGATGTGACCATCCTTATATCGATGACTATCTTACTAAAGACATGCCAAAACCAGTATGTGTGATAAGATGTGGTGATCTCTTTGGCAGAAATACAAACCAGCAGGTTACCTACTACAGTACTACAGTACAGTATATTGGAAATATGGCTTCAGATACCAAAAAAGCACTAATGATGCACCGACTAGTATGATTAACTTGATACATACAGCTTTTTTTTTTTTTTTTTTTGAGACATACACAAGAGTTGTTACATTCTTGTACAGCCACTAGTACGCAACCTACAACACTTCCTAGAAGGTTGTAACAGAACCCATGGGCACCACATCTGAAACAAATACTTATTTGATATTCCAAGAGTGCGCCTTAACCAAACTAGAAATGCTCTACAAATCAAGGGACCCAGAATGTGGAACGACTTTCCCAATCATGTCAAAGGCTGTACCTCTCAACTAGTTCAAGAGAAAAACTAAGTATTACCAAATAAAAACTCCATGTAACCTATCTTTCTCCCTAAATGTCAACCCATGCCTTGCTATTTTCAAACAACACTGTTTGTTGACCAACTTATATAATTGCTGATTATTGCAATATTTCCCCCTCCCCCCTTTTTTCATTCCTCTTTCAACACAATTTATACTTTTAATCTCAATTAGTATCAAGTTGTAGTCTGTTTTTTCCCCACAACTTACCTGAAACGCTGTGTGTATTAGTGGCCTTACGTATTGTATGTACTAGCTCTACCTATAAATCCAACATTATGTTTGTAACTCATCTTCTATGTATGTAATTTTACCTGAATAAACATTTGAATTTAATTTGAATTTTGCAAACTGCCACACCCAACTACATAACCCTAAATTTTAGGCTATGGCATTTCTGTTTTATTCCCATACTTTTCTTTTATATAAATGGGCCTTTTCATGTTTTTTTTTTTTGTTAATGTTCTTGTTAGTGGTACTACTTAAAAGAATAATGGGTATCCATGGAAAATATGCCCTAAATAACTCGATACAATGCCAAAAGTGTTTCCAATTCATAGATTATGTTATTATAATACTGTACCATCACTTAATTCTCATATTGCTCATAATAGCATTTTGCATTCTCTAATAGAAGATAATCTGTATTTAAATTTTAAATCTTACCTAGTTTAACTTAAGCTAACATAATATATTTTAAGAGATGAAAATAGTACTGTAGTATAAAATGAAATGACTGAATAATAAGATTGTTTTTAATATAATAATTCATTGTGTCAGGAGACAGGCAGCCAGAGTGTATTATACACGTTAGGGTTATATCGAGGTCCTACCCACTTTCCCCGAGGTCAAATTACAGACCCCCCCTCCTCCAAGTTGCAACCCTATAACAAGCTGACTAACTCCTGGGTACCTATTTACTGCTAGGTGAACAGGGGCATTAGACAATAGGAAATGTGCCCCCACCATTTTCTGTCCGGCCTGGAATTTGAACCCGGAATTCTCGATTGCGAGTCGAGAACGATCCCAACTGTACTACCAAGACCCCTCTCCAACAATTGGCAAACATCAATGAATTCAGTTCTGAATAAGAAGTTTAATACTTATACTGTATTAGTAACTGCGGTGAATCCAAGAACTTTTAAATTTTATAAACTTTCTTTAGAAGCAAACACTTTTTATAAAGGGACTTGGGTAAGCTTAGGATGGTAAGGTTAGATATGGCTAGGTTACATATGGCTAGGTATGGTTAGGTTAGCTAGTTTGGTTTAGTTCAAATCAAATGTTTATTCAGGTAAAGGTACATACATAGAATGTAACTCATAATGAGTTACAATGTTGTATTTATAGTTAGAGCTAGTACATACAATGCCTAAAGCCACTAACACGCACAGCATTTCGGGCAAGGTGTGGGGAAAAACAGACTAAAGCTTGATACTAATTGAGATCAAAGCACAAATTGAATTGAAAAAGGATATAAAAAAACAAAAAAAAAAATGGGGGGAGGGGAACATGGCAGAAATCAGTAGTTTATACAAGTTGGTTAACAACAGTATTGTTTGAAAACAGCAAGACATGGGTTGACATTTAGGAGGTAAGGTAGGTTACATGGAATTTACTAGGTAGTACTTAGTTTTTTCTCTCTTGAACTGGTTGAGATACAGCCTTTGACATAATTGGGAAGGTCATTTCACATTCTAGATCCCTTAATTTGTAGAGCATTTCTAGTTTGGTTAAGGTGCACTCTTGGAATATCAAATAGGTATTTGTTCCTGGTGTGGTGCCCATGGGTTCTGTTACAACCTTCTAGGAAGTGTTGTAGGTCAGGATTGGCATTACAGTTAAGAGTATTAAATATATAAAGCACACTTGAGAGGATGTGCAGTGACTTAATGTCTAACATATTCAAAGATTTAAGTAAGGGTACCGAGTGCTGTCTGGGGCCAGAGTTAGATATTGTTCTAATAGATTTGTATTGAGTAATTAGACGACGTAGATGATTTTGGGTAGTAGAACCCCAAGCACAAAAACCATAAATGAGATAAGGATAGACGAGAGAATAATAGAGCATCACCAGGGCAGAGCGAGGTACATATCTGGTCTTAGAAAGAATGCTAACAGTTTTAGAAGCTTTTTTTTTGCTATATTTTGAATGTGGCCCTGGAAATTCAGCATGTTATCGATGAGAACAAGCTAGTTAGATGCATATGCATGAATAGGGTAAGAAATTACTTTGAGAGAGTAAAGTAGCATGGGGCAAAGTGGCACGGGAGTAATCTAACTTGGGAGCAAACTAGAATGGGGGTAGAACTGGAAGGAATGGATAGGCAAAGGGACCAACACACACGACTTAATAAAGTCTTGAACGGCCAATATCGTCGTCGTGACTCCATCTTCTAATGTGTGGTTAGATCATCAATGGGAGCAACGACCAGCAACCCCTGCCACTAGCAACTTATACAGTTAAAACAATGAAAAGAACAAATAGCTACCCGAAACGCTGTGTACTAGTGGCTTCAGGCAGCATTGTATGTACTACCTCCCTCTATTAATCCGACATTATGTGTGTAACTCATTTTCAATGCATGTACCTTTACCTTAATAAAGATGTTATCTTATCTAATCAACATTACCACTAAACCATGCAAGTGTTAGGCAGCCCTCACCTCAGGGCCACAGGAGCACCAGGTCCGTCCACTACCGTCCGTCCCTCCTGCTGGCCTCCGTCTGCCCTCCTCTCACCTCCCTACTTGTGTAAAGGAGGAATTGTAGATGTTTATCTCTCAGAATGTTTGGTAATATGTTTATAGTTTGTGATGTGTGTCTATGTATGTATTAACACGATGTACTGAACGGGGTGAGAATAGCTTGAGCTACCTCATCCCTTTGTGTGTATTTTACCTCAATAAACTTATTTCAATTTCTCACCTCCGACTCAACTCACTCTTCTCGATTTGACAATAATGATTAGTCCTCAATATATGTACACGTAATCATTTGAAATGTTTAAAATAATGAATTAATTTGGTATTTCAAATACAGATAGTCGTACAAAGTAAATAATTTAAAAGAACGACCTGTACTCACCTAGTTGTACTCTCCTAGTGGTGCTTGCGGGAATTGAGCTTTGGCTCTTTGGTCCCGCCTCTCAACCGTCAATCTACTGATGTACAGATTCCTGAGCTTCTCAAGCTCCATCGTATCTACATTTGAAACCGTGTACGGAGTCAATCTACCATATCACTTCCTAGTGCATTCCATTTACTAACTTCTCTGACACTGAAAATGTTGTTTCTAATGTCTCTGTGGCTCATTTGGATACTCAGCTTCCAACCTGTGTCCCTTTGTGCGTGTACCATCCGTGTTAAATAATCCATCCTTGTCTACTCTATCAATTCTCCAGAGAATTTGTTATGTGGTAATCATGTCTCCCCGGGCTCTTCTATCTTCCAGCAACGTGAGGTGCAGTTCACTCAGCTTTTCCTCGTAACTCATGCCTCTTAGTTCTTGGACTAGTCTAGTGGCATACCTCTGAACTTTTTCCAGCTTCGTCTTGTGCTTGACAAGGTATGGGCTCCATGCTGGGGCCGCATATTCCAGGATTCGCCTTACATACATGGTATTCAAGGGTCTGAAAGATTCCTTACACAGGTTTCTGAAGGCAGTTCTGATGTTAGCCAGCTTCGCATACGCCGCTGATGTTATTCTTTTGACGTGGGCTTCAGGAGACTGGTTTAGTGATATCAACTCCTATATCTTTCTTTCCGTTCAGTGAAGGACTTCATCTCCCATTCGGTATCCAGTGTCTGGCCTCCTATTTCCTCCCCCTAGTTTCATTACTTAACATTTACTTGAGTTGAACTTTAATAGCCATTTGTTTGACCACCAAACTGATAAGGACTTAGTATGTTGAATTTTACGAAGTAGTAGAGCTGTTTGTAAATAATTTTGTTCAAATATTTTTGATAATATAGGTAGATTTAATATTAGTATGTAATTGTTTATGTCTGCCGGATAAAGATATGGTTAAATAAATAATACCACACCATCGCAGGGGTCCGGACATATGAAAACTACTTGGGCATCAGTGTCCAGATGACACGCTGCACAATACTGATGAATTATGTAATTCACAGATATGTGTGTGTGAAAGAGGGAGAGCGATGGAATTAAGATCGGGGAAAGAGGGAAGAACGGAGGATGTTGGGGAAAAGGTGGACAGTAGATATGCGAAGGAAGGACAGGTGGGAGGTGGTTGGTATTGATGTTCATTAGACACTTTACCTTATCACCAAATGCTTGTCGATCTCCAGGTTGACCTACTGTCCATCCCCAAACTGACAGCTTGTTGAAATCATAGTTAGAAAAAGCCCTTAACCTTTCTCTCAATGACTTAGTGGAAACCAAGCCTTGCTTCCTGTCTGACTTGGGAAGGGGGGTGGGGCCTCTGCGTTAGCACAGCAACACAAATTGCTGTGCGATTTGTTTCTGTCCTCTTCAGTGGCATCTGACAACTTGATGAAAGAAATCTTACCAAACTACTTAAGTCAACAGGCAGTGGTAAATGATCCCAGTTTTATACACAGCACCATCAAATTGGTCTTTCTCATAGAACCAACACTCCAACCATCACCACCTAACGTTCACAAGCAAACCAGCTGGGATGGCCCCACTGAAGACCGAGCAGCTGCAACACCAACCCATGACACTGCTAGCCTTAGAGCCGTGGCAGCTCCCCATACAGGTGACTTCCTATTAGCAAACCCCAATGTCAGCAACCGGAACGCATCTCTCATTACAGGCCTTCCGAACTGCAGTGGCTGCCCCAGTTCACACAGAATAATCTATACAGTAAGTGTAATTGCAGTGAGGCAGTGACATACAGGTATGGCCAGCACAGTCTACTCTGCCAAAGAACAGTGGGATAGAACTCGAAACAGTGGAGTAAATGACATCATTAGGAGGGGGCCTTATCACAGCTTTTTGTCCAACAGAGCGCGCACCCCATTGCCTAATGCTCCACCTATACATGTATAATTTAAAAAAATTATATGTATGTCCCAGGACAGATCTGTGATGCTCCCCTTACAACAGGTTCCCACTCTGACTTAACTCCATATATATATACTAACTCTGATTCCTTTGATAAAACCATACCCTTATCCAATTTAAGATAGCACACCAAACTCTTTAAGCCTCTACCTTTCTAATCAATCTTTCATGAGGCACAGTATCAAAATCTTTGTTAAAGTCAAGGCATACATCACAATACTTTCCACTATCAACTGCCTCAAATATACTGGAATAGAATGAATGAAGATTTGGTAGGTAGGAGGTAGGCGACACATATAGGTGTGGTCAGGAAAAACAACAGAGTAGCCTACACGGTCTGTAGACTTAGAACTATCGGCGAAGACAGAAATGTGAATAAATGTGTTTGCAGTAAATAGTTTGAGAGACTGAGAAGGGAGGAAAGGGGGAGGAGAGGTGGAACACAACACAGGAGCGTAAGACATGCCAGCGAAAGAGGGGAGACGGTGTACTTAGCATCTCGCCTCAGGAAAAGACAAACGATCGCGATTGAGGATGGCCTCCTCAAATTTGAAGTGCATACACGCGCCCAGAGGTAGGGTGGGCGTCACCACCATTGATGCAGTGAGCTTGGGAAGAAGAGCACTCTGTCTTAGTGACCAGAGTCCCCATACAAGGGGCAGACACACTGCACTTGTGCATTTGAGGGGACCATGCCCAAATTTCCAACATCTATTGCAAAGTCTAGGAAAGGCAATGTGTGCCTGAACGGAGCATCTGGCACCAGCAAGAATTATAGAAGGCGGAAGGGGACCTCCTATCAAAAGTGATCTGGAGGACCTCACCGGCCCCAGGGAGTTGTACCAGAGCCCTCACCACGACAAGGAAACACTTTGGAGGGGGATGGTACACTAAAACCATTAGCCTTTCCACACACCATCAATAAGCGTCTGTGGCTTTGCAATATTTTTGGTTGATAATTATTTTGTGGCTTACTGTACAGTTTAAATTTTCTTCCTCTTTTTAATTTTTGTTCTACAGTATATGAAGCTAGTCTGATAAATCCTCTGCATAGCACTCATTCAACACTGTAAATTTCATTAAAGCCAGTATTTTATTACAATTTGTAATATAGTTTTTTTTAAATTTTGCATTTATATTTAGAAAATAAGGATGTAAAATTAAATTTAATGGATCTAAGTCTTAGGTCACATGATGTAACTTGGAATGTCACGAATGGAGAAACAACAGAACCATGAATAACCAAAACTATGAATATAAAATTCTAAATTGTAAAAGTATGTCATCAGCCACAAGAGGCTACAGTCAATTAACAACAGGAACCTTCATTGCAACAACATACATGTCTTGAAAGTGTCAAATTAATAAGTAATAACATTCTCCAGATATTACAGGGACACTGGCAAAATGTGGGTGAAGGGATTGTAAGTAATTATCAAAAGAAGGCACCAAACCGGGAAGGCTATGTGGCACCAGGGTGCGGGGGATAATCATCTAAAACTATAAGAACACTCTACTAGGGTACATGATGCAGTGAGCTTTCAAATTAAAGTAAAAACTAATAAACTGATAAAACATTTAATAAAAAACCCTTAGTTAAAAAATCAACAAATATAATGACAAACAGCACTCGATATTAATCAATGAATTCTTTTCTTTATGAAATTTTAAATAAATTTGATCACTTTTATACATCAATTTACACATATACTTCAACCATTCAATAAATCACACAAATCTAGGATATGTTGCATTTTATATATTTTTTTTATTTCAATACATTACAAGCATGGTATATCAAACAGAACTTTGTATAAAAACTTCCACCACAAATAAAAATCGGTATCATTTTACATTTCAGTATTAATATTCCATCTACTCGATGCTATGTATAATACACAACATATCATGTTCTTGATATTGGTGTAATTATATCAAATGCGACTACAATGTTCTGTACAGTACATGTATCCGGTTTATTATATCTCAAGCATCTTTTCTTTTAACCTTCTGCACTTGTACTTCCAGGTTCATTAACATCAACATAAGTTTCACTACTGCTAAATTCACAGAACTTAACTGTCGTTTTCTATACAGTCTTCATTTTCATCATTGTTTATAACACTTTCATCTACAACAGATGAATTCTGATCACTGGAATTCTTGGCATCTAAATCCCTCTGTTCAGCAAATTTATTTTTTTCATACTTTGAAGTATCAGCACCTAGCAATCTCAGATAATGGATTCGATCATTCTTTGCCACATAAGCACGAACTGACTTGTTACCCTTCCAGCCAACCAGCTCAATGGTCACATCATCTGCTTTGTATATGAAAGCAATAGCACCCGTACCTGTGGAAAGATACAGTAATTAATTATGCATTTAGAGAGAATTAGGAAGTTAATTTTTAGTTATGATTGTGTAAGAGTTTTGCAAATACCTACTTTATGTAAAACACTAGAAATTTTCAAATACCTGTAAATACATTCAGACAGACATTACTGATGCAGTAGTTCCATATCAGTGCAGAAATTGGAAAATATAGGTACAGTATTTTCATGTATTAAAAATGTTACAAAACCTTTTATTATGTCCAAAATTTATGTGAGATTATCCATTAGCCAGGAATGTTGTCCATAAATAATTGTTTAGATATCCAACAAATATTATTCAATAAATGAGCATATTTTAACATTTTACACCTGAAGCTGTCATTCTGGGATTCTGGGATTTTTTAGTAAGACATAAAACTATTTTACTGCTCCTGTCACACTCAAGCAATAGGTTGATGATGCTTCTGTTTGCCTGTAAACAAGTTAATGTGCCTAATAATATTCAAAGTTCCTAAATATTTGGATGCCATTCAACACTAGACACTGACACAATTGCTTGCAATACGGGGAAAAAGTTCATGAAATCCTTAATTACATTCCTGGGCATTATTTAAAAAATTGGCACCATATCAGGTGCACCACCATCCATTTACTGATGTCTATGCTTGAAGTCAATGATGGCTTCAAGCATGAGTCACTAAAACATCAAATTAAGAGAATGTGGCTCCAAAAAGCCAAATTATCTTACTTTGATGTTTTCAAAATTTCTTTACATCACTATTGCCAAACTAAAATTACTATTTGTTTAATGTGTACCTGGAATATGAAATAAGTATGCAAGTTAAGGTGTAAACTGTCAACTACTCATAATCTTAAAAAAATTGAGCATCAAATATAAAGAAACGCTTCCCTAGTTTGTGGCATTGACTACCCTATGGACAAAGATTACATTAAGTGTCCTAAGATTTTAAATGATAAAACAATGTTAGTACAGTATTTTCAAATATGGAATATACTGTATGGAGATTTACTTACAGAGATCTGTACACTGTTCTTGTGTTTTGGCATCCAATGTAACAATTTCTGGTGGCATTTCCATATCATCATTTTGTAGCATGATCACCAAGTCATTTTTGGTCACATTGATTTTGCGCTGAGTGATAAGAGGCAGCAACACCTGGGAGCCCTGATCAGATGCAATGAAATATTCCTTATTAAATTGTCACACAAACACACACACATGCAAAGTTGCATTGTGCCCATATCTCAAGAAGCACATAAATAAACTGGAAAAGGTACAAATTTATGTATTAAAATGGCCTCTGGAACTGAAAAACAAGAATTATGAGAGGCAAGAGGCATTAAATATGCCAAAGCTGACCGGGGAGCCGGTCGGCCAAGCGGACAGCATGCTGGACTTGTGATCCTGGGTTCGATCCCAGGCGCCGGCGAGAAACAATGGGCAGAGTTTCTTTCACCCTATACCCCTGTTACCTAGCAGTAAAATAGGTACCTGGGTGTTAGTCAGCTGTCACGGGTTGCTTCCTGGGGGTGGAGGCCTGGTCGAGGACCGGGCCGCGGGGACACTAAAGCCCCAAAATCATCTCAAGATAACCTCAAGAAGCTAGAAGATAGAAGAAAAAACCAGCATTGAATGTAATGAAATGTTATTTTCTGGGCAAGTCCCAGAGGCATCCCAGAGGCTTCCCGGAGCTTTCCAGGCAGATATGTACGTATTAGACCGTGGCATCAGTCAATTCGCTTTAAGTTCTATGCCTACTGGGAACCACGTGCCAGAACCTGCCCCCCCCCCCCAAGAGAGGCACAAGGAGCAATGGCAAAGACAGGAACCACAGTTGAACGACTGTCACTCAACACATCAAGCTCAGAACAGGAGTTGGATGGCCGGCGCAAGGGTCTGGGGCTCCCCCCACCCTGCAGACAGCGGCACGGAAGCAGTTGTGATGTCATGCTTGCTTGTTTGTTTTCGGATTGGGAGTTCTGTTTGATAGTTCAGTTTCCAGTAGCAATTTTTAACCAGGTGGTGTTTGTTTTGGGATGCTTACCTTTCTGGGTGCCTAACCTGGTCAATTGCAGACATGGAATGCTTCGAACCACATGGGGGTTTCTATAAGCCATTGCTCCTTGAGCTTTTCTGATGGGGCCAGGTTCTGGCTCGTGGTCCCCGGTAGGCATAGAACTCCAGTTGAATTGACTGATGTCACAGTCTAATACACACATATTGGCCCGGTAAGCTCCAGGGAGCTGGAGGGGCTCTCCACAGAAAAAAACAAAAAGTGGCGATATGATCACCATGTACAAAATAATAACAGGAATCGACAGAGGAATTCCTGAAACCGGCACCCTCAAGAACAAGAAGTCGCAGATTCAAGCTAAGGAAAGAAAGGTAAACACAAAAATGATGGAAAGTTTTGTTTAGCAGTCGTAACTAGTTGGAACAAGTGAGAATGTGGAGGCAGAAACCGTCAGTAGTTTCAAAGTATTTTATGACAAAGAGGGCTGGGAAGATGGGACACCACAAGCGTAGCTCTTATCCTGTAACTACACTTAGGTAATTGCACAGATACACATCAAGGAGTTTTGCAGACAATGAAATCAAATATGGCTGCCAGCATAAGGAAGGACAAAACAAATGAGTTTGATATTAGTGGTTTTGATAAGGAAAATATCTGCATGAGTGGTTTGCACAAGTTGGCAAAAATAGAGAGCATTGTAAAATATCATGTAGACATAATTAGGAATTTGAAGAGCAGTAATGAAAGCTTGAGTAACAAGGTAACAGCTTTGGAAGGTCAAAGAAAGGAACTATGGGAAGCTAAAGGAGAAGTCCTGGAGGAGGAAAATATAGTATTAAAAGTAGCTCTCTTCCTGTCAGTACACACACACACGCCTGTAGTTCTCATCCTGTAAGTGATAATTATACACACATACATGCAGTCATGTCTGTAGATGCAATACTTATTAATAGGTAAACAGAAATATACATAGCCAGATATAACCACACATTACGTAACCAATCCCACTCAGTTCTAATATCTGGATGGACAGACAAATCACCCATTTGAAAGGGAATTTTGCCTGTATTCCCATGTGTATTATGGTCTATATTATACCTCCCTCATTTAAATATCATTAGGCAGCATTCAAATAATATACATGTACTTAAGTTTCCAGATGTTTGGACCCCCTGAGATGCTAGATAATATTCCCAGGGGGGCTGGATATTGGAAGGCTGCAAGTGTTCAGTACCTTGTTTCTTGGGAACCACTGAATGATAAGACCTTACATTAATGAATACACTGTACAATGTCATCTTGATTTGCTGAACCTTTGGTTACATCACACATATTTTGGTCTAAATGTACACACCAGGATTGCCAAACAGTGAAGTACAGTGAAGTAATACAGTGAAGCTAATGATGCACAGAATTGTGTAGGGGAGCTGCCCACAGTCCAATAGTATTACTGTATGTCAAAAGTTTTCAAACTAATCAAAATTTTGATGCAAACAAACTTTTAAGGCTAGCTTCAGTGCAAAATTTTGGATACACACGTCCACCTTGACTAAATTTGGCCAAGGGGTTGAAATAAAAGGAAATGTGGGAATAACAGTATTTGAAACCTATTTACAAGTGATATTATGCTGTAATCCCTAAGGAAATGTAGGCTACAAATGCAACAAAAGTACGACTGCCATTTGACTTACATCTTGAGCTAATCGGAAGTCACAAGGTGCACCTTTATTGTCACTTCTCACCAAAACTTTCACACCGGTATTGATAATCTGAAAAGACAAAATGTAAACAAATTAATTATAACTATATATCAAAGTATAAAAGAAATTAGAATCAGATGCTATACTGGCTGGATTTACCAGTAATTAGAAAACTATATTTATTAAAAAATATATTTGAATTTATTAAAAGTAGACTGTCAAGCAATGCAAAGCCTCACTGTGAGAGTTGTGCACGCTATGACCATGTCCTTTACAACAAAATAATTACATAGTGAGGGGGGGTTTTAGTGTGGTAAGGATTTGACTTGTTTTACATTTTATTTTAACACAAAAGGATACAAGACTTCAAGAAACAGGATTGATCAATTCTCAGACACTGAATTTGATAATAATGACAGAAATGGTACAACTAATTTTGTTAGGTGTACTATCCTACATCAAGGATAAACACAAAAACAGATTGTTTGCCTGTCTGATGCCATACAAGGTTTAAATTTATTATCTATTTATTTCCTCGACATAAAAACAAAACAACATTAACTGGGGCATGTTTAAACAAGGTTCATCAGTATTTAACAAAAAAAAGTTGTCCCATTAAATACATAAATCTTTACCTTAATGTGGTCTTGATTTACATCAACAATGTCTTTGATAAGGCTATTGGTAAAATAGATATTCCGTTTTTTTCCTTGCTTGGTTCGACTCAGGAAAAGGCCTGCATCCACTTCTTTACGAATTCCATAAAAAGCATCAATTCCTGGCCATACAACCTCATCTGATTCAAAATAATAATAAGGCTCTTCTCTGAAACCTTGACGGCGCTTCTTTTTTGGTGGCTGTGGAGAAAAGTAAAACAAATTTACATGTAAAGTGCCATCAAAAATTTATTTGATTCAAGCATACATACATACATCTATAAGAAGACTGAAACATACAATATACATAAATTAATAATTCTAAAAATTAGCAGTGATCAGCGCAGTTGGTTATTGCCGATTGAAACTACTAGGAAAATAAAAGTATTTGTATAAGTGATGATGATAATCATCACTTATACAAATAGGGCAGGAGAATAGCCACACTAAATAGGAAATTTTTGATTTTATTTATTTTACTTGCTGTATACACTATTTGACTAATTCTAAAGAATTTCTTTAAATTAATAGTCCATGTTGAATAAGAAGTCAAAAGCTTTAAATTAGCATACCAGTTATAGGGCTTTATATTACATGTCAGATAGTTTCAAACTAAGCACAGAAATAGGATCACGTGTGCATGTCATATTACTGAACTGGGTCGTAGGAAAAATTGTGAAGAATTTTGCATTATATTCTAGGGTGCTTCTCCATTATACTCTAGGTTATACTCTTTGAAGAGAACTCGCTATGACTGCTACATTAGTACAAACTAAACGTAAGTTACAGAAAGAGTTCTCATGTTTGCAGTAAAGAGAGAGGAGTTTTGGCTTCGTAAAAGGCTTCATACACGTAAACTCCCTGTAAGAAAACTATCTGCACGAGTGGTATGAAGAGCTCTGTGTGTTTCCCATAACTTACACTATTTCATATTGGAAGGAAAATCAAATAACATACAATTAAAATGTTGACCAAACCACACACTAGAATTTGAAGAGATGACAACATTTCGGTCCGTCTTGGACCATTATCAAGTCGATTGTCAAGGACGGACCAAAACGTCGTCGTCTCTTCAAATTCTAATGTGTATGCAGGCGATGAGTCACAATAACGCGGCTGAAGTATGTTGACCAGACCACACACTAGAAGTTGAAGGAACGACGACGTTTCGGTCCGTCCTGGACCATTCTCAAGTCTAGTTCTAATGTGTAGTTTGGTCAACATTTTTCAGCCACGTTATTGTGACTCATCATCGACAATTAAAATAATAACATTATTAAATAATTATCCTTACTTGTTTTATTCTTTGTGTGTTTTTTGCAGATTGGACTTGGTCAACTTGCTCGTCTTTCTCCATATAAACCTTCTCGCCAGGAAGAGCTTTCACTTTCTCAAGCACTGCTACAAAGAAACCTCCAGTGTCTTGGTGATGAGGCAAGATTCTTACACTATGGAATAAAAATAACATAGTTTTGATTAATGATAATTACAATTATTATCAAATAATACAAGATTATCATATCTTTTATGTCTTACCAGTAATTTGGAAGCTAAAGATTTATTAAAGAATAGCAAGATACACTTACACACTGCTTGGAATCAGTTGCCAATAAAGTGCTACAGTGGCATCAGTTAAGAGCTGCCCAATCTAGGCATCATCATCTTGAGGTTATCTTGAGATGATTTTGGGGCTTAGCGTCCCGGTCCTCGACCAGGCCTCCTTTTTTGTCACCCCCCCCCCCCCAGGAAGCAGCCCGTAGCAGCTATCTAACTTCCAGGTACCTATTTACTGCTAGGTGAACAGGAGCTCTGTTCACCCTGAACAGGGTGAAAGAAACTCTGCCCATTTGTTTCCGCCACTACCGGGGATCAAACCCGGAACCTCAGGACTACGAATCCGAAGTGCTGTCCACTCAGCTGTCAGGCCTCTTACAAAATACTGTCTGAACTATACTACTTACTGCTTGGTTGTGTTGGCTTATATGTAGTACATATTCCTGACCAGCTTATTATCCCTTTTCTTCACAGAAACCTAATTCAGCAATTACTTACCATCTACAGAGATTGAGTTTCTCCTTCATTTCAGCAGAAGGTGGGAAAAGATGTTTGTTAAAAAGATTGGTGTTCTTGACGGGTATCTCTTCAGCAGACTTAATAATCTCCATTTCCCGATTCATGAGTGTCCAATCTTCCAGACCTGGCATAAACTGAAAGAGAGAATGTAATTAATTAATTGTGAGGAGAAAGTGTTAAACAAGCATGATTTATATAGGACTTGGAAGAGATATGAGGATAAGGAGCTGGGATATGTGGATGGAGTGAGGAACTGTACCCTACTACTTGAACTATCAGGGATGGAATACTGATCCTGCAAGAATAGAGACAGTCAGTCTACCAACCAATTCAAGTGAAACTGGAACAGAGCAAGAACATTTGTTTTTTAGGAATAAAAAATATTTGGGTCAATAAGGAAAACATCTTTCTGAGCAGAGCCATTACATTACTTTGTAAGTTATAATACAGTGTCACAGGCCAGATACATGATCACTTTGGCAACTCCACTGCAGGGATCTTTTCAAATATTCCTGCAGATTCATATAGGGCTCTAAGCTAAGAAGTAAAGTGATATAACAACAGGAATTCCAGTGTTGGTAGAAGAGGCTGCTTGGAAACCAAACCCTCTAGTGTAGAAGCAAAGACTGAAGGAGAGAATTAGGTGGCTTCTTAGTGGCGTACCGAGAGTGAATAAAGTTAGTCACACCCATCCATATTTACATGTTTTCTGGCAGGTGTGGAGTCGAGGCAAGGCACTAGAGACATTGTGTTCTCCTGTTACTTAATTGGTCGCCTATAGTGTGTGGGTTAATAGCAGCCCATACTTTAATTAGTAATAATATTTAATTTATACAATATTCTGAATCAATCTAAAAGCAAAAATTGTGTACTAGATTACATTTTTGGATTAAGTGCTGTTAGAGGTTCCTTATTTGTTTTTCCTTTTTGCTATTAAATAATAGAATCTAATACATAAAAGAAATCACTTTCATGGAAAGAGCTTTTAAATACACTAAATACAGTATGTTGCATCATGAACATCTAAACACATTTATTTATTACCTTAAGCCCAGGCAATTGATCTGAAACATCAACCAACTGTACAGAACCATCTGCCTCAATAAGAAGCCTCTGAATGATAGCCTCATCTTCCAAAGGGTTGAGAGAACAAGTCGAGTACACCAATCGTCCACCAACCGACAGCATCTCCAGCCCTCGACGTGCTATCCTTAACTGCAATCTGACAAAGCATTAGGATAGTTACCTTAAAACATTAAACAACTTAATGCTACTTCTTAATATCTAAACCACTTATTCGCAACCAAAAAAACAATCAAACTCTAATCATACTGACCATGTCTGAAATAAGCTAAATGTTGCATGCATACTTCACAAAAAGCACATAAGGTGTTATTCAAATTTCTTTGATTATTTAATACAAATGAAAAGTAAGCCTTGGATAATATAGATCATAAACAAAACCTTATTTAAATTTACATGAGTTGCTAAAGTTTAACAACTCTGAGTCCAAGAACTAAAGGCCTAGGGACCTCCCTCCATTACCCTCCAAAGCACCTCCAAAGGATACCTGATCAACCAGGCTGTGACTCATACGTCAGGCTGCGAGCAGCCGCGTCCAACAGCCTGGTTGATCAGTCCGGCAACCAGGAGGCCTGGTCGACGACCGGGCCGCGGGGACGCTAAGCCCCGGAAGCACCTCAAGGTCAAGGTCACCCCCCCCCCTCCTGACACCCTTCCATTTTCTACACCCTGACACCCTTTCGTTTCCCACACCCTGACATCCTCCCATTCCCAACATCCTCCCATCCATTCCCCTGACACATTTCCATCCCAACCCACCTGAACCACTTCCTGGGTGGCCTCTTATAGGTGGAATAATAAATTTAAAATGTTTGATTATTGGCTTGCCCGTTTCTCCAGGTCAGTTGCTTACCTGCAGATAATGGTACGTATATGACATAGAGATACAGTACATACATATAGGCACATTCACATTTACACACAGACTGAGACAACATGCCTTACTGAGAATAAGTGCTTGCCTCTACCTGCTAAACATAAATGGCATGGAAATCGATGAATGAATTAACATAAGAATTGAGTAGAGGCATCAACCGCTGGGGGATGGCATTAACAAAAACAATAACACAACTTTGGTGGGTGTTTGTCACCCACACTAATGTGAAATTATGTTGCTCTATTAAAGCTGTGAGTGTAAAGAGGATTAGCTCTTGACATGAGGGATCACAGTATTCCTTACTAGGGCAGTATGGGTTGCAGCATGCTACTGGAGGGGTTATGTGGATATTTTTATCAATTTATGCACTCTGTACATAGTATATAGAGATGCAAAAATGGGGACTTGAGAGGCTATTCAAATGGAGGAGTGTTTCTTATAGTGGACACTCTTATAATGGGGACTCCCTGTTCTTCATCAAGCACTACTACTACTACTACCTGCATTCCTTCCAAACTGGTTCTTCTTAATCAGGGCTTTTATTGTAAAGTCTCTTAAATTATCTTACTTCACTTTATTCCCAAAGTAAATTATAAAAATATATCTCTGGCCAATCATACATCCAAAGATTTGTATTGTTTATAAACTCAACAAATGCAAAAGTTCATAACAAAAGGTTTATAAATATTATATTCCAATTGTATTTAAATATTGTACTGTACAATACTACATGTAACATTCAAGAAACCTACCCATGAAGATTTGCACCATTCACAGGATTCCATTTGGACCAAACATCAAAGTTTTTTCGCATGGTTCCATCTCCGGAACAAGGAACATCACACAAAATCCGATCAAATTTAATGGGTCCAACACTTCCATCTGTAATGACAAACAATATCTACCAATGGGAATTTCCAACAAGACTATATTAGAAATTTTAAAATAATCATGAATATTATATACTTTAATGAGTTTTAATTTTTGATCTGTAGATTTTAAATACCCAGTACTGTACATCCTTCCCAACTTTAGTAGATAATTTCCATGAAGGCTAATCAAATACTGTAACTATATTAGTAATGTATTTCTGCAAACCCTTAAAACAAAATTCAAATAAAATTTAGATCATTACCTTTACGGGAGTGGTGAATATTTGGCATAAAAGCAGCATCATGATTGGTGATTATAATAGCAGGACTTTGTAAACGTTTAGCCTGATGTGTCAACATATAACAGCGACGATTATCTGCATCATTGGCCACTACAATCCCTTGAGGAATGGCAGCAGATAATTCATCCTCAGAGTTGTGGAGGAACTCAATAATTTGAGCAGTTTTGCTTCCTGGTGCAGCACACATATCCAGAACCTGTTATTAAACACTACTGTTATCAAATATTTAAACATCTTTCAACGCTTCAACATGCAGCATTCTACTTCTTATGAAGAATTTTGAACACTAGCATTCAGTCATTTAAAATTTTAAAGCATTTGAGTAAATCCATCTACTGTATAAGTAACTTTACTATCATGTCATCTAGTGCATACGTTAGCACATGTTTTACCCACAAGAGTACGGCTATTATCAAAACTGCTACCTAGTCTTTTTTTTTATAGAATGAAAATTTTTTCCCCCACAGACAAGGTGACAATTCTGACAGTCACACTTTGAGGATTAAATTTCATCAAAGACAACTAAAGCCACTTAAATATTTGCAAATATGTTCAGTATATATGATAAGAGGTGCTAAAAGCTAACTAACTACACTAGGAAACACATAACTAGATACAGATTAGATTATAAAGAAATGTGAAATAAATTGGCAAATTTATGCAAATGTTATTCAGATACTTTATTACCTTGTGATGAGGGTGAACATCTAGAACCAGTGGAGGGATCATACTGACTGCTTCCTGGCGAGAAATGTTCCCCGTTTCAGTCTCGGAGATGAGGAACTGATGTAGCTGCCAATACGCCTCACATCGACGGATGTCACGACGAGTTAAATTCAGCTGCCATGCCAGGTTATCTGGATACCTGTAATGAGAGAATGCTTTTTTACATTCACTTTTTTTATGACCTTCACATCTTAATTTTAACTTTTCAAGTTAATGCAAGTTATAATACAGAAACAAAGTGATAATGAAAGTTTCAAAGGGTTATACGACAAAGAGTACTGGGCAGACGGGACACCACAAGTGTAGCCCTCATCCTGTAACTACACTTCAGTAATTACTAACAAAATCTAAATTTTGTGAGCTATATTATTGCTTCAACAGTTATACTAGTATATCAGAAACTTCAGAGACTAGGTGTAAAATAGCTCTTCGGCTATCATACATAAAATTTCAATTATTTACTGTATGGTCTACGAACTGCTTCTAATCAGCTTTGCTCTTCTCTATTATTTCTCCTATATTATTCACATTCCCACAGCAGAACAGATAGACAGACATCTGTCTGTCATAACCAACTGAGGTGTATCACACAACACAAACAATATTATGATATATTCTTAAAACTAAAAACCTTTCCATCTTGTGATACAGTGTTAAGAAATATTATTACAAATATAAATACTACTTTTCCCTTTATCTATATGTGCATTATACAATACAGACATGCATACAGAGGTGAGAGAGATCGGTGTAGAGGGATGAAGGGAGGCATGTGCATAGGGATATGGGTTGGTGTTTTGAGGTGTGAGCAAATGGCTGTAGGGGGATGTGATTTGAGCACAAACTGTGCTTATTTACATTCAAGGATATTAAGTTTAATAAAGTTAAATACTTGATTGATATGCTTATTCCTTTTACATCAGGTTCTGGAATGACTCTGTAGATTACTGTGGACTCCTACAGATTGGTTCAACATCATGCAGTTAATAGAAATTGTTTACTAAAAAGAGCCAATTTATGTATTGCTTCTTGACTGTTTAACTATATCTACTAAGACTATATAGACTGTTTAGAATTTGAAGTTCCAGTTGAAGGCATATGTCTCTTTTTCTAGAACATATGATCCTGATGATCATGAAATAGTTATTTTGTAACTTAGAGTGAAGTTTTATATTTTTTGTTATCATCTTTACTGCAAGATGTTCAAGAAAAAACAAATCCTTAAATTATATAATTTACAGTATTGTATATTAATAGTGAGGGGTGTGGGTGGTGTTAGCATATGGTTGGTGGTGGTCGGATGTGGTGGGTATATTTTTTGGATGATGGTGTAGAGGTTGGGCATATAATGGTAGTGATGTTCAAGTATGTGGGCTGTGATGATGGATGATACAGCAGCATAAGAATATAGGTAAAGATAATGAGGGTAGAGGAGTGTGAGGAATGTTGCTGGGCAAATTGGATGGGAGGGTAACAGACATGTTTGGTTACAATAGTTGATGGCCGTGTCCATTCCGGTTTAAAATATTCTCAGAAAAATGTGTTATTGGGTTACTTGGTCAATAATGAGAGGAAACTGTTAAAAGAACATACGTAAGTATTTTAAGTGTCCAGTCAATATAATATGGGTTTTTAAAGAGATCAAAACAAAAAAAATCTAAACTACTAAATTTTCTTACAGACAAAACTATTAAAATTAAACTTAAGTACAGTATAGTATTTCAAGAATCAAGAGAATACATAACAAAACAATTAGGTATCCCTACTGGAGGCACCTAATTAAAATCTGCAGTGCTCTAACTAGTGTTTATCTTTCAATAAAATTTCCTATTTCAGAAAATATCTAATTGTTTTACAAAGAGAATTATCATTACCATGGCAAACACAGAGGTTTTAATTGTTTTACCGGCTCCTCTCCCGCGTCAAGCTCATCTTGGGTGAGCTGTGGAGGAACAAGCTCAGACAGAGGCTCAAAGAAAGTCTTCTTCATGACATGCAGCAATGAACGAGCCATATTCTTTGTCCCAGTGAGACGAAAGGCAGCAGGTAGATTCTCCTTCATACATGATATGAATGTATCCCATTCTTCTTCTGGAACAATCTTTTGAGCCTAACAGATTGAAATATTAAATGAAAACATTAGATAATGGTTATATTACTTGTATACACAGTAGCTGTTCTGAGTAGTGGTACAGTACTGTATTTATGTACCATGGTTAAGCAATTTTAGTTTGTACATACAGTACTGGATTTACTGAAGTCTATTATATTAAGTGTTTATATTGTGCAGTATATTTAAGTATTTCCTATTAGTATCTACAGAGGAGTGAAGTCTAGCTCTTTATGCCCTGCATAATAGCCTTGCTAGGCTTTTGCATTATAACTGAACTGCTCTGACATTCAAATTCTTTGTCGAAACTGTCCTCAAAGCTGTAGACAGAAGTGGCTTCCACAACTTCTTGTTTCAATGCATTTCACTTGTTAATCATCTGAATATGATATTCACCCGAGTACCACTATCTCACTAGTGGTCACGACAAGGACAGAAGCCCACAGCTTGTCAAAAGCCTCCACCCCCCTATTGTAACTGATGCTTTTTTCCAACTGGATTTTGTCTTGGCATTTACAGCTTTGGCAGGTATGCAGTTCCATGCAGTATCATCTTAATAAGGTACACCTGGCAGTTGTCCAAGGGCCCCATACTGCCATATTGTTTATAAGAGTGGATAATTACTCAACCTCTTGCTGGTAAGGCCTGCTATTCAAACCCTTTTTCAAATTACAGTATATTTATAATGCAAGTAATTTGTGCCTGTCTGATGGCAATCCTATACTTTAGAGAATGGGCAGAGCCCATCATCTGGGTAGGAGCCCAAGTGTATTGCTTTGCCCAGGGCCTACAATACTGTCAAGACAGCCCAGTTCCATGGGTTTATAACCCATACGAGTGAAAAAAAAAGAATCTCCTGTTTTCTGTCCTGTATTGTGGCTTGTTGAGCTTGAAGCTGTTGCCTCTTTGTATGTTTTACATCAGTCCTTTTAAAGAAGTGGTCTGGATTACTATCATCAACTTGTATGGGGGTAGTCACTAAAGGGTGTGGGTAACTAACCCATTGGAAACTACAATGTTGGTCCTCTCCAGGTGCTCCATCATTCTCAACTTGATTACTTTCTCCAGCACTTTACATGGAGTACTTCTCAGTGACACTGGCCTGTAATCAAGTGCCTCCTGCTGGCCCCCTTTGTGAAAACTGGGTCTACATTTACCTACTACCAGAATTCTAGAAGATTTCCTAATTTGAATGTTTGTATGTCTGTATCTACTCTATTTTTTATTATTTTCTACCACAGACATGGTCATACATTTACAATGCTAACCAACATACTGTATTTACATTTTCTTCTTTTCTCCATGGACAGGATTAGAGATTCGTTAAACATATAGTTCTGTGATATCTTAAACAATCAACCACAGAAGGTGATCTACTCTATGTATGTATGTATAAGTGAGTGAGCAAGCGGCTGTATGTATTCTATATTTAAAATAAAATATTTATACATAAAAGAAAACGAATGGAAAACCCAATAAAACTGTCTGGGTATGACATCAACATGAATTCCTATTCACCAATGTGGCCATGGATGGGACAACAGTATTGGCATGATTACAGACAAGGTCTTCGAGACCCAAGTGCAGTCCTCTTGACATCCCAGAACGCATATAAGGTATGTACTGTAATAATTCTTGTTGTCGGGAACAGGAAACTTAAACTTAGGCTTGTATCGAGGTGTCCCCCTGGGTCGAATTACTAACCTTACCCTGGATGCAACCCACAATATATGCATAACTCCCAAGTACTGGTACCTATTTACTGCTGGGTAAACAGTGCTATCAGGTGAAAGGAAAAGTAATTATCAAAGGAAGGCACCTTGTTGGAAAAACTAGCATAGGTGAAAGAAAAAGCAACCATTTCTGCCCCACCCAGACACCTTGATTGTTAGTCGAGAATGTAGACCATTATACTACAGGACCCATCATACTACGAGCGTACCAGACACACCTTTCCTAATCCATGATCGTTTTATATTTGAATAAGTATATAATGTTGCCATGGGTTCACCCATGTGTGTCCTATTTACAAATTTCTATATGTTTTTCATTAAGGAGAAAGTCTTAGTGACACGGACCTTGAAATGACATCTACTGAAGGAATGTTCACATTAGCTTTGAGATAGATACCTGACAGGAAACACTTCGTACTGCTTGAAGAAACTTTCAAGTGAAATATCATTGGAAAGTGAAGGCAAGCTGTTATATACATACTGTATTGGGCATTACCTTGTAATATGTCTCAAAATCCTTATTCTCTCGTATTAATTCTTCATAATTGGTGGTTGGAGGCCTTTCCCTTTTGGGACGCTGAAAGCAAAGAACCATGTTATTAACAGTTTTACAAAATGATATTCAAATTAATTATTGAATCAAATTAATTATTATCATTATTTATTATTTATATATACTGTACAAGAGCTCTTACAGTCTTGTACAGCCACTAGTATGTGTAGCATTTTGGGCAAGTACTTAATACTTACATTGCTGTTAATATCTGACATACCCCCATGTACTCATGAAAAAGAAATTTATATAAAAAAATAATTTTTTCTTATGATGTTAATTAGCCTTCAGGAAGCACAAAAAATCCAATTCAAAATTCTCTAGCTCTTGTGGTTTAGCTGTAGTGGCCTGGAGAAGTTGTATAGTTTTAGGTAAAATGTATATTCAAAATTACAAAATACAGTTCATACCTTCTAAGATTGTACTACAGTATACTGCTACTATACAGCACTTAAAGCAGTATTCACAGCATTTGTTTTATCACAAACTAACAAAATATTGCACCAAAGGATGTAGCAGTTGCAGCACTACATGTTCCTAACCACTAGAACGCCAATATATATTTTGTTATATACTTTTCTTTTGTTAAAATAAGAGAAGAAAATACTTTTACTATTAGTAATACTGTATAATTGTCCCTGAATTGAGATACTGTATACGATTATTACAGTACATTTTATTAGGAGTTATTGTTATGAGCTCTTCGAGAGATTGTCCTATTTATGCATACGTCATTGTACAAAAGACGGTTCTCTAACTAAATTTAATAAATTAATAAAGACAACCTTCTTGAGGTTATCTTAAGATGAATTCGGGGCTTAGCGTCCCCACGGCCCGGTCCTTGACCAGGCCTCATTTTTGTTACACATCACCAGGAAGCAGGCCGAAGCATGCTGTATAACTCCCAGGTACCTATTTACTACTAAGTAACAAGGGCATCAGGGTGAAAGAAACTCTGCCCACTTGTTTGTCTCCACCGGGGATCAAACCTGGAACCTCAGGACTACGAATCCGAAATGCTGATTATAAAAAAAAAGTACATTGACAAACTCTACTCATTATTCTATAATACTGTATAGCTAAATAAAATACTTTGCTATAGTATTACTGTATTTGTGATTAGAACAAAATATGATTATTTATAAGTTGAAATATAGTAATTTTAAATTGAAATATGGCAAAAAAAATAGCCGTGACACCTTACACTGCTCTACTCATCTTGCTCCTTAACTCACTGTGATAAAGTAGTGACATAATATACTGAACTGAAGATGAGGATGAACCACTGTGGGGTACAAGGATCCCAGGAACACTGCTAATATATATAAATAAATGTTTATTCAGGTAAAAATACATACATACAAGATAGGTTACAAACAGAATGTTGGATTTCTAGATAAGAGCTATTACATACTATGACTAAAGCCCCCAATACGCTCAGCGCTTCGGGCCACGAAACCTCACAGCAAGTCGTACCTCAACACGGCTCCCGGCTCCTTCCTTCAACTTGTGCTGCTTCCTCCAGTTTCTACCCATGGCTCTAACAACAGATGAAGCAAATCCAATTGCTGAATAATTATGTATGACAGCAGTAACAATATCAACGGCAGAGATTTGCCGCATGCGTTTGCTGATGTTCTAGCAGTAAACGTTCCTGGAGAACACACACACACACACTGGGAAACACACTCTGGAGAACACACGTCCATCACACACTCCTGAGAGCGCACACTCGGCTGATGGCCGGGATTTACTTGTTTATCATTCTTTCTTTCAGCCCATCATTCTTGGTGGCTACAATGCTAGACACAAGGACATTGGTGGCTCTCGCTTCAGTAACGGGAATGGGAATCAACTGTTGTCGCTACTAAATAGTCACCAAGATGTGCAGATTGTGGGAGACCTTGAACCCACGCATATTTGAGGAGGCATTCTAGACCTCTTTGTTGGTTTCAACGTCTCTCATGTCTGGTGCACATCATCTATTGTAACAGATTTGTGTGATCATCACCCTAGATTGACTACTCTATGTATCGGAAATACCATCCTGCCCGGTGAGACTTTTAAACGCAAACGGCTCAGTGTTCCTCCTGCTCGACGTGAAGACTTTGTTGCTCATGTGTCAGAGTGGTACAGCACTTTTGATCCCTCCACAGTCTAGACATTTAACGACGGTCTAGTACAGAGTATTCAGATGTTTGCTGACCCTTTAGGTCGGCTCCCTGCACCATCCAATAATCGGAACGATATGAAAAGTAATAAACACCATGCCTATTACAATGACCCCAAACTGCGTACTTTGAAACGCACTGCCAGAAGAGTTGGACGTTTTTTCTGCCCTTAAAATTATTGTATGGCGTCTGGGTTCCCAAAGAGCGTTCCGTAGTATAGTATAGAGGATACATAGTTTCACCCGTTTGGTGCCTTCTTTTGATAACTACTTACTTCCGTAGTAAAGACAGGATTTCTGTTTTGATACGTACTCCAAGGAGTCGTAACGTAATGACGCTTAAAAGCCTGCTGAAGCCATGTGATCATGTTGGCCTCCGAATCTGAGAGATCTGCAGGAAGTACACAAATGGTCAGATGACTGGTCGATGCTTTTTAATATTGACAAATGCAAGACCCTGCACGTGGGGCATAACAACCCACGCCACAACTACCAAATTAATTACAATACAGCAGATTGATGAAGAAAAAGGACATTGGAATCAAAATCCATCACTCCATGAAAGTTGCACAACAGGTAGGGACAAGTCATAAAAACTAATCAAACACTTGGAATAATCAAGCGTACTCTTGAAGTCAAGGAAAAGAAGGTACCGATTCAATTGTATAAATCTCTGGTGCGCCCCCATTTTGATTACTGTATCCAAGCATGGAACCCTCACTTTCAGAGGGACATACCTGCTCTGGAGAAAGTGCAACACCAGGCAACAATAATCATTCCAGACCTAAGTTAACTCACGTATCAGGAACGGTTGAGGGCCACAGGACTAACCCTACTGCAAACCAGGCATGACAGGGGTGATCTCATTGAAACTTTTAAAATACTGAACAATTTTGGATGATGTTGATCCGGAAAATTTCTTCTAAAGGTCAGATGTAAGAAACAAAGAGCAACGGTTTCAAGCTTGTCATGTTATTCTCCTGCATAAGCAGTGGTCCCTACCTCTTCAACACCAGCATGCTCTATCAACATCTAGAACCGCCAGCCATACGTTCCCAAACGCATTGTTCAGTCTCTCCTTTCCTACCACCACTTTCCATGAGAGCCGCCTGCCCGAGGCTTGCTGGCTCATGATTCGCCACCAAGGTAACGACCATTAACCTGCTGGTTAATCGTTCCAAGACCCAGCTATACACCAGTCTGACGTCACCACCTTGTATATAAGCACTTGCCGGTGGAACGGACCAGCAGAACCCTTCTGGTGCTAATTTGGCTCACGTATTTTCCCTCACTTGGACGTTCATTCGACGGGTGATGGTACAGGTAGACGCTCAGAGCATTTTGTATAGTGTGACATTCACCATTATATTAACATAACGTAACTTGTATACAATTTTCTTTGTGTTAAGCAAAGTGGTTCAGGGTTAATTTTGTCATTGTTTACTATTATTTTCTATAAGATTTAAGTAAAGTTTTGTTTTGTTTAAAGTAAAGAATTTAAAGGTTTTTATTTTCTTGTTTATTCCCTGCAACTATCACCGGTAAAGGATAAGAACTTTTATTTTTTTTCATTTTTTAATGTGTTTGGCACACTCCATCTGCCAGGTAGTTGCTGTGCTACCACGAGCACATCACAAGCTCAACAAGCCACAAAGAAGGACTGAGAAAAGGAGATGCTTAGTCACCTACAGGCGTGTTAACCCATGGAACCGCCTACTCGCCAAAGCCGTAAATGCTAAAACTGTTAACTTTTTAAAGTACAGTACAGCTGGAAAGATCATAAAGACAAAGAGGGGGGGACCATCGACAAGACGCCGGCTTCCTGTCCTCGTTGGTCCCATAAGTGTTAGTGGCTCTTGGGTACACTGGTAATATTGACGTGTATGTATTTTGATTTGGACACACAGTTAAGTTTTTTGAGAGTAAGAGAACTGCATTATCGTACTTGAGTACATAGTATTTTGAGCTGACGTCGAAAGATCTGGGAGTTGACATCACTCCAAACCTGTCCCCAGAAGCCCACATCAAAAGGATATCAGCAGCTGCATATGTGACATTGGCCAACATAAGAATTACCTTTAGAAACTTGAGTAACAAATCATTCAGACCCTTGTATGCCAGTAGACTAGCCCCAGAGCTATGAGGAAAGGCTACAGGAATTAAACCTGACATTTCTGGAAGACAAGAATTAGGGAAGACATGATCACCACCTACCAAATTCTCAGAGGCATTGACAGTGTGGACAAAGACATACTATGTAGCATGGGCAGAACACGAACAAGGGGACACAGGAGGAAACGTTTTACTGTAATCAAATGACCACAGACACATTAGGAAATGGTGGGGTAGAGGCTGACTCCATACAGTTTGAAATGTAGAACGATAGGACCCAGTAGGCCCAGGAACTTTACACCTGTTGATTGACAGTTGAGAGGCGGGACCAGAGAACTCAAGCTCAACCCTTGCAAGCACAACCAGGTGAATACAAAAAGATGAGGGACTTTGTGTGAAATTCAATGGGAAAGAGAAATGGAAGGGAAGACAGCAAATGAACTGATGGAATTCACTGCTCAGAAATGTGCCGATGCAACAGAGCAGTTCATAACAATCAAGGAGGAAATGGACGAGAAAAGAAAATGTGGTTTAATAGGCAATGTAGAAGTTAAAGAATGGACAAGTAAGAATAGCCAGGAAAAAGTACAGAGAACCAGGAACAGAGGACAATTGAGGGGCACTAAAGAGAACCAGAAATAAACACAGAGTTGGGAGACAAGCTGAGAGGCAATTTGAAAATGACATGCATGTAAATGTCAAAGACCAACTAAAGCCGTTCTACACCCATACAAGGAGAAAAGCAATGGTGAGAAACCATGTACTCAGTTTAAGGAAACAAGGGGAAATTCTTGCAGAAAAAGAAAATGATGTGAGGAACTCGCATTCCCTCACAATGTAAGGGAATGTGACAAAATCAATGCGACCAGACTTAATCTCGCCCATGGCTGCTGAAGGAGGTAACGAAAGTACTTTGTCACCCATTATCTAAAATTTAAAAGGAAAAGAAAAGAAAGAGGTTGGCATCAAATTTGAAAATGAAGAGGCCCTGATGTCGCAGTGGTAACACACACTCCATGCTTCAGGAGAATGATTTGATCTGGGATTTGAGTCCTGGTCAGGGTGGATTGACTTGGCACAAATCCCGAACTGTTCACCTCTATTCATCCAGCAGCAATTGGGTACCTGGTTGTTAACCGATTGGCAGATTATATTCCAGGGAAAACTAGTGGGCATGGATTATCATGAGGTAAGGTAAGGGAAGGTTCTTGGCCTGCTAGCAGATGTCTGTTCCTGTACTCACACTGTAAAAAAAAAAAAGCCTGACAAACTTGATTGAGCTTTATGACAGTTACAAAAGTACTACAGGAAGGCTGTATTTTCCGAAACTCAAAAAGCATTTGACACCATTCCCCGTGAAAGACTGGTGTACAAGATGGAGTGACAGACTGGGATAATTGGGAAAACACCAAACTGGGCAAGGAAGTACCTGAAGGACAGAAAGCAGTCACTGATACAAAATAGATTTTCAAGCCGGAGGAATGTAACAAGTGGGGTCCCACAAGGCTTTTGTCATGGGGACCGCTGCTGTTCTTAATTTATGTGAACCCAAGGGAGTGAGTTTGTACATGTCGATGTTTGTAGATGATGCAAAACTGATAAGAAAACGCGCACGAAGAGTAGGGACTTGTTTTTTAATAATAACAATAAATAATAATTAATATGTATTACATCAATTACAAATAATATTTACATTTGTAATTAGTAATTGAATGATCCTTTATTTAGATTTACACTAATTACAATCTCTGATATATATCTCTTGGCTATCTGCATGTACGTAGGCGTATCACTTTCGGGGGTCCGGCAGAGCACCCCCAAACCCCGAGGCCAGCGGTGCGGAAATGTCCCCCCCCCTTACCCCGAGTCTAAAAACAGACGACTGCAGGAAGTTACAGGAAGACCTTGACAAACCCCAGAAGTGGGCAAACAAATGGTTGTTGGAATTCAATCCTTACATTCTTAAAAGTTTGCCCACTATATATAATAATCAAACGTTGATTTCAGATTAAAAAGTAAACATTCAAATTGTTTATTTTGATCTACAGTACATATAATAAATGGACAGAATAGATTAGCTTCAAACACAACCATTCCCATCTGCACAAAGCTGCATTTAAGTCAGAGAATATTACTAATCGGTCACCATTCTAACCACTCCTTCATGTACCGGCACTTGACTGGTGTCACATTGCCCACGTCATCACACTCCTTTATCAACTGCAATGGGAAAAAAATCGGTAAAAAAAAAATAAGAATTACTGTACTGTATATAGTGAAAAAGTAAAAAACATATGTTGTGGACAAGTGATATGAAGTTTATAGAATCCATAAATTATATTACAGTACTGTATTGTACTTTAAATAATTTTTCATCACTAAATAAAAACCGTCAAAAAACCAGCGTTGAATGTAATGAAACGCCATTTTCTGGGTGAAACCCAAAGGCTCCCCAAAGCTATACCAGGCTGATGTGTATATATTAGACTGTGGCACCAGTCAATTGATGAAGTTCTAGCCTACCAGGGACCACAAGCCAGAATCTGGCCCCTTTAGAGAGGCCTCACCTAACCTTCTTAGAATGTTAAGATAAGCATCTTATTGCTTCTTAATTACAATTATTACTTAACCTATACTGTTGATAGGTTAAGTAATAATTGTAAATATGAAGCAATAAGATGCTTATCTTAACATACTAAGGTGGTTAGGTGAGGTCGGTGTTTTCTGTGAAGCTTTTCAAGGTAAACTAAAATATTCACAATCACTTAGTATGTCACATATGCACTTATTAAATAAGCCAATATTGACTGTAAGCAAGTGCGAGAACGGGTTGACCAATGACTTTCTTGGGCCCCATGGCATGATACTGTATATAATCGAATACAAGTACAGTATAATCTAACCCCATCTAATGTGCTATATGTAAATGCATGTTATATAAGGGTCCAATGTCAATTTGTCCTCACTCTTCATAAAGGAGTGTAGATGAGGAGGGTTAAGCTGTAGGGATCATTAAATCAGAAGGTAATTATCAGGAGAAAGCACTAAGCCATTCATTATCAATATATAACAAAGCAGAAGAAATGGCATACTTACTGGACACACCCCACAAGGAATTGTCATAAGAGCGGGAGTGGGTAAGAAAGATATGACAGCTCGATAAAGCTTTACTCCTTGTGTTCCCTCAGTTGCTACAGATCGTTCTGCTTTTCCATCAAATACCAATGTCTCTAGGATGGCTTCAATGTCTTCCATGCTTAACTGTACCTGTAACACAAAAATATTTTGTAAAAATAAATAACAGCATCAGAATGAATACGTTATCCATGATTTCACATTCACTGAAGGGATATAAAGTACCTTATATAATTCATAACATACTAAATATTTCTAAGCTATCTCATTCTTCTGCTCCTTAACACTTTCGCGCTCCGTGGAAACTCGCCGTTGACGGGGTAGGTGGCCCCTCCGTGCGGGTAAGCGCGCGGTGACACTCAAATGTGTATACTTGTTCCAGCTTTATCACCTTAATTCTCGTGCTACGTCGCTCGTTTTGCTATCATTGTGTTCGCAATTACATTCTCTACAGGTGTGTATAAATATAATGTCCAAAAGCCTAGCGTGACTCCCAACAGCAAAGCGTAAAGTCGGCAAAAACGCACAAAATCAGTAACATGTGCATTCTCGTTCCATTTTTTTACCTTAATTCTCGTGCTACGTCGCTCGTTTTGGTATCATTGTGTTCGCAATTAAATTCCCTACAGATGTGTATGAATAAAATGTACAAAAGGCTGGAGTGCCTCCCCGCAGAAAAGCCTAAAGTTACCCGTGAACGAGCACCATTTTGTGCATTGCAACCTAATGTTCAACTCGTTCAATTTGATAACATCAAATTTCGTGCTACGTCGCTCATTTTGGTATCAAATTGTTCGCAATAAAAAGGCGATTATTTTAAAACTAGTCCCAGAATAATAGAGCAATAACTGGATTTTTAACAAATATTTTAATTCTGGATGCTCATCATCACAAATTTATTTATATCTTTCCAGTGTTCTGACATAAATATTTGTGTTACATCTTTCATTTTGGTATCAAATTGTTCGCAATAAAAAGGCGCACATTTTAAAACAAGTCCCAAGATAATAGGACAATAAATAGAATTTTAAAAAATATTTTAATATTCGGACCATAGGCCTATTTATAATATTTCAAGTGTTTGGACATCAAGTTTCATGTTATATCTTTGATTTTGGTATCAAATTGTGTGCAATCTAAAGGCGCTTATTTTAAAACCACTACCAGATTGATCTGATAAAATTTAAATTTTATAAAAAATATTCTAATGAGTGACTCAGTATTGCGTCGTTGGAACACATTCAGTAGAAAAGTGAGTGACGAGATATTCAGTCTGTGGAACGCGAAAGTGTTAATGTGAGATGGATGGATGGAGGGATATATGTATGTATGTATGTATGTATGTATGTATATATGTGTGTGTGTGTTTGTTTGTTTGTTCTTGTTGGAGTGCATAGTAGCCACTATTATCATTATTATTATTATTCTACCGTGTTAGAAGTAAGTGCTGACTTTGGCCACAACATTGGACAAGTCAGGCACAGCATTTTTAGGTATATGATTGCCTGTGGACATTTATTGTATGTGGGGTCTGAGATTATACTGGTGATAGTTTATATTTCAATTCCCTCTATTTCTGGTGCCAGAGTAAGGAGTGTGGGAAGTAAGTAAGTAAGTAATTATCAAAAGAAGGCACCAAACCGGGAAGGCTATGTAGCACCATCAAATACGCAAAATAATCAGAGGGCGCTAAATATCACCAAGGATGCCAATACGAGAACAAAAACGCATAAGGCGAACGATATCAAAAGTATCCGAGTCACCAAGAATTCTATCGAGGGACAGGTGACCGCGAGGGGCGGTCGGAAAGCAAGACACACGCTCGTCCTGGAAGTCAGGACATTCAAGAAGGACATGCACGACCGTAAGAGGGACAATGCAACTAGGACAATAAGGAGCAGGGCGGCGCTCCATCAAGTGACCATGGGTTAAGCGAGTATGGCCAATACGCAACCTCGCTAGAGCTGTTTCCCACCGCCGGTTACGGTGGAAGGAGGACGGCCACGAGGAAACACAACATTTAAGAGTACGTAGCTTGTTACCAGTAACAGACAACCAAGAAGCCTGCCAACGGGTAAGGACTGAGGAATGGATAACCGGGTAAAAGTCGGAATACGGAATGCCTTTACGAGAGATGGGACAAGAGCGGACAGCTTCCTTAGCGGCAGCATCCGCACGCTCATTTAAAGACACGCCAATATGGCTGGGAACCCAACAAAACTCAACCGACTTAAATTTACTGTGAACGAGAAACAGCCAATGCTGGATCTCGACAACTACCGGATGAACTGGATTAAAGCACCCGAGAGCCATGAGGGCACTACGAGAGTCAACAACAACCACAAAGGAAGACTGACAACGAGAAAGCAGGAGACGAAGAGCATAGAGAATAGCATAAAGTTCCGCTGTAAAGATGCTAGTCTCCGGAGGCAAGCGACACATATAAGTGCGATCAGGAAAAACAACAGAGTAGCCAACACCGTCCGCTGACTTAGACCCATCGGTGAAGACAAAAACGGAGCGGGAGTGAGAAGAAAAGTGCTCGAGGAAAAGGCGTTTTAGAACTGTAGGAGGGGTAAAAGCTTTAGTGATACGAGTCAAGGATGTACAAAACCGCGGAAGAGGGACCCTCCACGGGGGCAAAGAAGGAACAACACGAGGAGAAACATCAGAAATACGAACGGAAAGAGAATCCTGCAGGCGAGATAACCGGACAGAAAGAGGGAGGTGGTGAAGAGGAACAGGAACCGCAGGAGGGGTAAAAGTTAAAGCACGACAGAGACGAGAGGAAGGATGTTGCAAGGACCGCGCAAGATAGCGAAGACAGTAGCGATCACGGCGGTCCTGGAGAGACAGGAAGCCAGTGTCAACATACAAGCTAAGGACGGGAGTCGAACGAAAGGCACCAGAACTGAGGCGCAACCCAGTATGGTGCAAAGCATCAAGACGGCGAAGAGTAGAAGGAGAAGCAGACGAGTAAGCAGGGCAACCATAATCGAGCTTAGACAGGACGAGAGAGGAATGTAAAGCAAGGAGAGTGCGCCTATCTGCCCCCCAAGAAGTATGGGACAAGACCCGAAGGAGGGTAAGGGACTTGGAGCACTCAACACGGAGGTAAGAGATATGGGGAGACCAAGACAAACGAGTGTCAAGGAATAACCCCAAAAGCTTCGCGGAATCTTTGTATTCAAGGGGATGACCATAAAGTGACAAAGAGGGACGAAGAACAACCCGTTTCCGCGTAAAAGTCATGGCACAAGTCTTAGAAGTAGAGAACTTGAAGCCATGACCTGTGGCCCAAGACGACACGGCATCAATCGCAAGTTGAAGCCGGCGTTGAAGGAGAGGCGAATCATCACCCTGACAACAAAGGGTAAGATCATCGACATAGAGAGCGGAGAAGACACCAGAAGGAAGAGAGGAAAGAAGACCATTGAGGGCAACCAGAAAAAGAGTAGTGCTCAGAACACTACCCTGGGGCACACCTTCGTATTGCTGAAAAGAGGGAGAGAGAGCGGTACCAAGGCGCACCCGAAAGGAACGACGAGAGAGGAAGCTGCGGAGAAAGAGAGGGAGATGACCACGAAGGCCAAAAGAATGAAGTTGAGATAGGATATGATAACGCCAAGTGGTGTCGTAAGCCTTTTCTAGGTCAAAAAGGACGGCAACAACGGAGGTCTTCGCAGCAAAAGCAGTACGTATATAGACCTCCAAGTTCACCAGGACATCTGTCGTGCTGCGGCACTTGCGGAAACCAAATTGAGAAGGGGAGAGGAGGTGATGGTGTTCCAGGAACCACATCAGACGAACGTTAACCATACGTTCAAAGAGTTTGCAGACACAACTTGTGAGAGCAATAGGGCGAAAGTCCTTAGGGGAAGTACCCAGAGACCCCGGTTTGCGAACAGGGAGGACAACGGCATCGAGCCAGTCCTCAGGGACTGACGACGACTCCCAGATCCGATTATACAGACTCAGTAAATACTGAGACGTGCTCGGAGGGAGATGGCGAAGCATCTCATAATGAATACCATCGGAGCCCGCCGCCGTAGAACCGCAGAGGGCCAGGGCAGAACGAAGTTCAGAGAGAGAGAAGGGATCATTATAGGGAAGCTGAAGATGAGTGCAGAAATCTAAAGGACGAGACTCAAGGACAGGTTTACGAAGAAGGAAAGATTGGGGAAGATGAAGACCAGAGCTAACAGAAGAAAAGTGGGAACCCAGTTCGGAAGCGACCTGCAACGGGTCCGCCACAAGAGTATCATGGAGGGAGTGTGGGAATTTAAGGGGATACTAGACTATTTCACAAGCCATGATTGACGGCTCCTAAAATATTTTAAATGCTTATTTGCAGTGGGCAGTTTACAAGGCAGTTTAAGAGCTGAGGAGTAGAAATATTTGTGCTAGCAGTCATAGTTCTTGAATTCAGATAAACTTGAAGTGCTGTTCTCTTCTCACTAGCATCTCTCAAATCAGATAAAAGCATTATAGTATTGCCTTCTTTTTTCTGGTGGTTATCAAGACCCCTAGATAATTTCATTGGACTGGTAAGCAACAGAACTGTTGAAACTGGCCACAAACAAGAATGCAGAATGCTTGCTGCATGCACTCAAAGGCAAAGATTGTGATAGACTAGTTAAAGATTCACCCTCTAGCAAATATGGTTCCCTAATTAGCTTGGAACAGTCCCAAGAATCACCATCTTCCAGATTGATGGCCAGATCAGCCAGATCTTTAGCTGTGCAGCTTGTTTTTCAACTTGGGTAACAAAGACCAGCTGATCAGGAATACAGTAGTTTGAAGGAACATATAAACTTTATGAAGACAGTTATGAGTACGTTGGTAATTCCCCTAATATTGGATAGGTATTTAAAAGTTTTGTGTATAAATCCATACCAAAAAGATAACATCATCTTTCTATTACACAATCCATGATGCGATACAGATAACCTAATTTTGACCTGGAAGTACAGTACATTGTATCCTTCCAAATCCAGACCTCCCTATAAATAATTTGTTTTTAAACAGACCAACACTGCCAAATGTATTTTCCCTCTGAAACACTGCTTTCTAAAAACAAAATATGGATTCTGGAGGGGAATACAGTGAAATGCAGTTCATCAAAGTAATTTCCATCCAGTTACAATTTTTCTTATTTTTGCTAATCATGTTTTTTATTTGTAAATACTATTCAAAATACTGCATTTATAATTTAGAAATGTTTTACTGTCTTTATATTGTACTATAAATTGTACAAACAAGTTTGACATGTTTTTTCTGAATTTGCAGTGTACATAAGCTTTATAAGCAATCTATAAGAGAACAGACACATTCTGTACAGTATATACAAATTTAACAGTGATAAGTGTTGAATAGTGTATATATTAATTCTAAAGAAATGTTCTGAGACTGGTAAAAGATTATTTAATGAAAGGAGAATTTTAAAGGAGCCATACCTTTGTGATGCCTAACTCGGTGATGTGTTTCAAAACTTCTTTGGAAGCAACGTATGAGGCATTTCGAACAGCAATTGGACCACCAGCCACCTGTCTTGCTCGTACTGCCCTCTGTTCTAGAAACCTGACAAGGATAATTTGTATACCTGTACAAATAATTAAATGTGCACCTGCATGTGTATTTAGGGAAAGTATTGTTGATAAAATATGGAAATACAAAAATGAAGAATACCTCAAGAGCAAAAGAAATGAAAAATAGCTCATCACAGGGCCCCATATACATGTCAATCAACAAAATAGAAAATCCACTAGAGAATTTTTTTAGATATGGTTCACTTACTTGGGGGAAATTAAAAAAGGTATCCCCAGTTATGCATATCTCACAATAGGAAGAGAGTAGTTAACACTTTCGCGTCAACATCTGGGGACGTAATTGACGTCCACAAATAACTCTGTGGATGTCCACTTGGGTCATAATAGTGTTCAATATTAAAATTTGTTAAAATTCCTCTATTTTTTTCTTTATACCCGATCTTTATGGGACTAGTTTTAATAGATTGCGAACAATTTGATACCAAAATGAACGAAGTAGCGTTAAAATTGAGATGAGAAAACTGAACAGAGTATACACACATTGTGTATAATGCTCGCGGGTAGTAGTTGGCCGATTTTCAGTTTTGCTGCGGGTTGCACGCCAGGCTTTTGACCTTATATGCATGTATCCCTTTAGAGAATTCTATTGTGAATAATTTGATACAAAAATTGACGTGAGAAAACTGAAAACCGTATACACATTTTAGTGCAGGTGTTGGTGTGCGGATAGGTGCTCTCTAATGGGTAATGCTTGTCTGACTTTCAGGTTTGCTGCAGATTGCATCTTGGGTTTTTTGACATAATATGCATACATATCCCTTTAGAGAATGCTACTGCGAACAATGCGATACCAAAATGAGTGATGTAACTCGAAAATTTACGTGAGAAAACTGAAAAGAGCACACACATTTAAGTGCTGTTGTGCGCTCACAGGTAGCGAAAGGCCGATTTTCGGGTTTGGTGTGCGGGTGGCATGTCGGGCCTTTGGACTATATATGCATATACCTAAGTAGGGAATTCTATTGCAAACAATTTGATACCAAAATGAACAACATAACACAAAAATTGACGTTATCAAACTGAAAAGAGTATACAGTACACATTTACGTGCTGGTGCACTCTCCTAATTGTACTCTCTTAATAGTGCTTGCGGGGGTTGAGCTTCATCTCTTTGGTCCCGCCTCTCAACTGTCAATCAACTGGTGTACAGATTCCTGAGCCTACTGGGCTCTATCATATCTACATTTGAAACTGTGTATGGAGTCAGTCTCCACCACATCACTGCCTAGTGCATTCCATTTATTAACTACTGACGCTGAAAAAATTCTAAAGTCTCTGTGGCTCATCTGGGTACTAAGTTTCCACCTGTGTCCCCTTGTTCGTGTCCCACCCGTGCTGAAAAGTTTGTCTTTGTCCACCCTGTCAATTCCCCCGAGAATTTTGTAGGTGGTTATCATGTCACCCCTTACTCTTCTGTTTTCCAGGGACGTGAGGTCCAGCTCCTTTAGCCTTTCCTCGTAGCTCATACCTCTCAGTTCCGGGACGAGCCTGGTGGCATACCGCTGAATCTTCTCTAACTTTGTCTTGTGTTTTACTAGGTATGGACTCCAGGCTGGAGCTACTGGGTGTGCCAATGTGCTGGAGCAGGCTGGGTGTGCCAATGGGTGCTCGCTCACGGGGAACGTTTGGCCGACTTTCGGCTTGGGGGTGGGGTCTGGTGGTCTGGCTTTTGAACCTTATATGCATATATCCCTGTAGGGAATTCTATTGCAAACAAATTGATACCAAAATGAACAACATAGCATGAGAATTGAGGTGGAAAAACTGAAGAGTATACACATTTACGTGCTGTTGCTCGCTCACAGGTAACGCTCGGCTGAATTTTGGGTTTGGTGTGTGGGTGGCACGTCGGACTTTTGGACCTTATATGCATATATTCCTGTAAGGAATTCTATTGCGGAAAATTTAATACCAAAATGAACGATGTACAATGAAAATTGAGGTGAGAAAACTGAAAAGCGAATATAGTAAGCATGCAACTTGCTAGCTAGTAGTAATATTTGCTTGCAAGTTTAATACTCACCTCCAGCATTGTTGGTTTAGTATGTCGACAAATTCTGAATCAAAGTGCTGATCAGAGTACCATGCTCCACCAGTCAGTGAGCGGTCTGGTTCTAAGTTGTACAGCAAATATGTCTTCTTCTTCGGTGCCTAAAATGAGGAAGAGAATGTCTTGTGTATTTTGCCATTCATGTTCTTAATACAGAGAAAAAGGATGAGTGTAAATGCTAATAAAAACTGTAGCTACATATATTCTGTGTTGATTATATTTTTGTTTAGGGATTCTATCCCTCTGACTAGTGCTCTTACATCTTGGTTTCCAAGATGCAAAAGCACTAATCCAGGGTCATTGGGCAGGTCCTCTCTGTCAGGCACATACAGTAGTATGATGCTGGAGTCTGCTGCAGTGTGGCCGGTCCTTCAGGGGGCTAATCTTCCTCCAGGCTCCATTCTCCAACTCAATTCCAACTCCTCTCCAGTGGATCATTACCTGAATTACAGATTACGGTTGGCATCTGTACCACAAACCCCAGGGTTTGCAATTAGAGCCAATATCATGAAATCCAGCCCCACAAAGCTGGAGCAACCTGATAGGCAGCTGCATGAGAAATCCGACTGACCAAAACAGAAGTCCAGCACTGAAAACAGCACACTTTAATCCAACACGCTAAATGATGGAGGCAACAGGAATGAGCAACAGGAATCAAAAACACCCAAGCCCATCCTGAAAACCTGCAGTGTGAGGCATGACATGGAAAAGAATTGCAACCGGGAGTGTTAGATTTGTTCCTTTGATGCATCACGCTATTGTGATTTCTGTGTGTAATACTGGGTATAAGGAAAAACCATCTCAAATATAAACACTAAACTTAACACCATTGAAGTTTATCAGTTATTACTTCTGCTGCATTATTTATTAAATGAATCCTACTCAGACAAGAGAAGCCTCGGTGAAAAAACAATCCAATAAGGAAAATTTGTGGAGTGCTACCTGGGATTAAATTTTTTTTTTAATTTGTAATTGCGCAATAATTCAAAGCTTAAACTTACCGCAACTGAATTAAAACTTTTGATAAGTTTCTTGCTGTCAAGTTTCCGTAGGACTTTCTCGACAGTGTTGAGGTGGAGATTACTTCTCGCACGGATTTCTCTGGCCCATATGCCTTGTGTTCCACATTCTTCTATGATCTTGTAGACAACCTGGCCATAAATATAAAGAAAAACCTTTGTGGAATTAGGAATTAGAATAATTCTTATGTTCACAATCACTAAAAATTACATTTATTGTGTATACCTAAAAAATTTAAATTTAGTTTATTTAATGGACACTAATTCAAAAGGTAAAATGTATGATAAGAATTAAAATAACAGATGAGAAATGTAATAAAGTAACAGTAAAATTGTGATTAAATTTAACAGTAAGTGACAATAGGAAAGCAAAAGTACTGTATCAGATGACAATACACTACACTGTATATAAGCTTTGGTCAGCATATCTTAATGACAGATTAAATATGTAAATTGTAAATTCATGATGATATAGTAGCTTTGAAAGTCAAGCCACGCCACTAATGGAGCTAAAACTGGAAACTGAAATACTGAATAAATGTTAATTAAAATAAAAATTATGTAAATGACAAAATTACCTGCTCTTCTGGTTCCGCTCCTTTGATTCGATGTAGGCTACCCGGATCTCGAAGCTTGAATACTAACACATCGTCATCTTTTTTCAGCATGTCTATACGACTCTGGCAAAAAAATAGCAAAAAAATAAGGCATTGAATGAAAATGGCAAGCTCTATTCTGAGCAGGCTACTCAGTCGCTCCTTTCTGAGCAGGGTGCTCAGTTGCTATTTTCCGAGTAGGCCACTTTGTCACTACTTTCTGAGCATGCCATTCAGTAATTATTATCTAAGCAAACGACTCGGTTGGGTCCCGCAGGATGTGTGCACCAAGGGCCTCCCGAACCTCCCCAGAGGAAATCCGAGAAGCTCTCTAAAACCCAAACGGGGCAGCTCCAAGGCCTCCAACCAGGCAACCAACCTGGTGCATTGCAAGGCAGAGAAGCGAGCTTGCAATGCAGCCGCTGCCTGAATCCTATCATTCGGAGATGAGGAATGAGTAAACCGAAGCACAAGCGGGAACACATGCCGCAAGACTTCTGGTCATAGGTGTTACTGACCTAACGGGTAGCATCACAGAGGCAGAAGGGATGATCATCTCCTTGAGGAAGAGGCGACGAACAACCTTCAACATCGCACAAGACGAGAGTGGACTGAAAGATCCATGTTACCAACCCGAGCCCACGGGGGTTTTCCGAGATTTTCCAAGGCCTGGGGCCCTTCCCTCAAACGGGAAGCAAATCACGAACACCCAGGAACCAACCCTGGCCGCAAGGGTACTCAGGGTTGGTATGCAGCTCCAAGTATAAAGAACATCTGGCTACCACACCACACAGCTGGCACATCCACACAGGACAAAATCCGGACAGAAAAGCGAGGACAGAGGTGACTTTCGAACACCAAGCACATGAGACGAGAACCGAGCTGACAAGTAACCAGCTCCCCTGAGCGGGCTCTCCCTCCCCCATATGAGGGGGAGGATAAGCTAACGAGCAGAGCTAGTTAAATTAAGCTAGTTAATTTTCTGCTTATTTTTTTTCTTTTAGTAGGAGTTTCTTTGCTTTTTCAGGCTGTAGGTTGCATTTAACTGGCCAGATGCTTGTATTGCCTTGCCTATCTTTCTGGGTGCCCACCCTGGTCGATGGCAGAATACAACATATAGTACTTTAAATGTAGAGTGGTAATATGCCTTTGCTCCCTGTGCCTCTTTTGAGAGAACTAGGTTCTGGCATTGATTTCTGGTAGGCTTAAGAACTCCAAGTGACTGATGGCCCCAAACAAATATAGCACATGTCAGTTCGGTTAAGTTTAGGGAGCCAACAGAGCTCCCCCAGAAAATCTATATTTTGTATTATTCATTTTATTGAAGATCCAAGATGGTGACAACCAAATTTAGTTTTTCGTAGACCTAGTATAGTATATGTACTAAATTAGGCCTACGATTGCTTATTAGACATAGGACAGGTCAGGTTATTTTTATGGTTTCACTTTTTGTTATGCTCTTTAGAATTTTAATACTGTACTATAGTACAAAACATGAATTTTTGAGTACAACAGTTCATACTTTGTACATTCCATCCATAGTAGCAATAGGGTTTATTATTTTTGGGTGACAGGTTGAATATGAACTAATATAAAATGCTGCATGAATGAAGGGACAGAAATGAGAAGAAACCGAAAAACATCACGACAGCATTTGAACTTACATTTGCTAACAGTTTATTGATGACTGCAACAATCTGTGGGAGTTTCAGTTCGGGCATATCATTTTGAATAATCTGGTAAGTGATGCCTTGCTTAAACTCTTCACACAGCTGGATTACTCTGCAAAAAATTAACCATCAGTTAATAAATGTTACCTTGAGGTGCAGCAGTTTGGTCACTTATTATGCAGTGCAGCAGTTAGTTTGGTCATTTATTATGCAGCCCATGCTCATCCTGTGGGGGCAGTGGTGGAAAGGGTTACAGAGGCACATAATGGGAAATGAACCCCATAAAAACATATACGAGCATATTTGCTGATGATGCTAAGCTACGAGGGAAGCGTAGCTCTTATCCTGTAACTACACTTAGGTAATTATACACACACACACACCCTTAATTATAGACCTGTATAACTAACTAAATTTATTGCACAGGATCTTCCAGATTAAAAATCATACTGTGTTATTATGTCATTTTTCTCCAGGTGTTGTACCCATTTGGTTTTAATTATTCTTTCCAGTATTTTGACTACTATACATGTTAGTTATAGAAGTCTTCACTTTAGTACACTTGATTTGAGTTTACTTTTAGTATAGATAATAAAACGTACAGTACAATATTATGATCGCCACACCAAAAATAAATCTCTCTGATATCCTCAGTCAAACTAAATTTATGCAAACACTATGCAAATAAAGGTATCTAGTCTATGGAACTCACTCCCTAACAAATTAAAAAGTTGCAAAACTGATATCTTCTTCAAAAGTAAAATAAAAAAGTATGTACAGTGGTACCTCGGAATGCGAGTGTCCCTGTATGCGAGTTTTTCGGAAGACGAGCAGGATTTACTCCAAAAATATATCTCGGAAGGCGAGGGTTACCTCGGGACGCGAGTTTGTTGATACGTGTACAGACCGACTGGCGCGTGGTGGCATGGCGATCGCGCCTCAGTTTACCAGTGTCTCGTGTCCAGTGACTATCCCACCTGAATTCTTCACAAGGATTTACAGTTTTTTATCAGTTTTTTGGCCATTTGAGCATAAAAGTTGTCATTATATATCTTGCCATGGGTCTCAAGAAAGCCATTGGTAAGGTTCAACCTAAGAAAATAGCTGTGAGTAGAGGCAGTAGAGGATGTCCCTTCTTGATTAAGAAAATGTGTGAAGTATGGGAAGAACTGCAAAGTTTTGTTGAAAAAAATCACCCAGATAAAGCTGTAGCAGGCCGTTGCATTGACCTTTTAAATGATAATGTGATGTCTTACTACAGACAAGTGTTAAAATGTAGGGAAAAACAAGTGTCATTAGACAAATTCTTAGTAAAACAAGCAAGTCCTAGTGGTATGCAGGCAAAATGTGCCAGAGTGTGCATACCAGTGAAGTCCTCACTGCCTGATGTGATAATGGAAGGGGACTCCCCTTCCAAACAGTAACTCCTCTCTTCCTCCCACCTCCTCACCATCTTCCATACGCCTACAGCATTCAACAGCAAGGTAAGTAATAACTTGAACATAGTTTTGTAGGTTTATTTAGATGAATTAGGTATAAAAATTTAGTTTGATGTGGGGTTTTTGGGGTAGTCAGGAACGGATTAATTCATTTCCCTTTATTTCTTATGGGGAAATTAGCTTCGGAATGCGAGTTTTCGGAATACGAGGCATCTCCAGGAACCAATTAAACTCTTAAACTGAGGTATGCCTGTACTTAATTTCATCCTCATAGTTTCCTACCTAGTGCTTCAAACTTGCACTGTATCTTGTGCTACCCACTCTCCCAATATATGTGCCTAAGAAATGTCAACTTCACCACTGTAATCACTGCTATCAACTTATGTCTTAGTTATGTTGAAGGCAAATTTTGCTACAATGTACCTATTATTAGTCCTCAAATTATGATACAATGTACCTGTTGATAAGCCTCAAATTTTACTACTATGGACCTATTAAAAATTCTTCAAATTTTCTTACAGTGCACCAATTAATATTCTTAAAATTTTCTTACAATGATGCACCTATTATTATTCAAATTTTGCTACAAATTCTCTACTAAAATTATCTTATATTAAGGACCTACCCGAAATGCTGTGTGTGTTAGTGACTTTGCAAGAAGGTGCTATGTACTCTCATAAACCGAATGTACTTTCTTGTACTGTATATATAAATAAATAAAATTTAAAAATGTGAAATAATGTGAGAACAATATTACAAACTGAATAACAAATATAGCATTACTATACCTTTGCTCAATTTCTGATGCTAGGTCCGATGCTGCCATGTTTACAATCTAAAATAAAAAATATCAAATAATCAAGGAACAGTATTAGATTGCTGTTAACGTACATACTAATGTTAAAAATTAAGTCAGTTTTTCTAATAATGATTATTAAAGAGACAATATACCTTGCATATTTTACATCAAAATATCAAGTCAGTAAATAACTTATTATAATTATATTACTTGAGTGATTTATTGTAAATGTAGCACAAACTTATTTATGATGCTATACAATACTGTAATTAGTTCTTCCAAAGTAGACACAAGTACACTGATGCGAGGCAGCCCAGTGGTGAAGTGGGTGCTGTGAATATCAGTCAGGGATAATGCACTAAGCAATTGGATCTATGCCTTCCAGAAACTGACCTACTGCTAGTTTTTCTTTCCTGCTTCAAATAAGGAATTGGCTCCTTCCTGTGGTTCCTCCTGCTATAATTACATTTTCCATTGAGCAGCTTCTGTAATCTAACTTCTCTCTTAAAGTGAGATGAGGAGACACCCTCATTTCTTTGTTCTAGATTCTTAAATAATCTTTCTGAAGGTTGGATGTTCAACAGTCACTTCCTGATCCTGACCCATTTGTGCAGTAAAGACAGGGTTATGAAGTGCCACTTCTGTCCTGCACTGGAGCACTGAAGGACTTCACCCAATGTGTTCCCACCTAGCGCAGCCAAACTCTGCTGATCCTCCTTGTCCGTATCTGCTACTTCTGCCCCAGAGTCCGATACAATAGTAATGTCTGAACGAGTACTTTCTTCTAACCCCTCCCCTGAAGGTTGGATTTTTGTCTGGGCAGTCTTCTGCCCTTGATCAGGTTGTTCTACTAGTGTGTGGTCCTGAAGTATGCTCACTTCCCTGGTCCTACACTCTAGCATTAAGGGAACTTCAAGTGGTGAGCTTTCAGGCTGCACAGATGAAACCTGCCGACCCTCTGCAGGGTTATTCAAAGATGAAAATTTGTCACGAACCCCTGAGATTCTCGAGACCACTTCGTCTAATTTTGCATCCATACCTGCAAATTTGTCTAGTTTTGTATCTATACCAGTAAGAGGGAGAACCTGATCCAGCATTTGATTGCCGGGGAACCCCGTTACAATGATCCGATATTCTAGCAGCCGGTGATGAAACTGGAGATTTTGTGTGCGTCTGTGAACGAAGACGAGAAGCAACACTACTTCGGGATGGTTGTTTGTATCGGGAAGTCCTACTCACAGCATTGATCTGCACTGCTGGGCCTCTGATGGGAGCCATATGAGGATGAACCTGCTGACCCGTGAATAGCAACAGAGTTATGCTGAAAGGTCTGAGCCCGATCAATACCCTTTTCCATGGATGAAATGTTAGCGTTGGAAATATATTCCGCTAAGCACTTATCCAGCAACCCCTGGCCAAATCGCATGATTGCCATCTGCTCTTCATCCCCACTTTCTAGATGTTTGTAGGCTCGATGAGCCAGATACTATCTGAATCCAATGTTACTCCCTCCCAGAATGTTTAAAACTTAGATCACCCTTGGCATGGCCTTGAATGCTCAATAAGACTGGATAATCGTAAGTTTGTACATTTAACTTGATCATGTGCTTAAGTCTAGGGTCATGTCCTTAAATATAAGGTGTGTCAATATATGGCACTCTTACAAGTACAAGTTAGGTAAGATCACTTATCACTTATTTCCAAGTACTTCATTGGTCACTGTAGGAATATCACATGAATTTATGTTTCCCTAACAAGTGGAAATATGCAAACCACAATGTTTCAGGTCTTAATATTTCAGTATTTCAATTATATATATTCATTAGTATCACTCACTTAAATCTAGATACAGTATATTTCACATTTATTTCAGGTAAATGTACTTAGCTGCACTTAAAATTAGTGCAGCGACACTTCATGCACTTTTATCTATATCTACCAATGTATATATATATTTTTCAAAGTTCATGCACCTATCAGCTTAACAACACATGCATTTCAGGTGAATGGAGAACTTGATGGTGCACACAGTAGAAATCAGGTCTCCTTTAATCAGTTCTAGGTACACCAGCACGTTTTTTTTACACACATGTCTCCCTGGGGTCATATATGTATAATACAGCACAACGAGGTGCAGCACTTTTGTATAGCTCGAAACGCTATGAGTACTAGTGGCTTTAGGTATTGTATGTACTAGCTCTATCTATAAATCCATTATGTTTGTAAAACAATTATGTATGTACTTTCCTGAATAAAATTTACTTTACTTACTAGCTGAAGCCACCGGGTTCTTCCACGACCGTGAGCAAAACAATAACACTGAGCCCGGATACGCTCGTGAACGGCGGGGCTGAATCCAGGAGTTGGTATCATCTCCTCTTTCAAAATAAAATAAAAATGGCAGAAAATTTGGAATTTTGGAGTAGAATACCAAGAAAAATAGCAAATGCAGAGAAAATTCAAGATATAATCTAAGTGGCAAGTGGGAACGCCAACTGGTGGGGGCGGACGCCAACATGTAGGAACAAGTATGGCCGCGGTTGGGCCTGAGCATGGTGATTGCGTTGTCTTTAGAACAATGAATATGCAGACGAGGAGTCACAATAACGTGGCTGAAATATGTTGACCAAACCACACACTAGAAAGTGAGGGGACGACGACGTTTCGGTCCGTCCTGGACTCAAGACAAGCCGATTGTCTTGAGAATGGTCCAGGTCGGACCGAAACGTCGTCGTCTCTTCACTTTCTAGTGTGTGGTTTGGTTATCATCAATGAATATTTGCCAAATTCACAAAAAATGGAGAAATAAATATGACGAAAATTAGAATCACAGAAAAATGCAAGAAATGGGAAATAAAGCACAGACACCGAAATCAGGGACCATAATGTCAGACAACGCAACTGAAAAGCATGGATCAATTCCTAGCAAACCAGAGAACACCTATGGTGCAAAACCGATGACAGTAAATACTACTGTGATGTTGAACACTTTCTCAATCAAGAATAGCATAGGCGGTCGCCTATGGGGTATGGGACGACCGACCACGTGGTAACCGACAGTTAGTTTAATTCATTTATTATGCACCGTAGTGTACTTCTGCTCTCAGATTGCTCATTGACAATCCAAAGTTACACTCAACATCTCCTTTAAAGGCAGATTCTTTGGCTAACTTATCAGCTCTATCATGCATTCGGAGGCTAACATGAGATGGAGACCATATGAAATGGACTCGGTTACCATCTTTAATAACCGACATGCACAGAAATGGATATAATATGGGTAAATACTGGTTCGGTAACAGGGTTGTTGATTTGTGGAACCAATTACCGCGTAACGTGGTGGAGGTGGGGTCCCTCGATTGTTTCAAGCGTGGGTTGGACATGCATGAGTGGGATTGGGTGGTTATAGATAGGAGCTGCCTCGTATGGGCCAATAGGCCTTCTGCAGTTGCCTTTGTTCTTATGTAATAATAAGGAAGACAGTTGCTCACCTCGAGCTGAAGTCTTCTGGGGGCGGCCTGAAGCAATGCGATTGCTTCTCAGAGACGAGGTCCAAAGGTGCTGGCCAATATTGGGGGGTTGAATAACCACGGTCCAGGGAGCGTCAATAGCAGGTGTAGCTGTGATCAGGGGCGGTTCTTCTCCGGTGCTGGGCTCAGGGGGAGATGCACACAGGTCACTGCACAGGGCTGCCGTCCACCAATCAGGAGCACCTAGCATAAGAGATATTCCCGCTGGCGGGCACTTTGAATGTGGTTCCCTCCACACACTCCATATAAATAAAAGGAGCCAGTCTATGGAACTCACACCCTTATGAATTAATAAACTATCGAATCTATGTATTATTCAAAAGTAAAACCAAAAAGTATCTAATTACCTCCTCATCGTTTCCTACCATGTGCTTCAAACTTACACTGTATCTTATATGCTACCCACTCACCCGGTTTTATTACTTAAGACATGCACCTTCACCAGCATAATTAATACCATTAATTTATAAAGAAATAAGTAATAAATAAATAAATAAATAAATATATCAACCGTGGACCTATACCAGCGGTTTTCTCCCCGGCGAGTCCCTGTTCTCTGAGAGCGACAAACCGACGCTCCTCGCCAGTTATAGTTACAAAATGCGATATGTATAGCTTATAACACTGTTACGGACCCGAGTCCAGCGTCGTAGCACGGAGCTGTGACGACCACGCCATCTGTGGGTCAGCTCCCGAAACCCCCTCCAAATGGACGATGCCATCTAGTGAGGACGAGATATACCGGCCACAGGGGCTGGTTTCCCGCCTTAATCAGCTCGTGACATAGCCGCTGCTGACCTCTGGTGAGGTGGCGCTTAGACAGCAACGCCATCTATGGAGCGGATAGGTGGACGTTTGTGTCTAAGCCTGTGAGTGAGGTGCCCTAGAGTGTCATCAGTACTAATGACGTGTCTGATTACAGAGTCGACCTGGGACTGCTGAATCGGACGGTGGATCAGTCTACCCAAGGCAGCCATAGTATCTCCACGTGTTTGCTGCAGAAGCTGTGAGTCACCCCCCGGATGAACACTGTTGTGTTAGCCTGCCTGTGACGTGGCAGAACCAGGAATTGTCGTACCTGGGGCTGACTGGTGGAGAAGACTAGCCACTGGGGTGTTGAGAGAGGAGAGTGATCAGCGGTATCACACGAGGCTCCTGCCTAGGGCTCGCAACCCTAGTATCGGTCGTGGAGTGGCCTACGCAGCAGAGCTGATTGGAACCTGCCAGCTACAGGCTGGATTTGTGGTTGAAGGTCTCCACGACGGTGCACCCAGTGGAACTGTGATTTGGCTGGCCTGTGGCCAGGGTAGATTCGCCTAAGGAATCGAAGGATTCATCGTGAGGCCACAAGAAGAGAACCAGGGCTACTCGTCTTGAGCACCGTGGAGCATCCCGTGTCTTCAGAGGAAGACCATGCTGTACATTATAGTGTTTATAACCCCGTGTGACTGTTTATATATTTATTTATGGTGGTGGTGATTATATATATTTAATTTAGTGCATTTGTATCCCTTTCCCCTTTAATTTACTTGCGTTATGGAACGCACCCCTTGAAAGCCACTACTAACTTGGGGCCGGATACCCAAACTCTAATAAGATCAGAGAAGAACCCAGATGCGACCCAATAGGGCCGTAACAAACACTGACCTCTCCGATCAGTGCACACATGGACGAAACAACATGTGTGCAAATGTCAAAATACGAAATATCTGACCCCTCGTTTGTTTACATCTTATCATTCAAATTAGGACTTTTTTTTTAATTTACCTCCATATATAAGGTATTCTTTAATACTAGTATTGTTATATTTAGAAAACTAAATGATTTTAGCTACTTTGACGTTTATAAAATACCACAAATTTTCATACATAATGGTTCTTCAAACATTAATCCAACATTTTGGGTTCTACTACCCAAAATCATTTACGTCCTCTAATTACTCAACACAAAGCTGCTATTAGGACAATATCCAACTCTGGCCCCAGACATCACTCGACGGTACCCCTACTCAAATCTCTGAATATGTTAGATATTAAGTCACTGCACATTCTCTCAGAGTATTATACATATATAAAACGCTGAACTGTAATGCCAATCCTGACCTCAAAAGCTTCATTAAAGGTTGTAACAGATCCCATGAGCACCATACCAGAAATAAATTCAGTTTTGATATTCCAAGAGTACGACTTAATCAAACTAGAAATGCTCTACAAATCAAGGGATCCAGAATGTGGAATGACCTTCCCAACCATGTTAAAGACTGTACCTCTCTCAACCAGTTTAAGATAAAAACGAAGCACTACCTAATAAATTCCATGTAACCTACCTTACCCCCTATTGTCAACCCATGTTTGTTTTCTTAAACATCGCTGTTTGTCGCCCTAATTGTATTTGTGCTGCGTTTTCAGCCATGTTTCCCCCTTTTTTATCTTTATTTTAATTTGTTCTCAACACATTTTATTCTTTATACTCAATTAGTATTAAGTTTTAGTCATTAATGTTTTCCTGCCCGAAACGCTTTGCGTAATAGTGGCTTTAGGCATTGTATGTACTAGCTCCATCTATATATCAAATTATGTAAAATCTCTTGTATATATGTACCTTACCTGAATAAACATTTAATTTTTTATATTTTAGTTGTGGGACCAAGTGTGGGCAAAAAGAGCCAACTTCCCCACATCGTCTGGTCAACGGGGCAATCCGCAAAAGGGCTGATGCAAACCTCAAGAGCTCGACTTCTATGCAGAGCGAACACCGCACCGACCAAATGAAGAAGGCACCTGGGTCACCACAGACTCTGAAACTGGCCGAGTTTCACCTCTCGGCCCACCCTTCTGGAAGGGCCAAGAGTGACCTCCCCGGAAAACCAACAAATCTGAAACAGGCCGGCAACTAGAAGTCGCCAACAGAAACTGAGAAACATGGTCCTCAGGAAACAAAAAAGAGGATAAAATGGCAAAGCCGACTGAAGAGCCAGAGCCCCAAGCCAAATCCAATGAGAGAGCCTGCACAGCCTGTTGACAAGCGAGATAGGCGAAAAAATATAGAAACCGCCTCCAATAGGATCGGTGCAAAACAGCTTTAGTAAGGCAGACGATGTAGAAGCAGCCGAGAGCCCCCACTCTGTGACTCTGCATCTTCTGGAAGCCAATCGGAAGATAGCTCCAGAAGACTGAAGAATTACAAGACAGAGGCCAAGTGACTTCGAGTCTGCAAGTCATCGGCCATCAAAGCAGCTGAAAGAGTGGGGACCTGAGCATGATGTTGCACCAAACCAACATCCTGAGGAAGTGCAGGGGCGAAGAGGCACTCACTGAGAAACTCTGAGAATCCCCCAAGAACACCTGCAACATTGTGGTAACCTCCCGCCAATCAAGCGTGCGGGTACATCGAATGCCTCACCAAGTCCCAAGAGAAAAGAAGGGTCAGTCTGCCAGTCAGGAAGACTCTGGACCCCTCGCAATACACCCAATATGGTGAATTGTGGCTTCAGGTGACGTCCGACCGCCAGCATATCAGTCAAGAACTGGAGGGTGAATAGCCCGGGGGAGAGGCGGTAAAGGTTTGGCTAACAAGCGAGGGTGCTACTTGGACGAAGTGTTCCTTGTTTTCTTTCTGGGGAGTTCTTTTCCTCTTTTGAGGACATAGGTCGCAATTTTCACCAGGTAGTGGTCTGGTGAAAATTTCGCCTACTATGTTGGCATTTCTTTAAATGAATGCTGCCACTAGAGAGGCTATCCGCTCTTGTCCCATTTCCTGTAAAGATATTCCTTTTTCCGACTTTTATCCGGTTATTCATTCCTCCATCCTTGCCTGTTGGCAGGGTTGTTGGTAACAAACTCCATACTCTTAAGCGTTGTGTGTCCCCGTGGCCTTCCTCCTGCCACTGTAACCGGCGGTGGGAAACGGCTCTGGCGCGGTTGCGTCTTGGCCATACGCGCTTAACTCACGGTCACTTAATGGAGCGCTGCCCAGCTCCTTGTCCAAATTGCATTGTCCCTCTTACCGTCATACATATCCTTGTTGAATGTCCTGACTTCCAGGACGAGCGTGTGTCTTGCTTTCCGACCATCCCTCGCGGTCACTTGTCCCTCGATAGAATTCTTGGTGAATCAGATACTTTTGATATCATTTGCCTTATGCGTTTCTGTTCTCATATTGGCATCCTTGGTGATATTTAGCGCCCTCTGATTATTCCGCACATTTGGTGGTGCTACATAGCCTTCCCGGTTTGGTGCTTTCTTTTGATAATTACTTACTTCTGGGTGCCTTCCCTAGGCGATGGCAAGTATGATATACAGTTGAACCTCGGTTTTTGAATGGCCGTTTTCAAAATTTTTGGTTATCGAGTTCAATTTCTTCTAAAAATTTGACTCGGTATTCGAGGTTTGCCTTGGTGCTCGAGTTTGTTGATACACGTATGAGCCGACCAAGCACATGGCAAGCTTTCCCAGTCTACCAGTGTCTCCCACCTAGTGACGACAGCGCTTAAATTCTTTGTTTCGAATTTAATTATGTTTGTACTTTTTTGGTTTCTGAACATAAAAGTTCTTATTATATATCATGCCATGGGTTCCAAGAAAGTTAGTGGTAAAGTTCAACCTAAGAAAATAGTTGTGAGGATGACAATAGAGGAAAAACAAGAGATCATTCATAGTGAGACAATGTGATGCCTCACTACAGACAAGTGTTAAAATGTAGGGAAAAACAAATGTCTATAGACAGATTCTTAGTAAGACAAGCAAACAGGTAGCCACAACCAGTCCTAGTGGTATGCCTGCAAAATGTAAGTGAAAAAGTACCCGAGAAATGTCATCACTGCTGTTATAATGGAAGAAGATTCCCAAACACACATCTCTTCCTCACTGTCTTCAATATACCAACAAGAGTCCTCAATAAAGGCAAGATATACTTGTATATACTGTAGGACAAAATTTAAGTAGGAGTATGTATAAAAGTATTTTTAAGTTAATATTTTTGGGAATGTGGAATGGATTAATTCAATTTACATTAGTTCTTATGGGAAAATTCGTTTCAGTTTTCGAACCTTCTCTGGGAATGGATTAAATTTGAAAACGGAGGTACTACTGTACTTTAAATGTAAAGTGTTTATAGGCCGTTGCTCCCTGCTCCTCTCTGAGGGGGGCCAGGTTCTGGCTCTGGTCCCTGGTAGGGTCTCTGGCTCTGTGACTGATGACCCCAAATAGGATAGCATTATATTAGTGGGATAGCTTCAGGGAGCTGATGGGGCTTCCTGCAAAAAGTAGGTTAAACTCTAAATTGTTCAGCATGGTCATCATCATTAGGGAAATTCTATTTTATTCTCACACATTAACCGTAATGTTTTTACATTTTTCCAAATACAAACAATTACCTCACTAGAAACCCCATGTACTGGTTCTCCTTGGCAAAGGGGTAGCATTTATATTTAAGGAGGTTCCTCTGAATACCATGGTGCTTTTCTAGTATCAAGGGCTGCACACAGAAAAGGTCTTCTCGTGAAATAGAGAAAGATTTTATTAAACTCTTATATTCATCAACTATATGAACATACAATATAAATAATTTTGAAACTTACAAAAAATGACAAATGTAAATTTTTTTAAGTTACTGTAGCAAATATATTAAATAGTTTTATTAAAAGTTCACTTAAAATTATGGATCTCTTGAAATTATACTTAATCATAATTAAACAAAGATTAAACTTAAAATTATCAGATTGGCTCAAATGCATATAACCTTGGCTACTAAATAAAATTTAAAAGTAAGCAGAACTGCAACAGTCTCTGGGGTGCATTAAAATACAGTACAGTATCTTCAAATAAGTTTACACAATGACTTGACATATTAAACTAAAGATAACTAAGATAAAAGTTAACTAAAGATGGTTAACTATATTTAATCCTTAACTTAAACTGCAACTGACCCCAATATATGGCATAAAAATCTTTAAAAGTGATAGATTTCCCAGCAAAAGTATTAGAGAAACTATTGAATGCTCTCTTCCTGGCTACAGTGTGCCCAAACAAGGCCACGATGGTGGTGTTGGGAATGCCTGGGAATACGTTACCACACGAACCCCACTTTTAATCTCACTCATTTCTTAAATTGTTACAGTATATTCTACATTACTGTCTGAATCCTGACAAACATTCCTTCAATTCAAATATATATTTTGATTGTGTCAGTGAATAAATATGCATCATGATGGATATGTTGATGCCTGTAATTTCCATCATGGTGGGTGGCAAAGTCGTTGCAGAGGAAGCAAGTTTCGGCGCCAGAGAAGGCAGGCGAGGGCTGCCAGAAGATTCACTTGCTTTAAAGTATGTGTTTAAATATGCATTGAATATTCATGTATGTCATGTGAAGGGGGATGCACATATAATCCTACTTGAATAAACACAGGTTCGTATACACAATAGAGACAGTATTAACTAAGTGTTTACAAATTTGATATGTGAACTGTAGAAGTGAATAGGAAATGGTAGAAAATAGCAGTTCCTATAACAGAAAAATAGAAAAAAAATAAGCATTGAAAATAATACTGGAATACAATGTGTATGAAACGCTTCTTGAAAAAAGGATAGTAGTGAGATAGCATTTCAGATAATAGTGAGAGTTCATGGTGAAACTTGTATGTGGACACTAACTGTTTATAGCATGATTTCATGCCCTGACCATTACAATATTGCTAAATCTAACTATAATGTGCATTCCTTCCATTGTTTTTGTGGTGCGTTAGTTCAACAGGATATATTTGTAGAGTTTGAGTAGTAAAATGATGTAAATTTTATATCAATACTGTTTTACCAGATACAAATCTCCTTATTCTCGTGTTTATAATTTGCTTCTGATATATTTATGGTCATTTTAATAACTGATATTTCTAATGAAGAGAAGCTAAGCCTTAAATAATTTTTGTAAACTTTTACACAATACTGAAGTGATTTCCTATTATTTGAATAATCAAATTATCTGGAAATAGAAATCTAATTCTTCATCCCTATTAACTGAAGATTGTGGCCAGTCTGCAGCTGACAATCTCTGCGGAAGTGGACGTTTGGAGCTTGGGTCATGACGAGCCTGCTTAGGTGGCAGCAAACACTTGGTATATGGTGGGAGTGTCCACTCCCACCCACTGCCTGCTGAGTGGGGTCTTAGGCTGTCATTAGCCAGCTGCTGTGGCAGTAAACACTTTGGATAGTGGCGAACACTACAGTATGAATGATGGTGGAAACTTACTTGTAGCATACAGGAGAGTAACAGAAATATACGAAAACAAATGTTTCCCCCTTTTCTGATTAATTATTATTCCTAAAATAAGATACAGTAAAAACAATTTTGTAATTAGAATAAATAAAATCTTATACTGATTATTTAATGTGACCTATTACATGTGGTTATAACATATGGCATTTGAAGTCAGGTTGAAAGAAGTGAACACACATACTTGTCATCTGCCCCCTCATCAGTCCACGTATTTCCTCATTTGTGCACATGAAGCCCTTTCATACACTGGCTTGCCAAAAGGTGGACTGGCTAGGACCCTAAACCAGCCAGTCATCAAGGTAGGCCAAGACACAAACCCCCAAAAGATGTAGCTGGATAGTAACCACCCATGCTAACTGGTAAAGATCCAAGGACCAGATTTAATCGAGAAGGGAGAACCTAAAAGTAGTAAAGCTTGATGCCCTACAACAAACCCTAACTAGTCCCTGAATTTTGAATGAATCAGGACATGCCAGTATGTGTCCCAGTGATCTCAGGACACCAACCAAGAATCCACCTGCAAAACCAAATGGATCTGAACTAAGTTGTTATGTGAAAGGTTGGACAAGGGATGAAACTGTTCAATCCTGAGTGGTCAAGAATGTAACAAAAGTCCATTAAGTCCCACTTGAGATCGAGGAACAACCAGGACATCCACTGAAGAGAGAGGAGGTTAACTCAACCACATCCAAGTCCAACCAAGTCATGATGAGGAAACACAGCAGTGACAAACAAAGCTCCGACCGGGCCGTGGGGACGCTAAGCCCCGGAAGTACTCCAAGGTAACTCCAAGGTAAGGAGGATCAACTGCACAGAATGCCTCAGGTGATGACCACAGAAGGCTCATGTATTGTGGGTCCAAGAGGTGGAAAAAGGGGCCAGATGTCCTCCCACACTGCAGGTAAAGTGGTGAACCATGAAAGATCCGGTGCAAAAACCCCCAAGCAGAAGCATCCCTCTTTAATGCCCGAGATTGTCACCGACTAAAATGGCAATGACTGAAGGTCTAAGAATCCAGCTCTAAAAGAAGCCTAACTTTACTGACCATAGGCAAGGCCCTAACCAGAGAGAACCACCCCTGAGCAGCAAGAACAGAACTCTGTGAGAGAACCTGACTGAGGGGCTGGAAAGAGGTGGTTCTCCCGGGTTAGGGTCTCGCCCATGGTCAGTCAAGGTAAACAGCCACAGATAATATCACCGAAGAAACAGCTGCCTCAGAAAAATGGAGTAACAAAATGGGGGAAGTGTACAAAAGGGTAAGTGCACAAGCCAAATCTAAAGCCTGGCAAGTACATGAGATGAGCCAGGAAAAAGTTCACCTCTGCTTCCTGAAGGAAAGGAATGAACAACTTGGGTAAGGACCAGAATCACAGGTAACAAGGCAGTGACATCTGGCACTGAAAGCAAAAAAAGAAACCATCCCAGAGCCAGTCAGAAAACAGCTCAACACCAGCCCAGATGCATAAAATGATTGCCAAAGGAATGTCGTGGGGCCCTGGATCATCTGCAGCATGAGCTCTAGAAAGCATAAAAAGCTGCATGTGGAGCTGCCACATGCCCACTTTCCTGAGCAGGAATAGAGCAAACAGGCAAGCCACTAGTGAGGCAAACTAGCCACTAGCATTTCCAGTGAAAGTCCATTATAGGTAAAGTAAGTAACATTGAAAACATTTTAAATTCAAAACAAGGTTTTTATCTTCCTATATTCTTAATCCTTAAACTGCACAAGCTGTTTTGATGCATTTCTATCATGCTCAACAACAAAACATTTATGAAAAAAATTACTATTTTCTTTTGACAATGTTAATTAGCATTCAGGATGCGTGAAATCTGGGTAAAAAGTCTACCTATTGTGGTACCTGTATAGCTGTAGTAGCCTGGAGAAGTTTTTTTTTTTCAGTAGTAATAAGGTGAGGTACTGCACAGGAACAACTCAGTCCATTTACTGTATTTTTGTTGTTTCTCACTTTATTTAATTTTGTTATGCTCATATGTTGTATTGATGTGAATAGTGGTATTCAATATGTATAACTTTGGAAATATACACATGTACAGATATTTGTATATATATACTGTACAGCAGAGGAGCTTCAAGAGATCCATAACTTTTAGGCACTTTTTGTATCAACCAATGTATATCTTGTAACTTAAATACATAATAAAGCTACTGTACAGTACATATATATACCGTATGTATATATATAGTACCCCCAAAGCTAACTGACTTGTTCCACGTCAGAAAAGAAGGAGTCAGATGCAAATGAACAAAACGCCCACCGGAGCTGAAAGAATAATAACCCCACCATAGGAGGAGAGCATGAAGCTCTCCAGCCCAACAACCAGAAGCAAGAGAATCCAAAAACAAAACCATTAAGGAAACAAGAACTGAAGGGGACACTGTAAACTGAGAGGAATAAAGAAGCACATGAACACAGTCCAGAGACCAAACAGGCTCAGGTGGCAAATGAGCGGCCTGTAGGTGAAACAAAGCACGCGACAGCTTGTGAACAGAGCCAAAGTAGTATCCATTCCCGAATGCAAGCTGCAGCAGCTCTGCCAGCACTACACAATACGAGTCAACAGTATTTGGCATGAGATACCAATCAAGAAAATGCCAAGAAAGAAAGAAGTGCACAACATGCTCAGAAAATGAAGAACAGTGACAAGGGGAAAATAAGTGGTCAAAGGAGACCCCTCGAAACCTCATACTGCCGCCGAGAAGAGGTGGTACAGGTGAGACACCACCAAAGAAGCCACCTGCTTACCATAAAGAGGGCAATAAACATGAGTAAAAAATACCAGACATGATGAGCAGAGGTCAGATCAGCAAAGTATGTCACTGAGCCAACACACTGATAGAGGCAGAGCTGCGGAGAAACACCCAGGTTTGGACACCGAGCAAACAGTATCTGAAACCAAGGAGAAGCACCCTTCCCTGGTAGGATTCCAACCTGGCCAGGACCTGGAGCAACAGCCAGACTTGAGGGAAGAGGCACAGGAACCTCCACCTCGACCGGTTCAGCTGTAAGGCATCCACTGCGAGGGTCTTACATTTGGGGAATGGATCCATGTATAAGGGAAGGCACTGAGACCACACCGACATGAAGAGGTCTATGTGTATATATTATGGTGTACTAAAATTATTATAAAATCTGCCACTGAGTGCCAACCATCTTCTCATTTTTGTGATATATCTAGATAAATTTGTCTGGACAATTGATCCATTCAAATAAGTTGTCGAGTCCACACCATCAGTCTCAGCACCTTCACAGTGTACATAACAAGTTACTCATAAAAAATTCAACAGAGGTATTGACAATCCACTAACTAAATTGTGACCATATGTTATTCAAGTCCGAAGAGCTCAGGAAATAATAATTACAGTAGGGAGGATATCAAGTCATTTACTGACTAGATAATAATAGTAAGCATTCAAATTGTTAAAGGCCAGGAAAGTAATAAAATAACTTTGGGGACTATTACCAGATGTTAATAATGCCTGAGGAAACAAGAAACCAATTGAGAATTGGGTTATAAGCTGTAAAGACAGTGATTAGAAGCCTCTTCACCAATCAAAAAGAAAAAAAGGTGTAAAATCAATTACACCTGTAACCAGATGATGATTTAGTCTCAGGAACATGAAATGTCCTTTGATTTCAGTATGAAGGGATTAGTACAGTAATTTGCAAGGTTAAATGTTTTCAATCACGTGTGTTAATGTACAGATGGATGGATGGATGGACAAGACGTAGAGAACATGATTCTTCTCCTACCAGTAATGAGGTCAAAGTACAACTAAGCTGAGTCAGGAAAGATGCAAAAAAATCATCACACCATAAATTTGTGACAATCATGCTTCTCTTGTCCTTAGTCTAAAAGGTTGCTGTGTGATTATATATATGCTGTGGCAGGTGCAAAATATAATGTAATTGAATGTAAGTTTGCTTCCAATGTTTTGCATGCACGATTTGCAGCAGGGCACGGATGAATTTACTGTTATTAAACCATGGAACACATTGTATCATCATAGGTGGGTTACAGAATGTAAAATTTTTGTCCATGTAAAGTCAGAGATGAAAGAATGAAGGCCAGTGCACACTTCACTAAACATTACTGCAAGCATACACTGAACAAAAATTATCAAAACTTTGAAAGAAACAAAAGTAATTATCTATATAATTAAGATTTAATAAGCAAATAGGAATACATTACCAGTTATTTAAAATATTATATTTTAAATATAAATACAGTACATACAGTACAACTATTTATTGCATCATATTTTTATACTTTTGTGCAGGGAATTCCCATTTCATTGACCACTCTTCGGGAAAAAATGATATTTTAGTTTCAAAATAATTATTTTTCGAGTTCTAAAATCCTATAATAATTATATTTTAAAAGACTATTAAGGATAGCAAGTGTACTTGTTGCACCCAAACTCATCTATAGGCACCCACTAATTTTTATTCAATTTCCTGGAGTGGTAAGATTATAGGAAATTTCCAAATCATCTTGGATCAGTTATTCTCAAGATGTACAACTATTATTTGTTATATAGAAATGTTTCCCCAGTAGGCTCACCATTCATTTAGACAAAACTAGTAATCAGTTCACGCTCTCATCTGTGGCTGAGGCTCGTTACCGCAGAGCGCAGCAGAGCAGACATAATTTGACAATGGTTTATGTGAAGTGCTGTTTGTAGCAATCTTGTAAACAATTTATATTAAGTCAATGCCTTTATAAGCTTACTCTTTATAAGTACAGATACTGCCTAACCTTGGCTGTAAAGCATTTAAACAGATGACCATTAGCTGTTGACAGTGCAGAAATGGCACGCCTCTGTATAGATGGATACTGATTTACAGAATTGTAAATAAGAACACAGAGTTATGTCTAAACTGGGAAACTTGAGTTCAACTGCTATGTACTTAATTCTGTAAAAAAAGCTTAGAGCACTCTGATAAACACCTTCATTTGTATTTGTATATAGCTTCTGAAATTAAAGTCATTTTTCTTCAAATGATGCATTCATATCATTAGGATAGCAAGACACTGTATTCTTAGCCTGTTTCATGATTTCATTTATTTAAAGTTCCTTGAGATTCAAAAATAATTAAATTAGTTATTAATATCAATGCAACAAACTTTATTTTGTCCAGCTCAGTAATAACTGCCCCACTTTTAGGCTAACATTGAAAAAGTTCATCCTTATTTTGTCTATGCTACACGTTGTTCTCTCAGTCTCATCATCTAAGTCTTTATCAAACTGTTTCTTTCAATGATGTTTTCTATGTTGGTAATGCTCATCTTCACTAACTTCATCATAGCACTGTTGTTATTAGTTCAGACTCTCCAAATCCTCTGTAAACCTGCACCAAGTAGTCTTCAAAGGAAGTGCAGAGACTGATGGCAGTGGAAAGGTTAATTCCCACTTTTGGAAAGAAGACTTTACTGTTTCAAACAGCTCAAAAATTGAGTTGAGCCACTAAAAATGACTAATGCTTAAAAAACTGAACATATTCGGTAGTTCTCCAATAGGATCCAACAGCAAGATTGATTTAGATATTAGATGTGCAAGTAACAGAGTAAAATCATTATTGGAATTAATGACTGAGTTAAAGCCAGAATATATTTCACTGGCTTGCTAGCAACATTCCATAGTCAAGTAATTCCTGCTGTTTTGCCTGGATCCTCATGACTGCGGCTGGTATAGCTACTCCTAGTTGATTCTGTGCATTACCCACTGCTGAGTCTCAGACATGGCAAAGATTCCTCTTACTTCCTCCCCCCCCCCATCCCCAGCTGACAGACATAAACAACTCTCAACAGTTGCACTCATCTACTGTGGTTCCTCGCAGCTCTCTGAATGCAACCTACCATGACTGATAAATTTTATGCTCATAAATAACCAAGCCCATAAATGAAATGGAAGTGACAACATTTCTTTCATTTCATGTGTGTGGTTTTGGCTATTTGTTTTTGGCCACATTACAGTACTGTGATTTATTTTCTGTAAATGTAGATAATCTCTCTTAAGAAATGGATGTTATAGCTCCCTAGAATTCTACCACCCTAGGTCTGGGCATGAATGGTACAGCAAGAAGTCCAGTCCAAAACCCAGCATTGGAGTCATCACATCCAGACGATAGAAAAGGAAGAAAAACTATTGTATTATGACAGCACCTTAATTAGATCTGCAGAACCATGAAACTATTTTGCCTTTCCAATATAAAGCGAGCTGCACAAGGAGCTGCTAAAACAATAATTTAAAGACATAATATACAATCAGAAACCAGAAAATGCATAAAAACCACTGGCTCATGATAATATGTTAATAAAATCTAAAAAAAAAAACATGATATCAGTCAACAATTACATTGTGGAAATATTTTAAATGATTAATAATACTGTAATAACAATCTTAAAATTTTACTAAAATGAATAGTGAACACTTGCAGTTCACACACTGCAACTTAATACTTACTTTTCGACTGCTGGAGTTTAATGTAATGAATCACAATAATTACACACATAACTTAAAATAAAACAATAGCATGCTGTTAAGAAGTAAATTTTGTTTAAGCTTTAACAAGTACAAGTGCTGTACACGAAATTAATACATGTCAAATCTTGGAGAAGCTGCCAGTTAGCTATTCAGCAGACTAAGGACTGAAATCATATTTTTACGTGGGTGTGGCACGACTTGGTTTGCAACATTTGTGGAAATTTTGAAATCTATTATTTGACTCTTCACTTGGCCCACTAGCATGCTTCCATCATATTTCAGAAAGGAGCGTTTTGGCACCCTGTCAAGACATCTAGAGTTTTGTACTAACCATGAAAAAAAGGTTCAAGATATAAATCATTTGCAGTGATGGTCATTATAATTTAGACCATTTTGATCACCAAACCCCACATCAGAAGATAAACATATGACTTGATAATGGTCCTAGATGAACTGAAATGTTGTTGGTTCTCCATCTTCTGATGTCTGATTTGGTCATCATATCTTCAGCCATGTTATTGTGACTCACCATCTGCATTAGACTATTATCCTTAAATAAAACCCTTTTATTACCCATCCCCCAAGAAATTAGTACTTTAAAGCATTTGTCTCAGGCTTATTTGACTATTACTTTTCAGTCCTGTTAGAATTCAAAGTGCAGAATGTTAAAAATATTCAAACATTTTTTCCATTTATTTACAGAGAATCTTTTCTTACTGCATATGCTCTAATGAAAGAGATTCAGAGAATCTTTCCTCTTTAAAAAACTATACACTTTTGCTGAAAATAATTCTCGCATTATTAAGAATAAAAAAACTTTCAGGGAATGCTTATACAATTCGACAGAATTTGAAGTCCTTTTCTGGTCATCATCACTTATCACTTTCTATACTTAATGAAATGTGATCCAACGATTTGTATTATGTATGAAAACTATGAACATTTCTTTCAATCTGAAAACTTACAAAATTCACATTTTACACCATTCTGTTATCCTTGATTATAAAAGTTATACCTCTTTATCTAACTATTCCGTCTGTTCTGAGATCCTTGTTGTGAACATTTTCAATATGCTTTTTCAGTGAATGAGGTCGTTTTGCACTGAAGTCGCAGTGTGGACACTTGTGGGGTCTCTCACCTGTATGTCGCAACATGTGCCGTCTAACATTGTCTGAACGCTTGCTGGTAAACTCACAATGAGGACACTTGTGTATTTTCCCAACATTGTCCTTTTTATGGGCAATGACAATTTTATGAGTTTTACAGGTACAGTTACAATGTTTCCCAGAGCAGGGTTTGGGTGGGTTAACTGCTTCATCTGTCTGGTTTTCTTGTTTGATGCACTTGCAGTCACCATAATGACATTCCATTGCTTCCTTCAAAGCAGGGGTTGCAGTTGCCTGACTCTGTAAAGATGGGAACTTGAAATAAAGAGCCTATTAAATATAATTGACCTTTTAAATGAAACAATCAGCATTCTTGCTCTCCAATTGAATCCAGCTGATATATGAACAAAAATACATATGTTTCAAAGCATGGAAAAGCTAAAGTACAGTTGACTTCCAATATTAAGTCATGGCACAATCTGACATACCTTATGTAAAAGCAAACATAGATATTAATTTCTAAGAACCTTCTGGAAAACCAGCATTGAATGAAATGAGGCATCTTTTGCTGGGTGAATCCCAGTGGCTCCCTGAAGCTATCTTGCTGAGATGGCTTCCAATTACTAGATCACATTAGCTGCAGAGTTAAGTTCAGCCTACTGGGGACCAGAGCCAGACCCTGGCCTCCTCACAGATACACAGAGAGCAGGTGATACTCTGCCATCTCACCAGGAAAACCCTTCAGAAAGTCAGTGAACCATTACAGAACACTGCTGGGTTGAAGAGAGACTGAATCCTCACAAGTGCTGATGAACTCCAACAATGTAAACAAACGATTAAATCCCTCAAAACAAGTGTGCACCCATTCACCCCACCTGTCCACTTATTTGGGGAAGGGAGAGGGGGTTGGGGCTCGCATTGTCCAGTGGCTAAAGCAATCAGTTCTGAAGTAGATGCGCACATGAAACACCTCCAACCGACGACCTATAGGGGAAAGGGGGAAATCAGGAAACCACGGGGGCTCACCCCGGCTGTCATTGTGCAACAGTATTCCACTCTAGAGAGCACTAGCATCTTGAAAAGTATCACCACCAAACCCAGCAAGCTGAGAAAGAACCAGATCCCTGGCTAATAGACACGTGGACTGAATGGGGGCCCACACCATCCAGTCATCAAGGTAGGTTGGTGTGGGCCTAAATGAACCACCAACAAATGAAGATGAGTCACCGTGACATGAGCCAACCTGGTTAAAACACGGGGAGCCAGATTCAAGCCAAAGGGAAGAACCTAAAAGTGGTAGGCCTGATGCACCACAATAAAAACAAATCTCTGAACTCTTGGATGAATAGTTCAAGTTCAAGTTCAAGTATGTTTATTGAGATAAGCAATAAATACATCTCAAAGGGATAGAGTAGCTTAGGCTATTTCTACCCCCCCCCCCTGAATAGTGACATGCCAGTACCTAGATCCAGGTACACAAACTGCATCAGCAGAAGTACTGTTGTCTCTAGCCAGTGGATAGCATGAGTCCCAGCCCTGGCCCACCCTCCCTCCCCAAACAAGTGGGAGGGGTGGGGTGAATGAGCTCACGCTTATTTTGATACACTTTCGATGTTTGTTCACATGTTAGGAAAGTTCATTTGGCAGGGTGTGAGGCTTCAGTTTCTTTTGAACCCAGCAGTGGTTTGAGTTCACTGACTTTCTGGACGCATTCCCCTGTGAGGTGGCAGAGTGACGCCTGCTTCCTGTGCCTCTGTGAGGGAAATCAGATTCTGAGTCTGGTCCTCAATAGGCCGAACTGAACTCCATGGAAGATGTGATCCATTAGTTAGGGGGTCATCTCAGTGAGATAGCTTCAGGGAGCCCCAAGGAGCTCCACATAGAAAATACAAATTGTGGCGGGTCTATAGAATTACCTAAATCTTTTTAAAACAATTTCCAATTACGTTAATAAAACCTATATGAAATATAATGTTACTGTATTTCTGGTATGAATATAGAATGAAAAAAAAAAGATAAGAAATAAGGTCTTTTTTTTTACTATAATAAGAAAAATAAACCATAAAACATCAGAGGATGGATTAGCACCTTTAATGTCATGAACCACATATTTTAATCTTTTTTTTATAAAATTAAAATTAGCTAATATATGATTAAAACAGTCCATCCTCCTGTTTTGGTAGTACATGTACTGTATTTATAGTAACGATGAGGACCATAGTATACATACCGACGTACATCGAAATTAGAATGTAGAATTCTGAACTACTGTACTGTATTGAATTGGACAAACCAGGCAACTATTTTTTACTTGTGTTGCTTTGACAAACTAAATTGATCTAACCTAACCTTCCTAGGCCTAATACACAATATCTGAGGCCTAATATAGTAAATTTGTGTGCTATACTAGGCCTAGGAATATTTAAGTACAGTATGTGTTTTACATTCATTTATTTTGAAAGAATACCTTACTAGTCAATATACTACTATCTAAAATCTAAGAACATATGAATTTTGACTATTGACGATCGTCACAATAGGTACCATCTAAACAGGAGGATGGGTTGGATTAAAATACTGTTTTCACATTCTACATTAAATATATCAGTATCACAGAAACACATTATGTTTCATTTGGAGTTTTATTTATGTAGAGCTTTGTGCAGCTTTGAGTGGATTTGGGAAATTCGACAGGTTGCAAATGTCATCGAATTGTTTATATACTACAGTATTTAACATTCTGTCAACTTACCAAGATGTCAAATAAAATAGAGCATAGAACAAATAGTGAGTTTAATAACATGAGGTGCTCTGAATAACATAGAAGTTATGATAAATGTATAACCATTCAGGTACTCACCTAGTTGTACTCACCTAGTTGTGTTTGCGGGGGTTGAGCTCTGGCTCTTTGGTCCCGCCTCTCAACCGTCAATCAACAGGTGTACAGATTCCTGAGCCTATCGGGCTCTGTCATATCTACACTTGAAACTGTGTATGGAGTGAGCCTCCACCACATCACCCCCTAATGCATTCCATTTGTCAACCACTCTGACACTAAAAAAGTTCTTTCTAATATCTCTGTGGCTCATTTGGGCACTCAGTTTCCACCTGTGTCCCCTTGTGCGTGTTCCCCTTGTGTTAAATAGACTGTCTTTATCTACCCGATAAATACAGACCCGGTACAGCAACGTTGGTGATTGGCTCAGCAGCTTTCCCCTTCACCCATAATGCATGTGGCATATAATATTTTCATTCTGGTATTACATTCAGTCAACCTTATCTATGCTGTTGTACATATCACAATGCTTGAAATGTTGCATACATTCATTCATGGCTTGTACTACATTCATTCATTTGTCGCGAAATTAACAAATTTCCTTCTGTCCAGTTTATTGCCATTATTCATGCATGCAATGTTATCTCATATCCATTCATCATATCTAATAATTGAATGTTGTGATAAATACTAGTAAACAATATTGAAGTTTAATGTCCTTTATTTCCTTCCTCAGCTGAAGTTTAATTCATCTTAGGCACTCAATCTTGAAGAACAACTATTTATAGCAATGTATCATAACAGCACTGGTTATGATAATGTGTTGTTGTTTCTGAGAGTGGCCTATAACACATGTGGAAAGTTGATCTAACATTGCACTGATTAATCAACCCATAGCAGTGATAAAATAAAGCTACTGAAGCTTTAACATCTTGTACTGATGTGTCACAACCTCAAACAAACTGCACCATAGTGTCACTAGACACAGAAAAATATTACAAATATAGCATTGTTGATATGTGCACTAATATAATGACCAAACCACACACCAGACGATGAAGAGACAACAACGTTTCAGTCCATCTTGGACCATTATCAAGTTGATTGTGACAATCGACTTGATAATGGTCCAAGATGGACTGAAATGTCGTCGTCTCTTCATCTTCTGGTGTGTGGTTTGGTTGTCATACCTTCAGCCATGTTACTGTGACTTGTTGTCTGCACGTACACTAATATAGTTACAAATGTATAAAGGATGCTGAATAATATAATGAACTTAATTAAGAAATGCCACGTGTCCCCTGAATACAATATTATGCCATACCATAATTATAATATTACCTGTGCAGATGCAGAGGCCCCAGAGAAGTTTCCTGTGAAGCTATACAGGGCATCACCAGTTTCCTACAAAGATAATTTAAACATGTTAAAAGTTTTTTCACATGAATTTGAATGTATTGTCACTACCTATTAATTTAGCAACTCCTTCAATGCACATTGCAATCAATATACAGTACTGTATGTACTCAATGCTAAGGCTTTCATAGCGAGGTACAGTATTTTACTATGTATGTATGTTGACCAAACCACACACTAGAAAGTGAAAGGACGACGACATTTCGGTCCGTCCTGGACCATTCTCAAGTCGACTGAGAGAATGGTCCAGGACGGACCGAAACGACATTGTTCCTTCACTTTTTAGTGTGTGGTTTGATTAACATATTTCAGCCACGTTATTGTGACTCCTCGTCTGCATATGTATGTATGTACAGTATATATGTGTAATTAAATAAATGTAGTTTCAGGATGAGAGCTATGTTCATGATGTTCCATCTTCTCAATGATTTCTGTCATATGCTGCTTTGAAACTACTGATGGTCTTGGCATCCACTACCTTCTCACTTAACTTATTCCAACCGTCTATTATTGTTCACAAAAGAAAACTTCCAAATGTTTTTATGGCACCTTTGTTTCTTTAGCTTGAATCTATGGCCTCTTGTTGCAGGTTTAAAAAATTCCTCCTTTTCCTGTTTTGTCGATTCCAATACTATTTTGTACGTAGTGATCATATTGCCTCCTTTGCTTCTAACTGCTAGCCTTGGCATATCTAACACCTATAGCCTCTCTTTGTAGCTCTTATTTTTCAATTCTGGAAGCCATGTAGTGCAACTATATTGGGCACACGATCCCAGTCCAGGTCTGAGGCATCTGTAAACAGATTGAGCAGGGAAGGAAAGCACCATATACCCAAAAACCCTTTAGAGGACAGTGGCAACAACGCAGTCACTGAAGGGGCAACCAGGAGTCCAGACCAGATGGTACTGATGGTGGTGACCTCAGAGGAAACGAGTATGATGTCCAAAGCCAAACCCTGCTGAGTGGGAAAATCATGCAAAGTCCAAGCTGCACAACCACTCGAGCTGCTGAAGGAAAAGCTAAGCACACCACCACAAAATGGAAATGAGAAGCTAACAGATCTAGGGCTGTCAACAGCAGAGATAGGGAATATAAGAATACATAAGAACATAAGAATAAAGGTAACTGCAGAGGGCCTATACGAGGCAGCTCCTATTTATAACCACCCAATCCCACTCATATACATGTCCCACTCACGTTTGAAACAATCAAGGGACCTCACCTCCATCATGTTATGCAGTAATTGGTTCCACAAATCAACAACCTTGTTACTGAACCAATATTTATCCAGGTCTTTCCTAAATCTAAACTTATCCAATTTATACCCATTGTTTCATGTTCTGTCTTGTGTTGATAGTTTCAACACCCTATCAATATCCCCCTTGTTATGCCCATTCATCTACTTGTACACCTCTATCATGTCACCCCTAGTTCTTCGCCTTTCTAGATAATGTAATTTAAGCTTTGTCAACCTTTCTTCATATGACAGGTTTCTAATCTGAGGGATTAACTTTGTCATCCTACGCTGGACGCGTTCTAGTTAATTTATATCCATTCTATAGTATGGTGACCAAAACTGAACTGCATAATTTAAATGGGGCCTAACAAGAGCAAGATATAGCTGAAGAACAACACCAGGTGTCTAATTAGTAATGCTTCAATTAATAAATCCCAGTTTCCTATTTGCCTTATTATGAACATTTATGCATTGGTTTTTTCAAATTTGTCAAACATGAATGGAAGCCAACCAGGAATCTCAGACAAAACCCAGCCAAATACAACTCTATGATAGAATGAAATGGGAGTTCCACCAATTGACAAGGAACCAAAACCTAGACAACTCAAAGAACCCGACCCCTGGCTTCCAGAAAGCAGACTGGGAGCTCAAGCTAACTATTCATCATGGTAGGGCAATATGCAGGTCCCCAAAACATGGTGAGAGACTATGAACTGCATCTACCCAACAAAATATCCTGTACCAGATTCAAGTTGAAAAGAAGAACCCTGAAACGGTACCAAAGATGGCCCACACAAAACCCTAGCCAATTTCTGAACTCCTCAAATTAATGCATCTTTGAAACACCAGGGACCTAATCCAAGCAGCAGCCTGCAAGGCCAGACAGAGCTGATTGAAGGTGGTTGTGCAGAATCTGTCAAAACCAGAAAGGTCAAGAAAGAACCTTACGAAGGCTCAAGAAGTTTTGAATAAATGGGACACCCACTGTAAGGAGGAAATTGGCTTGACTACCCCAGTGTCCATCCATTATGTAATGACCCTGTGGAGCAGAAGACATGGTTGAGCCTGGACCCAGGTCTAACAGCCTGGTCGATCAGTCCAGCAACCAGAAGGCCTGGTCGACGACCGGGCCGCGGGGACGCTAAGCCCCGGAAGCACCTCAAGGTAACCTCAAGGTCAAGGTAAGGATGCAAAAAAGGAAACTAACAAAAACTCCCAAGGTGCTCTGCCACACCACCTTTGCCGCACTGTTGAAGGGGCAAACTGTGAAACATGTAGTGCGAAGTACCCTGATGAGTGGCTCCCATGAATAAAAGAACACTGCAGAGAAACAGAAGAAACTAAAGCCAAAGACCAAATTTCTATGGCCCTCAAAATTGATGCCACCAAACCCCTAACCTGACCAGGAACCAGCGACACCTGATCCCCTTAAGAATGCCAGCCTACAATAGAGACAGAACTCAGTTACATAAATTTCTGGCTCAAAGGTTGAAAAGTCAAAGCTGCATCTGACAAAACCACAAAAACCCCCTCCTCCTTCTCCTCCTCTGGACACAGGAGAGGAGAAAATGGTGAAGTGGATATGAAAAAGGGACTAAGCCAACACCAAAACATGGACAAGAACAGTTCAATAGCATGCCAACAGAACCAGGCATGAGAGACTGGTCCGTCTTATTACCCAAAACTATCCAAATTTACTCAAGGCTATCCAAAGCTTCCTAGCATTACGTAAGCAATGAAAAAATATAATATATTTACTCACTCTATTGTTGGTGTTGAATGTAGAACATTAAAAAACATATTTTTACTCAGAAATAATATAAATTTATAAAGAAATTAGACAAAACTAAGTGGCATCAGAGGCCAAAGGAAGTCGACGATCCAAGCGACAATGTTGTGGAGCGACTAATCCAAGATGAACAAATTATTTAAGATATATTGTTGCCTAGAGGTTAAAATAAGTTATGTTTGGATAGGTTAGGCTTAGTTTGGTTAGGTTAGGTTACGTTTGGGTAGGTTGGTTAGGTTAGGTAGGTACAGAAGGCTCATATTCCAGCAAATATTGTCACTTGGACTGTTGACATGCTTTGGCGTCATCAACTTATTTTTGTCTAATTTCGTTATAAAATTATACTTTTTCAGAGTAAAAATATGTTTTTCATGTTCTACATTCAGCACCAACATTATAATGAATAATTATGATATATTTATTCATTACTAACGTAATGCTAGGAAGCTTTGTGTAGCTTTGAGTAAGTTTGGGTAGCTTTGGGTAATTAGACGGACCCTGAGAGACCATGAATGGAATCATGGGTCTCCTCATCATAAATCCTCCGTGGCCAGGAAACGAACCCAAAACAAAGAGCTCGCGAAACACCTGGCGAGTGTCTTACCACTAAGCCACGAGGACTGTTGATCCATGTGAAGACAGTATTACAACCAACCCCAACCCCCCATCACCTCCCACCTTCTGGTGTTGTAGGCAGTAGGAGGTAGATAGGTTGTATCATCCGGCTGGTAGTTAAGCAGTCATTAGCAGTTAATGAATATACTGCACCTGTATTCAGTTACATACGGTATTTTACTTATGTTATTGTCGAGTTCATATGCACTTCTTAGTGTAAAGATGTACGTAACATTGTAATGTATTACCTCTGTTCAGGCAATTAGTCTAGATAAATGTTAACAACCATTATCAGAAGTTAACTTTCATATACTTATTCTGGTGCTCTGTAGAGGCCCAGTCAGTTAGTGTATGTGAAGCTGGTCTGAACTAGCGAGATCAGAATGTTTTGAGGTTGTGATAGGATAGGAGGTAGTGTGAGTGTGTTCTAAGGGAGTCTTAGAATACTGTCATAATGAGTTGGGTACTCTAAGAGGAACTTATGGTTTATTTTGCTGTTGTATCTAACACTTTTATAATTAAGGTTGCGGAAAGTAATATGTATCTCTAGATTGTCCCCATTATATTTAAAGTTTTAGACTAAGGTACATGTGCATTGTTGAGGTTATTGCAAGTTGTTGAGGTACTGGCAATTTTAGGCACTTATAAGTTACCATGAGTTATATATTATAGTTCAAAGTTCTGTATAATTGCTGGTGTAATTGAGGAGCCACCTTAAAAGTTAGATGGTATAGACTTTGCCTATGTTAGTGTTCAAGACTGAGGCTAGAACAATAATGCTGTCATTAGTAATTAAAGTCTTAATACATGTACTGTAAATAATAGTGTTAACAGGCTTAATCATACAACAGAGGAGCCATCTTCAAGAGTTAGGTGGTGCAAAACTTAGTTTATGTTAAGTGTTAAATGTTCCTTTATTTGTCAAGTATTACTACCTTATTTGTGTTGAGTTGTAGCTTTTTTTAATGTATTAATCATAACAACTTAGCTTTATCTTGTGTTAATGAGAACATTAGTATTTATGGATTTACATGTGATGCATATTTATTTTGAAATAATATAATTGTTTAAAAATATTTTGATAAATGTATTCCACCTCCTTGTTCCTCTCCACTGTAGCTGGTATTCCCTAGACAAATTCTTCCATGACACATGCAGCACTAAGAAGGGAGCCTCCAGCCTGGTAATATGCATCCTTCTCTGGCAAGGGGTACCACTGCCTCTGATTTGCCTGGTGAGAGCTGGATAATATTCTTAGGCAAGGTCTGACTCATCTGTGAACAGCTTGGGCAATGGAGGACGGTACCAAGGAAATTAACCCAGAAAAACATGCGAAGTAGAAAAGGATAAAGCAAGAATCCCTTCACGTGTACTCTGGCATGTACTCTGATGACAACAAAAAATGTCACCTACTGAAGAATGCAGTAAAGCATCTTCACACAGCTTGGAGGGATCTGACCACTGAAGCACAATTGTTACACACAACTGTATGTAACAATTGTAAGCAACTTTTTGAGAAGTTTTTGAGCAACCCCTTTCTTTGCAACCACGCAAGTTCAGTTTGCTCAAAAGGGACTCACGGTTCCGATGGAAAATCAGAGACCATTGCACTAGCCAAAAATAGTGGCACAGTCACAACAGGGGTAACTATGGGAGAAAAAAGCCATCCTAATATCCCAGACCAGTACCAGCCAAATCAGGACATGAAGGACCACCAGCTGGGACTTCTGCCAGTTATCATAAAACTGAAACAGGCCAACTGGTAAAGCACTAGCTCTCTGTTCAGCAGATAGGACAAACGATTGAGGGCCCACACCAGCCAGTTGTCGAGGTGGTCCGAAACTCAGATGATGAAGCTGATAAAAGACCACATGAGTTAGTCTGGTGAAGATTCAGGAAGCCAGGTTCAGACCAAACTGCAGAACCTGAAATTGGTACAAGAGGTGCTGAATTCTGAACTCCAGCCAATCTCTGAACTTCGGATGGATCCTGGGTAACCTGGGCAGCCATCTTGTGATGGTTAGATGAAACACTGTTGGGGTACTTACAGTACATTTCAGCAATAAATGTTGAAATGTACCTCAAGTATCCAGTTTTCTTTAAGAAATTACTTTTTTTCATTGTGCTTATGCTTTCCTGGTGAATTTTTTCTTGATTTTGAGCTCATCTCTGATCCCTTCACTTCCCTGCATACACCTGCTGCATATTCCAATTTTGGTCTCACAAAAGTCATGAACAGTTTCTTCAGTATTGCACCATTCATATAATTAAAAGCAAGTCTGAAGTTGGAAAGAGACATATACGCTCCTCTCCCAATGTTCTTTGTGTTTTCCTCGGGCGACAGCTTACTATCCAAAACCACCCCAAAGTTTCGTTCTTTATTAGAGTTCTGTAATTCCTCTCCACTTAATTTGTGACTTGTGTGTGGTTTATTTTCTTCGATTCCACATTCCGTAGCATGGCATTTATTCACACTGAATTCCATCTGCCACTTGATGCTCCAAGCACTTATTTTATCTAGATCAATTTCATGGCATTACAATCATCTGTCTCTCCTATCTTCCCCAGTATCTTAGCATCATCCACAAACATATTCAAATAATTCTGTATTCCTTCTGATAGATCCTTTATGTAGACGATGAACATTACTGGTGCAAGATCTGAACCCTGTGATACTCTGCTAGTAACACTCCTCCAGTCAGATAAATTGTCTCTGATTACTACCCTCATCTGTCTATCAGAATTTTTTTTATCCATGTCATAAGTCTCCCTGTCCGGTATTTTCCAGTTTCCAGACAAGTCTCTTGTGTGGGACTTTGTCAAAAGCCTTTTTTTAGGTCCAGATAGACAAAGTCAACACAACCCCCTCTCTCCTGTATTATCTCTGTGGCTCTATCATAAAAACTAAGTAGATTTGATATACAGGATCTTTCTGTTTGAAAACTATATTGCCTGTCCATTATTGTCATTACTCCCCAGGTGTTCAACCCATTTGGCTTTAAATATTGTTTCTAGTGTTTTGACTACCATGCATGTTAATGATACAGGTCTATAATTTAGAGGTTACCTCTTGACTATCATTTTTATTGATTGGTACTATGTTTGTCTTTTTCCATAAATGTGCTAAGATTCCTGCGCACAAGGATGACTGGAATATTATTTGTGATAGTGCAGATGGGTTACGTTGAAATAGAGAGAGAGACTGGGTGCGTGAGACATGGTGGTGGGTGGTTGACACTTCTGTCAGCCAGACAGTCCTTAAAGCACACAGTATGATGACAGCATACAGTATAACATTTACAAGTTATTTTTAATTCAAACATAAACATTATATTTATCCCATGCAGTATTTAAGGTGAATGAGCTGGATAGGTTTATATGGCCAAGAAAGCGATATGAAAACATTACCTAGTACATGATACAGGATTTGCGATTGTATGAACAGAGCAACCAAAATTCTTTCCACACATTTTAAGCATGAAGAAAATTAACTGTTATATATTGCTTCTGGAATTATATAGGGCTCATTAATGGTAGCACTGACGGTAGAGCTTGCCAGCAGACACTGTAATGTCATTCCTAGCTACCATCACTACCTTCGTTATATGAAAAAACTGGCTGTTATTTATAGCTTCTGATATTACGAACCGTGTACTGTATTTAGTTTTTTTATTTATGATAAACTGTGGATGGATTGATTATACAATATGGAAATATTCAATGTAGTAGCAGCTGTGAGAGTGATGGACTGTAAAGTGACAGTAAAAGCCAATGTTACTCATCCCCAGCCATTCTTCTTGTCACTCCTTACACTTCATAAGGATACATAGTGTCAAAGATTGTACATACTGTGCACATAAAAATTACTCACTATTTATGATTCTCATGTTAATAGACAGTCTATTTTTGCCATATTAAATGTTAGTTAGGATGGCATGGTGCTAATATTGGCAGAGAGAGAGAGATGTAAACAGGCAGTCATTTTAATAAGAATGTCATCTTACAAGAATGTAAGAATTCTTGTATATAGTATTCTTGAAAAAAAAAACCCTCCTGCAGTCATATCCAACAAATTTCAGTTTCCACTGTTTATGGATGCTCAGATCTATAGAACGGTATTTAAGTTTATTATGAGATAGACTGGATAGGCATATTTGATTAGGTTAAGTAAGCAATTTTTTTTCTTTGCTGTGCAGTGCCAAAATTTCTCAGTTAATAGGGGCGGAACCCCACTAACCAGATATCCAAAAAGTAAATGGGGATGGAGAACTGGACATTTTTATTTCTGAACAACACAAGAATCCAGAGAATGGGGATCTGGATAATGGGGGGGTCCTACTGTATTTATAAAAGATGTTTAAATATTCCACATGGTATCACATTCTGGGTTACCACTGAAGTGATAAGTAGATATCCTTTTCAGAAATAATATCTGTGTTCTGCATGCAAAATAAGGATGAATGATCTTATATGAAAGAATGAGTATATCATTAATTAGTCTGTCCTCAGAACCTTATAGGCAATATTCATGGTTTGGCTGTTCCATGACATTTGCACAGCTGAGTACAATTAAATAACAGTAATGTAAATACGGTATATAAAAAGGTAAACTATGGTAACCAGTATTTGCACAGTAAAAAACTAAATGGTATCTCATCAGTGTTTGAACCACAACATCCCATTTAAATTAACAGTCGATGAAAGACGTCAGAAGCCGGGCACAATCTAAATTTTCCTAACCATGCATATATCAAAAGGATGAAAACTGTGAAAGATCACATGATGGAGCCTGAGGATGGGTTAATACTGAATATGTACAGGTTATCCTATATAAATATAAAAACACTTTAACTACCTGTATTGTAACTGGAACAGTGCTCTGTTAATTAATCCGTCCATTGTTGAGTTTAAAAAATGAATTGTAAAGAATAATTATAAATATAAAGTACAGTAATTATAGATTCAATTTTATAAGTATAAGTAAGTAATTATCAAAGAAGGCACCAAGCCAGTAAGTAGTAGTAGTAGTGAAATAAATATATGTCGACAGTTCTGGCAGGGCTTTCTTGACTAAACACAAAAACATGATACAATTCAGTAATGTATTACTGTACTTTTTTCCAGTTTCTTCAAATTCCTAAATTCTTACTAAATATTTATGGTATTATAAAAATAGTAACTGGTAAAATCCCTATGAATTATGTATACTATTTTAAAATTATTAAAAAAGTTAATTATTTACACTAGCAACGTTTATTAGAGCTGCAGGGTGACCAAAGGAAATATTGTACAGTACAGGACATCCATTTCATAAAACGATTAAGGGTATTTTTCAGATTGAAGGGCCATATACAGAATGATTTCATGAATGCAATGTGATGCCATTTCAATGAAAATTGTAACTAGGAAGATATCCAAACAATTCCTTCTCTTTAATAATAATAGTAAAAGGGGGGGTAATACATGCAAATAAATTTTTTTTTTAAAGTAGACACATTCAATGGGCTTAATACATGGACAACTTTGTGGATTGTCCTTAATACAGAGGACAGCCCCACACACTGGTATTGAGTATCCCATTTAATGTTGTTGAAAACACTTGGCCTGCTACTGTACTATTGTTTTTGTATTGAACGAACAGTTTGCCTAATGTGATGTGGCTGTCAAGTACTGATGAGAATACACCATTACTGACAGAAATTTAATGTAGAACAGCAATAAATATTCCGACATTATTCTCTACAAGCATTTTTCTCAGAACTAGTGTCCAAGGCTGTATGGCACTGTCTCTTTTGATATTAATGGTCTAATTATTTACTACATGATTTGTCATTTTATGTCTTCATATTACCAATATTATGTTTTAATTAAAAAAATTATAAAATAAAATATTTAACAAATATTGTAAATATCTGAATTTTAGACTTGATACATTCTGCTGTACAAATGTGTATTTGTACTTTGAGAATTTTTGCTCACATAAATCAACTGATCATGATGGAATTAATAAATGTATTCATAACAGATTTATTAAAAATATATTGTCTTTAATTTATTAGTAGCTCACATATAACTTGTAAAACATAATTCATTATTTAACAATTTAATTACAATGCCAATGAATTATAGGCCTGATCAATGGTTATATATTTTGTTTAATTCTGAACAACCAGTAGCCCAAAATAATTTTCAAATTCCAGATTACGATAAAGTAAAGTTTAGGAAACGAGGCAAACATATTTATACACTAGCCTGTGTTTGAGTTCCCTCAATCTCCTGGCCCGTGATTGGATCAATTAGTGGTCTCATTAGGTGTAGGCCATCACCCGCATGCCCCTCAACCTCTTGGTGCTTGGGAGTTCCAGAGTCCATTTTCAACTTAACTTCATGAATAATTTTGTGTTCCATGGGGGAGAATCCTGAGATGTGTTCCTTGGTCTGTTGCTGTGCATTGGCTGTAAGTTGTTGCCCTGAATGATGTCCTTGATTTCCATAATCTTGAAAGATGTGAGTTGTTCTTGGACTTGGCAAAGTAGTACCCTGGATGGTAACTGCAGTCTGCTGTTGCTGCCAAAGCTGCATATATAGGAGGCAAAGTATTACTTACGCTTTGCATAAATAAGAACAATCTTAATACTACACTGTACCTATGTATGTTAAGGAACTTTAGTTTATTATACACATCCCTATTACATGTTCTGTATTGAATATACTTATATCTGATAATACATGCATTTTATAATTCCAAGTTTTTTCTAGCTATGTCATTTTAAAAACATGTACAGTAGTCTTGTTGAACAAACTGCTTTGTGCCAAATCCTTTAACAGTAGGAGAAATTTTACTGCATTCAAAATTTGCTATTGTTCACTATTTTTGGCCAAAATTGTTGTTTTATTAGTGTAAACAAAAGAACACACTTTTGTGCATACTGTACTGTACTGTGAATCTACGCATTTACCTAAATCTACCAAAAACTCCAATAAAGTGACGTAACTTCACAAATGTGGGAATGTATTAGCATAGGTGTATGCATGGTGTGAGCTATTGTTTTGGTAGACAGGACATAGCTTGGTGTTGTGGCGGATCAATAAACCTCCCTCACACAACTTTGTTTTGATTTTCAGCAATTTTGTACTATTGTACATATTATTCAAAATGGGCTTTGAGATGAGGGAGGGAAGGAGGGAGGGAGGGAGGGAGGGAGGGAGGGAGGGAGGGAGGCAGGCAGGCAGGCAGGCAGGCAGGCAGGCAGGCAGGCAGGCAGGCAGGCAGGCAGGCAGGCAGGCAGGCAGGCAGGCAGGCAGGTGGGTTTGGGAAGGTGGATTTGGGCAGGCAGGTGAGTGGGTGGGTTCAGGAAGGTGGATTTGGGCAGGCAGGCATGAAGTAGGCAAGAAGTAAGCAGGCAGGAAGCAGGCAGGAAGCAGATAGAAAGCAGGCAGTCAGGAATACAGGCAAGCGAGCAGGTAGGCAGTCAGGCAGACAGGCAAGCAGGCAAGTGGACAGGTAGACAGTCAGGCAGACAGGCAAGCAGGCAAGTGGACAGGTAGACAGTCAGGCAGACAGGCAGGAAGGCAGGCTGGTCAGACATGTGTTTTTTTTGGCGAGAGCAAGCAGATGGATAGTTTGAGAGGGCAACTAGGACAGATCGGCTAGAGTGGGCAGTTAAGAGCTGATAGGCTCGGGTTTGGGAGGGGTGATGCGGGCATGCTCAAACCAAGCAGAGATGAATAACAAGTGGTAAATGATACTTTTTAAATACTTTACCTATACAGTATATTATAAGTACAATTAAAAACAATTATTCACTCTACACATAAAATAATTATACACTTCCATGAATCCTCACACTACTAATCATAATGCAAAATCAACTCTCCCACCAAGATATTTCCTTCCCTCCTACCACAGACTCACCAGCAACATGAAGATCATTTACATATATGAGAAATAGGATGGGTCTAAGAACAGAACCTCGTGGGACTCTGCTGGTAATATCTCGCCACTCTGAGGTCTCTCCCCTCACAATAACTTATGTTTTTTATGTCTATGTTTTCCCTACTCACAGTAAAATAGTATGCTTTTTATGTGCTAAATTGGTTAAACACTTTGCAAATACATCTTAAGATGCTTGGAAAGAGTTATATAATTCTTTTCTATATAAGGTGCAAAATAAAAGTGATAGTGCAGTGCTTGGCATATCCTCATCACTTCAATTTCTTTCTTTATTATGCACCCCATACCCATCTCATGGGCGGTGGTGGTGTAAAGGGTTACAGAGGCACATAATCGGTTCAGGAACTGAACCCCCTAGTTCGTTTAGCTAAGCAAATAACAATATTTTGATGCTAGTTACACAATTATTAATGTTATATATACACATGTACACATACTGTACTCATCATCAGATGATCCCATTTATTATAACACTGGTCTGGTAAATTTATCATAAAATTCTTATAAATACAGTATAGATTTTGCCAACCCTGAAATCAGCAATGAAACCATGTATCAGTTTAAGCCATAACCTTAGATTAGTTGTCTAGGGATTGCACTGATAACCTTCACAGATACAGCTGACCATCATACTTGCAGGAAATATCTAACTGAATTAAAAAAAAAAAAAAAAAAGTAATATAATAATTTTATTATTACTGTATATTAGATTATGTAATGTAATATCTTAGATATTATATTCGCTAACATAATATAATTTAATATAATGAAATATGAAACAATCTTTGTGTGCTCAAATTTGAATGTAACAATTTTTATTCCCATAAAGCTATATTATTTGTCAGCCTTTTGCATATACTTGTGAAAACGGGTCCCAGTAGTACAGTCGGATTCATTCTAGACTCACAATCGAGAATTCCAGGCTTGAATCCCGGGAGGGACAGAAATGGTTGAGTTCAGTTCCTATCACCTAATGCATCTGTTCACCTAGCAGCAAGTAAGTACCCAGCAGTTGGTCAGCATGTTGTGGGGTTGGAATCTTGGAGGGGGGTCTCTAATTCAACCTTTAAGGGACCTCGATATAAACCTAAAGTGTATAAATACTCCGCCTGCCTGTCCCCCGACACATTGAATTAAAATAAAAAATTGGCGATATAGGAAAATACTATTTTGTGCATTGCTTATTTAGTCCTTTTTTTTAGAATTAAGGCTATTTATAAATGTTTACAATACTTTGCCTACTAGCTGGTCAGTGTATTAAATTTCTGTGAACTAGGTAATTATGGTAAAATTAGTATGCATCTGATTAGTTAGAAGATGGAGTATGTCATTTTAGTTTGCTCTGACTGCTGCCACAAATCAAATTAGTCTAGCCAGTTTTCTATCTCATCTCTCACAGGCCTAATTATTTACCCAAGCATTTTAGTCACATTGTGTAACAAAGTACCATATTTTAAATAAATTGTAAATGAATGATAACTTGTTACTAATAACTATGAATAGTAGTTGAGGTTACCTTGAGGTTACCTTGAGGCGCTTCCGAGGCTTAGCGTCCCCACGGCCCGGTCGTCGACCAGGTCTCCTGGTTGCTGGACTGGTCAACCAGGCTGTTGGACACGGCTGCTCTCAGCTAGACGTACGAATCCCAGCCTGGTTGATCAGGTATCCTTTGGAGGTGCTTATCCAGTTCTCTCTTGAACACTGTGAGGGGTCGGCCAGTTATGCCCCTTATATATATTGATGCTACATTCCCTGTAAGCTTTGGTTTTTGGGTCAGACTAATGCATAACCTCAGACCAATATACCTGTACTTCTGGTTAGGTTTATTTAGGCTTTTGGTTCGATTTCCAGGCAGGGCGAGGCATTTGGCATGATTCCTTACATCTAATGCCTCTATTCATATAGCAGTAAATATGTACCCAAGAGTTATTTAACTGTTATGGGTAAAATCCTGGGGAAGGTCAGCCATTGACAAGTGGGACCTTGATAAGCTTAACAGGTTTTGGAACCAACAATGGAAAACCAAAATTAAGTCCCTTCATAAAGCAAACAGTTTGCAGAAAGCTTTTAAGACCTAACCTAACAGACCCATGAGATATGATGACCACTATGGTGTTTCCGCATAATTCACTACCCCTGAAAATGTCTTCTTTTGAAAGGAATTATTTTTATCTTGGATGCTTTTCAGTCTGAAATAGTCCCTATACATCTAGAATTGTTTTTCTGGCAGTTTGAACTGCCAACGATGTAAGTAAGTAATTATCAAAAGAAGGCACCAAACCGGGAAGGCTATGTAGCACCATCAAATGTGCAGAATAATCACAGGGCGCTAAATATCACCAAGGATGTCAATATGAGAACAGAAACGCATGAGGCGAACGGTATCAAAAGTATATGATTCACCGAGAATTCTATCGAGGGACAAGCGACCGCGTGGAACAGTCGGAAAACAAGACACACGCTCGTCCTGGAAGTCAGGACATTTAGCAAGGATATGCACGACCGTAAGATTGCAATTTGGAAAATAAGGTGCAGATTGGCGCTCCATTAAGTGACCACAAGTTAAGCGTGTATGGCCAATACGCAACCTCGCCAGGGCTGTCTCCCATCGCCGGTTACGGTGGTAGAACAGCCATGAGGACACACTACTCTTTTAAGAGTATGCAGTTTGTTACCAGTAACAAAAGACCAACAATCCTGCCAACGGGTAAGGATGGAGGAATGAATAACTGGGTAAAAGTCGGAATAAGGAATACCTTTACGGGAGATGGGACAAGAGCGGACAGTTTCCCTAGCAGCAGCGTCTGCACGCTCATTGAAAGAGAGACCAATATGGCTGGGTACCCAGCAAAACTCAACTGACTTAAATTTACTGGAAATAAGAAATAGCCAATGTTGAATCTCAACGACCACTGGAAAATGTGAGCAGGTTTGTAAGGCGGGTTCTATTTTTAACAAAGCCATGTTGCATCAGTTGTACAAGATTGTTCGCTGTGAGATGGAGAATGATTCTTTCCCATAGGAGTCTCTCCACAAGCTTGCAGACGTGCGATGTCAGGCTTATCAGAAAGTAGTTTTCTGCTATGTTTTCTAACATTTTCCAATTTAAAATATTTTGCTCTACAAGATCCTAAGAATAAATATTTTTGTTTCAATATTAGGAAACAACTCATCACTCTGGACTAAATTGTCTCCAGCAATTCACTGCATGATGGTGATTAATTAGGTCACTTCATAGTCACTTCACAAATGGATTTTCTGACTTCTAAGCAAACCTATGGTAACCCCCTGATATAGATAAGGTATAATGTATGTGAAGAATATTGTCTAGTTGGAAAGTTACCTGTACCTTGGCAAAATACTGGCTATAAAATGAAAACTTACAGTTGAAATACTCAGTAACTGAAATGAGCCAACAAAATTACCATATATGTGTGTGTGAAGAATATGTTTTAAGCACACTGTATTGTGTAGGTGGACAAAAGGGTCACATAATACACAGAGCTATGTGTCTAGCCGCACTGCAAGTGATGCCATTGTTCGCAAGTCGTACTGATGTGGTTTTGCAGTTTTTTGTCTGAATTCACAGGTTACAAACACAGTACCCTATAGGCAATAATTTGTCTGTGAGAGTAGCATCAACCAATGATAGCATCAGCTTTTCAGAAACATTTAAATGAAACTCAAATGCATATCATGTAATTTAGCAAGTTATTACCTGCCAATGATGTCAGTTGTGTGAGTACAGGTCAGCAGTGCTGCGCCTGGAGCGGGTAGGCTAAGGTGTCATCAGGTTATGTACAGTTGAAGCCAAATCACAATCCAAAACACAACATCCCCCCTCATAGATATTTACACAATCAAATTAAAATGACTGCAATACCTTGTTAAACTCCACTTCCTGAGTCTTCTGTCTATTTTCAATATCCTGGATTTTAGTCACCAAATATTCCAGAACCTGGCCTAATTTTCCAAGCTTTTCTCTAACATAAGACTCAAACTCTGGATCTCTGGTCATCTCAGGGCGGTCGCGACAGTCTTTACAAGTCCACACACACTTGAGGCCGAGGGTCCTGTTCTCGTCCTTGTCCTGGATGACGCGGTACTTGGTCTCCGGGATCTTGGCGCACTTGGTGTGATACCATCTCTTACACGCACCCTCACACATCACAACACTGTCCATATACGTGAAGAACTTTTTACATTGTGCACACAAGAGCGTGGCACTACTGTTTGTTGGCATAGTGGGAAAAATTCCATAAGGGTTCGCCATCATTGCATTGATTAACTAACGCGTTTGTTGCGTCGCTTACACCCCGGGGCAGCGGGCGGTGGGCGGCGGGGCGCGGGCGGCCGCAGCTCTCGCTCACTCGTCATCATTGGAAAATAAGTTAAAATTGGTATACGAAAGCGTTTACAAAACTAAATTCAACATAAATCTACCAAGAAATGAGTATTTAGCACAAAGCATAGCAAATCAATGAAATTAATCTAACATTAGTTTGGAGTGAATGATTTATTTAACTTTATTTACGAAGAATGCGAAACAGGCTTGTCCGATTGTGTATCTCCAAAATTAAATGTGTATATTCAATTTACCAAAAATAGATATAATATATATATATATATTTACCCATATCTTTTTGTTGTATTCAAATATATAATTATACCGAAATAATAACAATTTGTAAACCAAAGTTGATGCCATAGCTGTATACCGTTGACCTGTGGTCAGCCACAACCTGCATTGAGAGCTCCAAGAAAATAATAGTTTTCCACTGTTGCTTACAGGAAGGCTTATGCTTATCGTGGTCTCCCTACCTATAACTATACACCTTCGCAGGATGAAACCCACAACATAATTTGATTGTTGCCCCCAGAGACGGCTATAGCTAGGCTAATTACTTATAGGTAAGCTAATTATTACGGCACTGATCACCTCTGGTTACATAATGTTAGCATAATTAAATCAACAGTATCCTGGCCCCATAGTTTACCAAACTACCATTGGCGTCACCTCAAGAGGTCTGGGAACCGAGTACGGGACCTTCAATGCGCTCTTGTAACAGTAATTGATAAGAATTGGCAAGTAATATGGGGTGCGCGAAAGTTAGCTATAGCCGTCGCTACTAAGTTTAGTTTATTTTATTCATTTTGTACCCCATTCCCATCCTGTGGGCGGTAGTGTAATTGTTACACAGGCACATATCCTTAAAAAAGCAAGAGTAACGCCAGTTCATAAAGGAGGTAACACGGCAGACAAATAATTACAGACCTCAATGCCACCGCTTCTTTACATCACCTCTGTGAACATAAAACGTCATTAATTAGACGGACAACACACTGGGTGACCTTGGGATAACATCCTTCCACCGGTGAATTGAAATTGTAACTTGTAGCCACAACCTAGATAGCGTTGATCTTGATACACCACCCACCAGAGGTCATTATCATGGACCTCACATTCTGACTGAGGCAGGAAACTGGAACCGTTCACTGATACCACGCCAGCACCAACAGATGGCTTTGTCTGAATTGCACCAAACACCGGGGAGTTGGAGTGCAGATCCATAGATGGCACAGAAATCGCCACTCCATACTCTGGCGACGGTGTCAACACTGTAACACTGACATAAGTGGAGAGTTAGAGTCACAGTTGATATGTCTACCCTGCACACCGCCCCCCATCCAGTGGGCAGCGGTGAATAGGTTACAATCACTTAGTTACTACCTACAATTAGCAAACTGGGGATATTTTGCCAAGACTTCTGGTAGCAGGTCATTTTGAATGAAATATTTACACATCTCTTGAACATTTGTTATAGCATTTTCTTTGAAATCACGCATCTTTTCGTACTCCATCACATAGTCTCTGTAATTAACTTGAATGTAAGATCTCTAAGTAAACACTTCGATGATGTTAGTGCCTTGATTGAAACTATTGACAACAAATTCTCTTTTATTATACTTACTGAAACGTGGTTAAAAGAGGATACTACTCAACTCTTTAACATGCTAAACTACTCAGCAATTCACAACTGTCGACCAATTCAGAGGTGGTGGTACTGCTCTTTACTACCACCAAGAACATGCTTAAAAGTAATTAGAACTAGAGACTACTATGGGGAGTATATCTTCGCCAGTTTCAGAGTCTGTCCTGACTGTGGGAGCAGTCTATAGAATTCCTAACACTGATGTGTCCGAATTCAACTCTAATCTTAGAAATCTAATACTAGATAACAGACTGAACAAAAACCGTCTAATTATCGCAGGGGACTTTAATATTGACCTCTGCGAGCCTGAAAACCCTACTGCTGTCAGCTTCCTCAACTGTATGAATTCCTGGTTCCTCATACCCTTAATCACTAGACCTACTAGAATCACTGATAGTACTGCCACGGCTCTTGATCACATCTGGACCAACATAACATCTCGCTTACTTCAAGGATAATCATCGATAGCACTACAGATCATTACCCCACATTTCTCCTAACATTAACAAACCACCTCTTGAGACAAGGGAGATAAGCTTTAGGCTGCACAATGAAACTGCTATAGGCAATTTTATAGCTGCTGCTGCTAATGTCAATTGGGAGTCCGAATTAGATAACAGGGGACATCAACCTAGCAATGCAATCTTTTCTTCAAAAAACTCTCAGCCTTTATAACACCTACTGTCTTAGAAAAACTCCCCAGACACCAAGCAGAACGCTTTGAAGGAGACCAACGTCGTCTATGCCTTTAAATGCCCACTTGGGGACTAAGCCCCAAAGAACTCAGTATATAGGCAAGACAACAACGTCTCTTTCTAGGCGACTAACAATGCATAAGCAACAGGGAGCCATCAAGGAACACACAATCTCTTCTCACAACCAGACCATCACCAGAGAAATCTTAACAGACAACACAGAAATCATCGATAGGTACGGCGATAGCAGGCGGCTTGACATCAGCGAGGTACTACACATCAAAAAGTTAACACCAGCAATTAACAGCCAATTAATGCACAACTATATTCTACCTACTTCAAGACCCCGAACCAATATGGAAGCAGCAAGAGGAAGTACTGTATGGGCCAATAGGCCTTCTGCAGTTACTTCCATTCATATGTTCACTTATCCAATTTATACCCATTGTTTCGTGTTCTGTCTTGTGTTTGTCACCTCACCCAAAACTTTTGTACCATATCACCTCATCCAATAGAGTATAAGTACAAAGAATTTGTGTGTAAATTAAGTCTTTGAAAATGTAATACGAATTACGAAACGCGTTCAGGCATCAGACAATTAAAAAATGAATTTCGGAGAATTGTTATTTTTATTACCACTGACAGTGAAGAAATACATAAGAAATATTGAGAAGATTCGTGTTAGAATTATTAATCTTACTTTTTCGGTCATATTCAACAACATATGTTTACAAGAAAGACTGCTACCAAAATATAATATATATATACTGTATATATATATATATATATATATATATATACACACACACACACACGTTATATGACAAAGAGTGCTGGGAAGACGGGACACCACGAGCGTAGCTCTCATCCTGTTACTACACTTAGGTAATTACATTGTTAAACATGACCGAAAAGGTAAGATTAATAATTCTAACACGAATTTTCTCAATATTGCTTATGTTTCTTTTCACTGTCGATGGTAATTGAAAAATCAATTCTCCAAAATTTTATTTTATTTCTAGTCTGACGCGATGCCTGAACACGTTTCGTAATAACTTATTACATTTTCAAAGACTTTTAGTTTACACACACGACTGTAATCTGTAAACACACACAAATACATCCATACTTACACTCGCATTTGGGCGAGGTGATTTGGTAGACCGCTGGATGGAATGGACTTGGTTTGAAGATGGGTTGCATAACCAGCAGTGATCTGTTTTGCCTTGTTGACTGTGGCTGTTTTCCCAGTAGTGGCAGACATTATTCAACTTCACTGACAGCATAGTGCCACTGCTCTCCGCACGTCTTTAGAAGGGGGGCCAGGTTTTGACTCGTGGTCCCCAGTAGGCCTAAAAGAACTTCGCATGTGATGGCACCTAGTTGGCACTATATCAACATTGTAGCTTCAGGGAGCTACAAGGGGTCTTCCTCCCAGAAAAGATGAAGTGTAACAATAAGAATACAAAGCACAATTTTTATAGTTCAATTTATTTAAGTTTGATCACATACAAAAATTATGCAATTGAAAAAATGTTGAATTCACAGTCTTGTAGTGAAAGTTATTAAAATTCTCAATGCAAGAGTACTGAATCTCTAGGTTCCTGGATACATCTTTATTTTCTATACAGGTTTTCAAAGGTGAAATAAAAGTATACAGTATAATTTTAATAATTAACTTGTGTTTGGCACATACATAACATTTCATGAGCATTGTTGCATTTTTAGGCAATATATGTAATTTTAATGCTGCGACTATTTAAACCATTTTCAATTAATAATTTCCTAGACATATTGGTTTTGTAGCTAAATGCCAACATATTATCATTATTGCAGTCTGGTGCTAAAGTGAGTAATATACTTCCTGATTATTATAAGAACCAACCAAAAATAATGCCAATAATCACAAAATTTTGCTCTTAAATTTTTAATAACTGTTTTAATTCCAGAATTTTGCTGTCATGCTTCAAACTTCTCTTTGTTCTTATTTGTTTTGTGGTCAAAGATGAAAAGAATGTGCAGCATTATGTTCTAGCAAAGGATTTTAATTAAAACCTATTTCTTGACAAGGTGCTCTGCAACTTTAAGCATTGGTTTGCAATTCTAAAATGAATGAATATATATATACTGTATATATATATATATATATATATATATATATATATATATATATATATATATATATATATATATATATATATATATATATATATGTGTAGATCACAAAAAATAAACACGTGATTAAAGATGTGACAGTGTCAGACCACGGAGGAAGAATTGAAACAGGAATTTCTGTAAGTACTTTCGTATATTAATATATCTTCAGAAGGAGTCACTCTCAATACATCTTCACTCCTTCTGAAGATGTATTAGTATATGAAAGTACTTAAGGAAATTCCTGTTTCAATTCTTCCTCCGTGGTCTGACACTGTCATATATATATATATATAATATATTATATATATATATATATTTATTATATATATGTCATGCTTATGCATGTCATATTCACATGCATGTATGTTTACACACAAGTTTGTTGGGGGTCACCTCAGGTTCCCAGGCCTGCTATTAAACTCTTAACTGGTAGATTAATGTTTCAGCCAATTTACCATTGTAGCGTGTGTTGTTGACCGTATTCCTCTGCAATCTCACTATTACTGTCTATTACTGTGAGTAAAGTAGTTGGAGTCAACGAAGTAGTGAGAGAGAAAGAAGTGTGAGAATTTGACGGGCATCAAGAAGGAGTGGAGAGAAGAGATGAAAAAAGAGAGAAACCTTAGATTAAGACTTCAGGAAAGTGAGACAGGAAGAAGCAAGATAAGGAAGGCAGCGAAGGATTAGATTTGGGATAAGGGGATGGGGTAGGTTTCCTGTGGGACACGGTACATTTCCTGGTCATTCTCCCCTTACTCACTCTAAACCATCAACATGTCTTCAATATTCCCCACTATAATTCTTCCTTATAGATGTTTAATTCCTAGTACTTGAATAATTTAGTTATGCTCATTGTGAAGACAGTCCCTATCCCTAGCAACCTGCAAACCTGATGCCAGTTTATGACATTAGTTGCTTCTCCCTAAATATTTAAGATTATCCTAGATATCTTTCATCTTACTTCCCCCTATTCTTCACCTTTTACCTAGCCTAAGTGCAAAAAATATACATCTTACTCTGTTCAAATCCTTCCTAGCACATTGAACTGCATTGCAATTAGCTACACAAATTGTCCTCACTTCTGCACCAATTTAAATATATCTGCATAGTTTGGACTGTGTCTAAACTATGGTATGTGTGACCTATGGTAATTACCTTCCACTGAATCTTGTTGCGTGTTTCCTACCTGGATGAAGGTGATTGTGGTGATGGATGGAGGAGGACGATTTGCGAGAGGTGATGGGTGGGGGGTGATAGTGATGGAAATGGTGGCAGGAGGGTGGGGGAGGTATTGGTGATGATGGGGTGTTGCTGGTTGTAGTGGTGGGGTGGGGAAGATAATCATAGTGGTGGTGGTGGGTGGGGAAGGTAATTATAGTGGTGGTGGTGAGTGGGGAAGGTAATTATAGTGGTGGTGGTGGGTGGGGAGATATTAGTGGTGGTGGTGGTAGGTGGGGAGGTAATTATAGTGGTGGTCTCAAGTGGGGAGTATAAATTGTGCTTCTGTTTATGTTTGTAAAAGAGAAGAAAGGTCTAAACAGTATACATTAAAAGGTTCCTGAAATTGGTGCTGCAAAATTACAGTAACAGGAGAATAGGCCAACACTTTCAAGAAAAAACTAACTTCTTCCACAGCAGTTAATTATTAGGCAACTAAGATGGCCCGTCTAATATTGGTTGTACAGACTACATTCAACTTGGTGTTGTGCCACATAGCACATTATTGATACTGGTATTGTTACAACATTATCTAAAGTTCTTTTTCCAAGTCAATTTTTGTTAATTATGTAATTCAAACTTTTTCTGTAAAATGAAGATACCGTATACTAAAGCGAGCCTCAAAATGATAAGGAATTGGTATAATGAACCTGAAATTACATGGATGGCACCAAGGAAAAATGGAGTACAATTCCCTAAATATTAAACATTTCATGCTTATATTCTAACTTGAAAGACTCCAAGTGAAATTGCAATGCATTACTCACATGCATAGCTAATTTACACGACCAAAAATCTGAAAACTTGGCATATAATTTTAAATTTTTATTCATGAAACATTTTTAACAAAATTTGAATTATTTAATAAACACCAAAAATTAAATACAAATATACCATTTGCAGAACTAGGTTCAAACACAAAGTTCTGCTAAGAAAAAAATATACAGTATTATCTACAAATAAAATACTGCACTGCCAACATAAATATAACCTCTGATTGTATGTAAATAGGATTCAAATGTTTTTATGGGGAAAGATACTAAATAGTGCTCACAAATGCCCTGTTATACATAACACACAACATACCAATGCCTATACGAGATTCCAACATCTGCACAGCAAATATATAAATAAGGTATATCATTTATGAATGTTTAACACATTCTTCTTGGCAGCATGACTTCACTCACTCGCTGCGAATATTATGAAAAATAGTATTCCTTGCAATGTTGGCTCCGATCTTTGATCAGTGCTTGTAAAATTATTTCAATCCAAACACAAAATTATTAAGTTCAATATTCTTAACCCAGCTGGCTGAGTTAATGCCATGGCTCATCAGTGTTAATGTTTTAAAAAAGGCCAGACTAATTTGAAATTATATGCCGGTATTCTTTAATTGTACAAATTTTTGTTACATTAATTCCAAAACATTAAATCAAATTATTGAAATTCTCAGCCAGCTGAGGACACGACTGTCAACAGCTACTTACAGTAGTTGTTGATGTATCCAGTCATACTAGCTATCTAATAAAAATGGCATTTGTACTTTTTTGTGCTTTACTAACCTAATCCCTTTGGTCTTAAACATCAATAACTTAGAACTACCAATGTAAAGTCCACATATCAGACAATGATACAATAGATGCCATTATTCTGAAATAATATATAATCCTCTTTAATAGGAGGAAATCCAAACCAATCAAGTCACTTATTTACATTGATATTGCAGATCTTATAACTACCATTTAAAACATTGCTCACAATTCTGAAAAATGTAATAGCAAAGGAGAACAACCAGGAAATTCTACAAACATATAAAAACTCCCAGTTCATAGACCATTTTTGCATGGATTTCTGAATATGTAAAAAGTTCTTTACATACTGTATAAATACAACAAAGGATGTGATCACATGGCTGTGTCCTTGACACTGAAATGGGTTTAACTACTGACTATTGCTTTACCTTTACAAGTTGTTGTTTACATATTACTGTACAGGTACTTGGACAAAAATTTTGTTAGAATGGGTTACGTATTACTTCACAGAAAGTCACATAATAAAAAAAAGAGAGAGTAAGAAAACAAGCCGAAAGAAACTCGTAACCCTTAACAAGCTTACCGAACTCAATAGGTGCCCAGGTGGTTTTATGCTTTTAAATTCTTCCATATTCCTGTACTTTTAAGATTAAGGATAAGACAAGGACTGGGTGACAGAACAGTTCATAGAACCTACGCTTAATAAATCCAAAACTCCTTTATATCCATATATATGAAGACATTACCTTTCATGAATTTTCTTAATATGTTTATCAAGTGATTGTATGTGCTTTGAAGAAAATTCACAGTGTGGGCATTTATGAGGTCTTTCATTCGAATGAGTTCTCATATGGCGCTTTACATTGTCTTGCCGCTTGCTGGTAAAGTCACAAACAAGACATTTAAAAATCTTTGTGTGTTCTTCTCTCTTATGTTCAAGAGAAGCTCTGTAGGTCTTGCAGGTATAATTACACTGTGTGCACCTGTATGGTTCCTTCGTATGTGTGAGCATGTGTCGGGTCAAACTTTCCTTCTTCTGAAATGAGCGATGACAGTTGAGGCATTTATAGGGTCTCAATTTCTCTGGAGAGCAATGTGCAAGTCTGACAAAAGTAGTGGTGTGTGTTGAACCCTGCACAAAAAAAGATCACATTGTTCATGAAAATGCAATATTATCACTACATTCATACTTAAGATAGTCCATTGCACCAACTTTGAAATAAAAATTTATGGATACTACATGTATTATGCAGTAAGCACTAGGTTCTAATAATAAAGATTTGGAACAACAGATAACATATTGCTTCAGTGGAGTTTCTTAAAGTTAACAAAGCATACAAATGAAATATAAAGTGGGCTGGGACGGAAAGGTAAGGTAAGGTTGGCAAAGTAGAAAAAAATACGGAGAGGAGTATTAATTAAGAATGTAGTAGTAGTAGTAGTAGTAGTAGTACAGTATAGGGGATATAGATAAGATATCCTAACTGTAGCTAAATCACAGCTTTGCAGCCTAGGAAGCGAGTCTTAACACTTTCTGCGGATCAGGACTCCTCCCGGCGTCCTGTTTCGCCTACCCGCTCCCGCATGGTGAACATAAATTTATGTCCTCTTTTAAAACATTTGTATAAAATTCAATTTTTATCCGATTTACTTTGGGTTTGTTTCAAACTGTGTGCCATGAGGCTCTCTTTCTCACCACTAGGCTGCATGGTACAATAAGTTCATGAAAGGTGTGGATAACTTCGATTAAATGGTATTTTGTCCCAAACGGGTTGCAGGTGGGTGACTTTAGCCGTTTATACTGGTAATGCTTCCCCCATATCATGTATTATATGCATATGTCTGTTTAGGGAATTTTATTCCGATCAATATACAACCAAAAATAACTGTGTGCAACAAGTATAAACTTGACAAACATAACAAAAGTAAAAACATTTCGTGTGTGTTTGACGCTCACTGATATGTTCCAGCGTTGTTTTATATTTGGCGCTATTCTAACTTACGCTTTGTTGATATTTTTTACCTATGGGCACATAGAACATTCTATTGCGAACACATTGACGCAAAAATGAATGACGTACATAGAAAATTAATGTCATGAGAGTGAAATAAGTATAAACTTTCAAAGCGCCGTGCGTCGTCCCGTCACCGATACCGGGTAACAATTTCACCACTTCCCACACTCTTGCGGGCGGGCCGCATCATTATTCTACGCTTATATTCATATCACCGTGTTGGGAATTTCATTGCGAGTCCATTGATACCAAAATTAACGCTGTAGAACAAGTGTGGAGGTGATTACAATCCCAAGAGTAAAAACATTTTGTTGCTCTTGGGCGCTCACGGCGAGTCATCTTCGTAGTTATTTATTTGGTGCTGGTATCCCTATACGTTTCGTGACTTTTTTTACTGATGTTCTTCTAGAGAATTTTATTGCGAACACGTTGGTACCAAAATGAAATACGTAGCATGAGAACTAAGGTCAGAAGAGTAAAAAGAGTATACACATTTTTGTTTTTACGCTTAAGCGATAAAAACGCAGCGCGCACATTCGGTTGGCTGAGTGACCTTTGCGGAGAGCGCGAAAGTGTTAAGTATGTCACCTATGCACATATTTAATAAGTCAATATTGACTTATTAAATTTGCGAGAACGGGTTGTATATGCATATGTCTGTTTAGGGAATTTTATTCCGATCAATGTACAACAAAAAATAACTGTGTGCAACAAGTATAAACTTGACAAACATAACAAAAGTAAAAACATTTCGTGTGTGTTTGACGCTCACTGATATGTTCCAGCGCTGTTTTATATTTGGCGCTATTCTATCTTACGCTTTGTTGATCTTTTTTACCTACGGGCTCATAGAACATTCTATTGCGAACACATTGACACAAAAATGAATGATGTACATAGAATAATAATGTCATGAGAGTGAAATAAGTATAAACTTTCAAAGCGCCGTGTGTCGTCCCGTCACCGATACCGGGTAACAATTTCACCACTTCCCACACTCTTGCGGGTGGGCCGCAATCATTATTCTATGCTTATATTCATATCACCGTGTTGGGAATTTCATTGCGAGTCCATTGATACCAAAATTAATGCTGTAGGACAAGTGTGGAGGTGATAACAATCCCAAGAATAAAAACATTTTGTTGCTGTTGGGCGCTCACGGCGAGTCATCTTCGTAGTTATTTATTTGGTGCTGGTATCCCAATACGTTTCGTGACTTTTTTTTACTGATGTTCTTCTAGAGAATTTTATTGCGAACACGTTGGCACCAAAATGAAATACATAGCTCGAGAACTAAGGTCAGGAGAGTAAAAAGAGTATACACATTTTTGTTTTTACGCTTACGCGGCAAAAACGCCGCGCGCACATACCGCTTTTTTTTTACCATCGAAGGGGGCCGGAAAGTGTTAAATATACAGTAATATTTAGACAAAATTGTCTATAGAGTACAGTTGCTGGGCTAGTATTAAGTTAATAGTATTTTTTTTGTTAAAAAACTCTGAAGAGGAGATTAATAATGATGGTATTAGATTATTGTACGAAGTTTGTCAAAGCAAATAGATTCATACAAGAAAAATGCAATTGACTGTGGATAGATTTTTTTTGGCAATGAAATAGGCAAATTCCCGATATCACACTAGTGTTTCCGAGGACCTTCCATAAGGTACCCACATGTTAACAAAGCCAACCTACACTACTATTTCCTATGTGGTGTAGCAGTAGACCATGCCATGATTGTTGACTTAACTTCCCTAACATTATATCCAGTTGTTATATGCCACCTCTCCTGCCAATCATAGGAGTTGGAGCTGGTAATAGCTGCAGATTACAGTACTTCTTATATGGCAGTTTCTTGGATGGTATGTTGTCATAAAGTGCTTGTTTGGTCTCACTGTCAGCATTTTCATTATTTAACACACCTTCACAACCATAGTACTTAGCAAAGTGAAGGGATTTTAAACAGTTAAAGATTCCATAAAACCACTGATGGATTTTCAAGACTGTAAATGTAACTGGGTTGAACTGTTCAATGGCTTTCCGGTTAATTCAGGGTTAAAAAACAAATTTTTGGATGTAACTTACATTCTTTCTCAAGGTATAGTATACAATGTTCTGAAAACATTGTTTCAGAACATTGTATACTATACTTTGAGAAAGGATGTAGGTTACATTCTAAAATTTGTATTTTAATACACTCAGACATAAATTGGGTCTTTCCTTCACCTTCATTCAAGTACTACAGCATTGTAGTAAGTTTCTCCAAGAAAATAGATGTTCAAAACCATTTGGGTGTTTCTGCCCGAAACGCTATGCATGTTTGTGGCTTTGCAAGAATGGATAAATACATCCTTATGTAATCTCACAAACTCACTGTACCGTCTTGTAAATTAAATTATTATTTATATTATTATTACCAAATTAAGCAACATCAAGCAATGTTAAATCTAAAATCTTGTCCTAAAAATTTAATTTAAGCTATACTAAATAGTGAATAAAAAAAATGGGTACACAATATTTTTAAAATTTAGAGTTTTTGGCCCCTAAACTGCAGACATAAGGTTGCAAAATGCTTAGGAAATGTAGTACTAATCTGATATTATGCAATCACTATCACACTATCATGTAAGCAACTAACCCTCGAGAACTGAGCATCTGATTGTGAAGAAGTAGAAGTCTCGGGAAATTCCTCTGTAAAATCATACAGGTTCTCGTCTGGATCCTGAAAAGAACAATAAACTTACAAAAAGGTTTATGGAAAAACACATATTATAAATACTTTAGGACAAAATTTGGTCTCCACAATGCTGAAATATGTGGGTATATGAAGTGGCATACTGATCTACTCCAAGAACTGTACTACAGTATCTAGTATATAATTAAAGCTGTATAAATATGCAAACACTTCCAGGCAAAATCCATAGCTGGCCATGCTTTAACTGTCTAGGCATCCAGGAGGTTATGTTAATGCAGTTAACTACACAATATAATACAAAAACTTTTCTAAAATGCTTCCATAGTTAAGGCATAGTTAATTTTGAAATTTTCTACCTATCTTCGGTTTTTATTTGTAATTTTCTTACCGTGTGGGGTTTGTTTTGTTATGCCTAACTTTCTGGGTGCCTAACCCTGGTCGATGGCAGATAAGGAAAACTCCCAACCACTGGGGGTTTTCCAGGGCCATTGCTCCCTGAAACACCTCTCTGAGAAGGCCAGGTTCTGGCTCGTGGTCCCCGGAAGGTTAAACTCCATAGACTAATGTCCTGGTCCATTATATCACACATTAGCCCGATAACTCCAGGGAGCCAAAGGGACTCCTCACAGAAACAACTAATACAATATTACAGAAAAAGCTTATAATATCTAGCTTACATTTACAGCTTCAATTACAATCTACAGTATATATTTCATCTTGGCTCAATCATCTTTTACACAAAACACATTCGTCAACAAATTATTCTAGAGTCAACAATAACAGGGAATTAATGTCTTCTTTATTCTTTATTTTTACTCTGTAAACCATATACCTATATAAGCAGCCACTGATATGTATGGTATTGGGGAATGCAGATTTGGTGGTATGTAGGTATCCCTTTCGTACAGTACCAAGTTTCAAAGTACAAATGAGAATTCAAAAGATTATTTTAACATCTGCAGGTATACCACTTTCTCTGCTTTGTGTCAGATTCCCACAAACTACACATTTTTAGTGGTTCATGAAGTTTTAGATCATATTCTTGCAACTTTGCACCTTTCATGCATTATGGACTTCATTATGAATGGTATTTGTGAATGGAAAGTGGAAGGTATATTACTAGTATATATTTACCCCTAAAGTGCGCTATGACAGGCACTTCTCTGCCTATATGCAGAAAATTAAAAAATTAAACAAAAATAATTTTTCTTATAAAATGATACATTTGATCTGTAGCCTGTTATTTCCCAAGTGTAATTACAGGACAAGAGTTATTCTCATGGTGTCTCATCTTCCCAGTACTCTTTATCATATGATGCTTTGAAACTACAGTACTGTCAGTCTTAGCATCCACCACCACCTCACTTGACTCGTTTCAACCAAGTACCATTCTGCATATGAGAATGTTCTAATATTTTTTCAGCAGCTTTGTTTACTCAACTCGAATCTATGAACTCGAGTTCTTGAAGATGCAGGTTTCAAGAATTCCTCATTGTCAATTTTGTAGATTCCAGTTAATATTTTGTATGTAGGGAATCATATCACCTCTTTTCTTCTATTTTCTACCTTTGGTATATTTAACACCTATGGTCTCTCCTGGTAACTCTTTGTTTTTCAGTTCCTGAAGTCATTTACAGTAATTGCATGTATTTACATCTTTTTCAGCTAATTGATGTGCTTCTTGAGATATAGGCACCATACAACAACTGCATATTCCAATTATGGTCTCATGATGGACGTGAACAATTTCTTAAATATTTCGCTATCCTTGTATTTAAAAGTGATTCTAAAGTTAAAAAGTGTAGCATAGGCTCCTTGCACAAGGTTCTTTATGTAGTCCTCGGGTAACAGTTTTCTATCCCTAGATACAACACCTACATTGCAGTTGGAGCCTTGGGAAAATTTTTGAGCATATTAAAAAAAAAAAATTTGCTTCTTTTGAGTTTCACATTAAAAATAACAAATTTCACATTAAATAGCCCAAAAAGGAGAAAACATCTTGAAATGTGGGACAGGTCCAGAACAATACGCTACCGTGAGAGCTCGGTAATACGGATTCCAGCAACCCGAATCTCTGAGTAATCTGAATGAATTTATGTTCAGATTTTTTATCCTTCAACCCAAAAAGGGATACGGATTAAAAGGTTATATAGTAGAAGAAACTATTAAATTCGAGTTAAGAGTTCTTGACTGATCAACTTTTAATAGAAATTTGGCTTACCGATAACAATTCAGTTATAAGTACCAGTACTTAATCTCTTTACTCCCAAAGTTTGAACACAGTGAAGTAAATTTACAGGCAAGCACGCGTCAGCATTGGACAATTCCCTGTTTTCCTTGATGGTGCTTGTCATCTCCTGTGTGTACATACAGTACAGTACTGTACTGCATTTCCCTGCTACAACATAGAACGTTTTCTCCTTCTGGGGGCATGTGTATCAAGCCCAACCCTGTCAACCTGCCTAGCGAAGTGTTCTTCCCTCATGTGACTCAACCTCATGTCATTCTGTTACTGAAAGACTTTTATTCCTAAATTTTTTGTTTTAATAAGAACGTAGATAATTGTTTTGCACAAACTCGCCTCTAAGATCATGTATGATAGCAGTATCAATGAACATAGAGGTGCTAAGAGGAAGCAAGTTACCCCATCAATTAAGAGATAAGCTACAAGTGATTGAACTTTGTGAAAATGGCATTTAATTTTTTGACATTCCTGGTAAGAAAGTAAAATGTTCAGGTAAATTGAATGGAGATGAGGCCCATATAATTCAGATTAAGCAAAGACAGTAACCCAGATTTTGGAGGTATTAATATACAGTATGTTGGGGAGTGAATTGTAAGCACAATGTATAGCCAAAATGCATGGCACAGAACACACACAAGGAAAAAAAGAAAGCATTGGTCTTGCATAAAACTACTGTTCATGAGACAGCCAACACCATTTCCTGGACTGCTACTTGGTGGTAGACAGGTATATCTAGCCAGTAAGGACAGTTTGCACTGTTTTTGTTAGCTACAAATCTTGCCATGCAGTTGCTTGTTTTTGACCATTTTGTTTTTCTGGTGAATTTTTTCCTCAGTTCTGGAGTAGAACTCCAAGGGAGTAGAAGGGTACAGTTCAATCAGTAGGTTCCAGTTTGTTTTGAGAAATGGACAACTTGGCTAAACATGTTTACCTGTCGTACCACTTTTCAACCAACCCGTCCTCTTAAAAATAACGTCAGTTTTGGCTCGTATGCGCACTATGGCCAAATTTGGACGTAATTTGAAATGAAATCGACTCACAAAAGTGACATACTGTTCCATTTTCTGTTTGAGGCATCCGGCTTACTCACCAAGGGTAGGAGAGGAAACTTTCAATTAACGTTTTTCAAAACATTTTGAAACTTTATGAGAATTTCCTGCCCACCTAACCTACCAGAGGACCCTTAACTTACTGTTGAAAAAAATTCCCAAATTTATTTTCATTTTTTTTTCATTTTCAAATTACGTCCACTTTCGGCCATACGGGCAAACGGCCAAAAGCGACGTTATTTTTAAGAGGACAGGTTGTTTCAACACAGTTCATGCAGCTAGTCAATATTTATTAAATGCTCATTAGTATGTGAGAAACATATAAAATAAATTATTGATGCTTAATATTTATGGGTTAAAATGGAAAGAAAATTATCATCCACTTGACAGTCAATTTGAGCTGGCATGGCCAACTCAAGCATGTATATTCTCATATAAAATATTCATTTATACATGTACTCTTTGCTCTTGCATGTATGTATGATCTGCAATCAAAATAAAGAAATTAAAGTAAGGCAAATTTTCCCAAGTTAGAAAATAAGAAAAATCTATATATGCTATTCACTTGTTTCTGATGCCTGAAACCTATAACTATGATGAAATAAAAAAAAATGGTGGCATGCCATTAGTGCAAGGGATGAATACGAATCAAAATGTGTTATAGTTTGAAAAATTGCATTAGAAATGCAGTGACAAAATTAAGAATACACAAAAATGCTGCACTACCAATTATCAATCCACTGCATTTACTTGTACTTTTCCTACAATGATTTTCTTAATCATTCCACAGGCTGATTGATTAGGGGAATATACCAATAAATATATAAATATAATATATATGTCTATATATGTCGTACCTAGTAGCCAGAACGCACTTCTCAGCCTACTATGCAAGGCCCGATTTGCCTAATAAGCCAAGTTTTCCTGAATTATTATATTTTCTCTAATTTTTTTCTTATGAAATGATAAAGCTACCCATTTCATTATGTATGAGGTCAATTTTTTTTTATTGGAGTTAAAATTAACGAAGATATATGACCGAACCTAACCAACCCTACCTAACCTATCTTTATAGGTTAGGTTAAGTTAGGTAGCTGAAAAAATTAGGTTAGGTAGTCGAAAAACAATTAATTCATGAAAACTTGGCTTATTAGGCAAATCGGGCCTTGCATAGTAGGCTGAGAAGTGCATTCTGGCTACTAGGTACGACATATATAGACATATATATATATATAGACATATATATATATATAGACATATATATATATATATATATATATATATATATATATATATATATATATATATATATATATATATATATATATATATATATATATATATATATATATATATATATATATATATGTATATATATATATATATATATATATATATATATATATATATATATATATATGTCTATATATATATATATATATATATATATATATATATATATATATATATATATATATATATATATATATATATATATTTTTTTTTTTTTTTTTACCCTTCAATATACCACTAACAAACTAATGTTAATCCAAATTACCACATCATGAAATGTTGCCATCTCCTCTCCTTGCTCCACCTTGCCATCATACAGGGGCCGCATGTCCACCAAGCTGTCGAGCAGGTCAGGAATAGGAACAGATCCATCCTCAGGATGTGATACTAGTGCTTCTGATCCGACTTCTTCCAACTCAATTTTTACTTCCTGAATAACATTGTCAATTGGTGTCAGAGATTGGGGAAGATTGACTTCTTGAGGCTGCTCACGAGTTGATAAATCTGTAGGGATGTCGTGCTGTGAAGGTGCAAGGTATATAGAATTTTGGTTATTGTGATTCTGTGTCACACTCAGTTGGGAATGCTGTGAGATGTGAGACAGTAGTGGAGTGTGAGCTGGTTGCGGCAGTGAAACATCTTGAACAGATGTAGCCTGGTGCTGTTGCAAAGGCTTTGGGGATTGCCTATTTAGATGGTCAGGAAGAGAAGCATGGTTGTGTGTGTCACCAGCTGGGGTTAAACTGATCTCTGTGGGCGATTGAAGTGCTGCTGATGGAGGTTGAGGGTGTGACATAGGAGCACCTGGTTGAGGAAGGGTCTGTGATGAAGGTGGGAGAGGCTTTTGTGAAGCTGTTGGTAACCTCTTCCGAACATCTGAGCGTCTCCTTTTTTTGGCAGGTCTATCAAAATCTGAAGGACCCTTTGACAAGTGTGTTTTCACACCATCATCATCAACCATTGACAGTCCTCGAATCCTCATACACTCTGCAGCGTGCATTATATCTGGAATCTGTGTTTCCTTCACATTAACTTCCCCAATATACATAAAATCCAGTAGAGCCTCAAGCTCTTTGCAAGAAACATTATTTAGAACCACAACAGGATTTACACATGGGGTCCATTCAAATATATCATTAAAATATTCACTGCAGGTTGATAGCACAAATTTGTGCACTTGAAAAAAATGTCCTTCACATGCCAGTGTTGCATCTGTATATGCAGCCTGTAAAAGATAAATAATGGTTTTCAAATTATTGAATACAGATAAATATATAACAAATTTAATTTCAAGATATATAATAAGATACATATGATTCATTTGAGGCCAAAAAAAAAAACAAATAAATTAACTAGTTTCAAATTAAAGAGCCTTCCCAATATTCAAAATTAATGCTTAGTACTGTACAGTATATTTATACTGCATTGGCAGCCACTTGTAATATTTCAGGGTAAAGGGATTTGTGGTTCAAGTACCTTTCCCCTCAGGCTTCCGATGGCCTGGCTGAAGATTCGTGAGTGCTCCATCCACTGTAATGCCAGCAACTCACCATCCATTCTCCCTGTAATACATATTTTTATTATAAATCCTAGAAACAATAATTATAAGTAGTTTCTCTACATTTTGAAGTTATTTCTTTTCACTTCGTTCCCATATTTCTGCCTAGAAAACCTCACTTACTCAACTCCAAAATACCAGCGTTGAATGTAGTGAAACGCCTCTTTCTGATAGGGTCTTGGTGGCTCTTTGGTGCTTGTTACCTGGTAAATTATGTCCAATTCAATCTCCACCTGGCCCTTGAAGCCATATATAAATAAGCCTAACAGGAACTGGAGGTCAAAGCCTGGCTCCTGATAAAGAGGTGTAAGGAGCAGGGAATTCTAAATAACAAACAAGGTAATCTACCTTGCTGGTTGTCAGTATGTTGGACTCAAAGCATAGAAAATTGAATAGTGAAGCCCCAGATTCATGAACCACTCACTCTGGTAATAATGATGTCTGACGACCATATGTTCAATGAGCATAACTAAGCAAATATAGCATCAGCCAGAAAAATGATAGGATGGATTATGAAAACCTTCAAATCCAGGGATCCCATCACAGTAGTTGTACAATTCAAATCACTTGTGCTGTCCCATCCTGAGTACTGCTACTTATTATGTAAATACATAAGTGAGTGTATATAGTGAAAACAATTCATAATAAATTGTATATTTACTGAAAAATAAGATATTTTTGTGCAAATACTTGTGACACTAATATGTGGAAACAAAATAAATTTACTACAGTTGTATTATAATAAAACATCAAGTAAGAACATATTGAACCACACCAGTGAATAAAAAGGTTGTAAAATACACCATAGATACTGTAATACCGCAAAAATAAATTCGCGGCAACTCGGGCTCCTCCACCGCGCCTGACTCGGCCCGGGCACACCATGCTCCAACGATGATGATCTGTGATGTCATCGGCCAACTTTTTAGCTTTTTTACGTCATTAGTAAGTACAATTATTTATTTTTTTATTTTTCCCGTGCTCAGGGAACACAAATAAAGACATTAATAAGAAAAAAATGGGAATTTTTTGTTGCGCCTGTGGGTGTTGAAGCCAATAATGGCCCTTAGCGACTTAAGGGTAAAAAAAAAAAAAAAAAAAAAAAGTGGCACAAGCACTCAATGTAACATAGCTTGGATACAGGTAAGATACCAGAATTACTCAAATCAGCAAATTTAGTGCCACTTCACAAGGGAGGAAGCAAAACATTAATTTTTAATTATAGACCAGTCACACAAACATCACAAACAATTAAAAGTTTTTCAGAGTTTTTTTTACAATTACTCAACCATTGATAAATCAAGGGGCATTAGAAGAAAAATAAGATGAAGATGTATACACACACTTTACAAAGGCATTTGATATATGTGACCATGGAGTGACAGCATATAAATTAAAGTCCATAGGAATAACAGGTAAAATATAGAGATGGATATTCAATTTCCTATCAACCAGAATGCAAAGAGTAACAAACAAAATCAAGTCTGAGCATGGTGAAAAGCTCTGCATCTCAAGGCATAGTACTTACACCGCTGCTGCTTCTCATTCACATATCAGATACTGTATAGACAAAAATATGAGTCACAGCTTTATCTTTTTTTTTTTTTTTAACTAAGAATAGGGCTCATTACGGTTGTCAATTGAAGTACAGTACCATGTGAAATGCAAGCAAGAGCTGTTATCTCACTTCAGCTCATCCAAAGCCTGGCCCTAGAGACTCGGGTATTTCAAGAGAATGTACTGACACTATCACACAGTGAACTATCATAAAGGAACATAGTACAGTGGCACCTCGACTTACGATTGCCCAAACTTACGATAATTTCGAGTTACAATGTAAATTTGATCGAAAAATGGGACTCGACTTATGATAGTGTCGTCGACTAATGATATTTGTTGGTACACGTTTGGGTCGATCGAGCGCGTGGTTCCCGGTCGCGCGGGCCAACCTGCCTAAGTTTACTAGAGCTGCCCGTTTAGTGACGATCGCGCCTATAAGAAATTCCTTTTTTGTGGTGATTTTTTTGCGTTTTGAACATAAAACTGATTATTATATATCACGCCATGGGTCCTAAGAAAGTCAGTGGTAAGGTTCAACCTAAGAACATAGTTGTGAGTTGAGGCAGTAGAGGATGTCCCTTCCTAATTAAGAAAATGTGTGAAGTATGGGAAGAACTGCAAAGTTTTGTTGAAAAAACTCCCCCAGATAAAGCTGTAGCAGGCTGTTGCATTGACCTTTTAAATGACAATGTGATGTCTTACTACAGACAAGTATTAAAATGTAGGGAAAAACAAGTGTTTTTAGACAAATTCTAAGTAAGACAAGCAAGCAGTGAGCCACAAGCAGGTCCTAGTGGTATGCTGGCAAAACATGCCAGAGAGTGTATCCCAGAAATGTCATCACTGCCCGATGTTATAATGGAAGGGGATTCCCCTTCCAAACAGTAACACCTCTCCTCCTCTTTCCCTCATCACCATCTTCCATATGCCATCAAGAGTCCTTCATGAAGATAAGATAAACATATGTACTGTATTGTAGTTAGAGAACAAAGTTGTATTCAGTATAAAATGTATTTGTAAGTTAATATTTTGGAGGGTGGGGAACGGATAAATTCAATTCCCTTTATTTCTTATGGGAAAAAATCACTTCAACTTACGATATTTCGACTTGCAATCCGTCTCTGGGAATGGATTACCACGTAAGTCGAGGCCCCACTGTACTTGATTTATTGTAAGTTGTATTACAATACAGTGGTCCCTCCATTTACGAATTTAATCCGTTCCCAGAGACGGGTCGTAACTCGAAACGAATTTTCCTTTAAGAAATAATGTAAGTTGAATTAAGCCACTCCACACCCCCAAAAATAATAACTTCAAAATACATTTCATACAGAATACACACATTTTGTACTGTAGTATGTACAAGTTATAGCTTACCTTTATTGATGACTTGTTGGCGTATGGAAGACGGTGAGGAAGGGGGGTAGGGTGGGAGGTGTTACCGTTTGGAAAGGGAGTCCCCTTGCATTATAACATCAGGCAGTGATGACTTCTCTAGGGTACTCTCTCTCTCTCTCTCTCTCTCTCTCTCTCTCTCTCTCTCCTACGTTTTGCCTGCATACCACTAGGACCTGGTTGTGGCTCAATGCTTGTTTTTCTCACTAAGAACCTTTCAATAGACTTTTTTTTTTCCCTACATTTTAACATTTGTCTGTAGTGAGGCATCACAGTGTCATTGAAAAGGTTAAGGCAACGGCCTACTGCAGCTTAACTTGAGCGAGTCGTTTCAACAAAACTTTGTACTTCTTCCTATACTGCACACCACTTCTTAATTGTTGAGGAACCCATTGCATGGTATATGATAATTACTTTTATGTTTAGAAAGCAAAAAAAGCTAGAAAAACAATGAAATTCTGTACAAAGAATTCAAGCGCAATCCTCATTAAGGAAGGGGTGTCTGGTAAACTGAAGTGGGGTTGCCCGTGCCACCAGGAACCATGCGCTCTGTCGACCAATACGTGTATCAACAAAGTCGCAAGTCACGGCAAAGGTCACAAGTCGAGTCGAATTTTTTTATGAAATTGGGGTCGTAACTTGAGGTTCCACTGTATGTACAAAAAATATTGACTAAACAACAGGATAAGATATAGCATACTTTTCAGGAATGCCAAATAATTTATAGAGTATTCACTACATGAAGCAACTTCAATAAGAAAGTAAATGAAAAATCTTAAGAGATTTACGTTTGTTAGACATTGCCGTTTTCTGGCTCATTAAATCAACACAGTGAGTGCAATGCCATTGAGCCAGCTGGTCCACTTCTTCATCATTGATACTCATACACCGGGTATGAAACCACTCCTCACAACAGTCACACTGGATCATCATCTTTGATTTATCATTAGGCTGGCGACATACACAGTAGAGTCTCTGCTCTCTCATTTCATCCATCTTTTTCTTTTTGGAAGCCATCATATCTGCCAACAAAAATGGTTTTATAACGCAAGAAAATGCATAACAGCAGTGAATATAATAGGTATATATAAAATTACATAAAGTACAGTATTCACAACACCTAAATCACTTTCTAAAACGTATGAAGTTTGAGAAAATTCAAGAATCTATAATTCTAAATTTACTGTATATTAACAAAATAACAAAGCAAGAAAATCACCTTGATGCCTTCACAAGTTACCATGGAGGTCAACAATACAGATGCCGATTTACTGACTTAACAGCTATGCTAATTTAACTAATATAGTTAATCAGTTTTACCTTTCTTTATCAAAAAATTTTGTGCCCTATAATACTGGAAACTATAAAAATATTTGAAATTTAATATAAGGTAGGCACATTTTTATGATAAGTTCAGTAACATAAATACTGCAGCGTATGTGAATTCCCATGTATCATATATTTAAGCGAATCTTTCATTTAATGCAATTTTTCTCTCTGGTTTCTCTTCTCTCACGAGGAATCATCTTATCGATCACATGAGTGATAACTTGTGATAAATTAATGGAGTGATAATAAAATTAATTTTTAATATTATTAGCTCTTATTATGAAATTAGTCCCTATCCAGGTGCATGCAGCCTAACTACAAGCACCAGATCTGGCAACATATGGCAGCATATGGGTTATCAAGTCCACATAAATAGATGATTTTTTCATTTATTTAATACCTATAACATAAATCAAAATGATAGTCACAGACACCAAGAATAGCTTCACAATTTCTTGCCCTATTATTTTGTTGTTTAATATATTTTAAATTAAAAATGAAGGGCTTAGAGCTCAACTCTCATTTCATTTCACATCTGTCAGTAAAAGTCCAAAGGTGTTGCACGTACTATACACAGTATCAAAACCATTATATTCCCTGTTATTATGCATTTTCTTACATTATCATGATATTTTTGTTGGCATTTATGAAAGCTTTCAAAAACAAAAATGGATGAAATAAAAGACTGCAGTTAAAATATCTGGGAATAATTCATAAAAACTATTTAGGCATATACAGTACATTACAGATATTTTATAACAAACTGTATATAAATGTTATTATAATATCCAATCTACTATATTTACATCTCACCCTCTTTTGCTTAATTTTTAGAAGAAAAAATCCAGATCCAAGATTGTATCTTGATGCATATTTGATATGACCACTGCAAAGCAATCATATTTCATAGGTTCCCAAGCAACTATAAAATGGCAGAGATGACAAATGTCAGACAAAATGTAGCCAAGAGTTTAAAATCAATAAATATACGAGTTTTCTTCTTTTATTTCAAGAAAGTTGGCTATGAATCAATTATGCCATGCAGTACACACAAATCTGTAAAAATTCTGTGCCTAACACATTCATATGTTTGACACTAAAGCCTTGGAGATGTTAAAGGCTTAGATACACAAATAATTATCAAAAGGCACAAAGTCCAAAGACTACAGTACTTAGTCTTTTATCTGTATAATAAAATAATCAAAAGGTCCTAAACATCATAAATACTCAAAGTAAAAACCAAGGAAACCTAAAACTAAATACAAACAAACTTGTGAGGCAAAACAAAGCAAGCAACGCATGTTGATCATTCTTATTGGGCTGCCACTTTTTTTCTAGGACTGGGATTTGGATCTCAGTTCAGGTTCTGGAACCAGTTAGGTCTTTCAGAGCTCTATTTTCACTAGAACACAGTTCGGCAATCATATTAAATTCAGGACCTCAATTAAAGCTGGGTGCACATGGGTGCCATTGTTATAATTACAAAAATTGCAACAATATTTGAAGGAAGAAACAAGAGGATGATGCAGCTGCAATAAATAATGCAGAGTCCCACTTGAAAAAGTAATTAGTATTGGACAGATCACTGGTGCATCTAATATCTTATTGCAGCTAACCTTTGTTATTTTTTCTGACATGTTATAATAGTGTATTCTGTAGTTGTGAAGCAAGAATGTTGTGTTTGGTGGTGTACTTACCGAATTGTACTCACCTAATTGTGCTTGCGGGGGTTGAGCTTTGTCTCTTTGATCCCACCTCTCAACTGTCAATCACTGGTGTACAGATTCCTGAGCCTACTGGGCTCTATCATATCTACATTTGAAACTGTGTATGGAGTCAGCCTCTACCACATCACTGCCTAGTGCATTCCATTTACAGGGTATTAACTGCTCTGACACTGAAAAAATTCTTTCTAACGTCTCTGTGGCTCATCTGGGTACTAAGTTTCCACCTGTGTCCCCTTGTTCGTGTCCCACCTGTGCACAGTTTAAGGGTTAATGAGCTAAAACATTTCCATACTTCACTGTTTATCTGTCAATAAAGAACTGATCAGCACACATTCCCATCAAAATGTGTGGTTTATTCCTTATAACACTCGAAAGCACCAGGAGCATGCTCTATTTCCTGTGGAGGATGTCCACAAATTTGTTGGTACAGAATGCAGACCCAAAAATCATAAAAAAAGTCAACAAATATTATATTGTACAGTAGAATTCAAGTGATTTGAATATCAAAATATGCATATGTGCAGTCTATCATTTTATGATAAGAAAACAAGTATTTGGAATAAACTAAAAGCACAAAAAATTAAGTTTAAATGCAATACAAGTACTCAAGCAACAGGCAGGGCTTGGAACAAGTCATTCCTTTTGAGAAGGAAGAGGCCCTAGTTATCCATTTTAGTATATTCTGGACCACATGATATACAGTATCCAGACATTTTGTTTTTGCTATATTTACACAAAAATGTTTTTATTAGTGCAAACTATAGAACTTGAACAGCATTTGCGTATTTTCTGACACCAAAATCGCATGGGGAAAAAGTTATAAGCACTGCAAATCCAGATTCCCTCCTTTATACAGATACTGTACCTAATTTGTATACTGTACTCCAAAGAAAAATTAGAGCAGTCAGATCATAATCTCTCCATTGTATTCAGACTTCCATTTCTGTAGCCCAAGTTACATTTGAACAAAACTTCAGTGTACTGTATATACATATATAGCCATTTACTGTACCTGCAACACCCAATTGCAGTAATTTTATCTGACATGTGAAAAGTGCAAACAAGAGTCAAGCTAAAAAAAAAAAAACTATCAAATGCTTATAGCACTGTTAAAACAAAATAATACAATAAATATATTGTATTAAATAATGTGTTTCTTTCGCAGACCAATTATCATCTCGATTTGCATGTTATAATTGGCTAATTATTTTAAATATATTTAGCAGGAAAATAAAGTGCTTATTGCTAGCTTATCAATTCTTGAAATATTCAAAATACTTGCAAAATTTCTTTGTTAGCATCCTAGTCTATTCCAAGAATTTGTGCACCGTGCAAATATACATCGTATGAAAAAGTCAATGTCACATCAATACCAAATTTTAATAGTAATATTAATCTTAATATAATTTTATTTAGAAATTCCAATAAATGAATAATTACTAACGTGCACAATAGTCATCAATAAATAGCTAAAAACACAGTACATAACCAAAATTATGTTAATAGAGAATATGAAAAAAGAAATTATAAAACATTGGTCTTCAGTTTCATGAAGATCAATGACCTCCACAACACAGGCCAACATGGATTTAGAGCGGGAAGATCATGCCCCTTGCAGCTACTGTACTTGACCACTACAACAAAATCACAGAGGCATTAGAAGAAAGACAATGCAGATGTGGTATACACAGACTTTGCAAAAGGTATTCAATAAATGTGACCATGGAGTGATAGCACACAAAATGAGGTCAAAGGGAATAACAGGTAAAGTAGGACTGTGGATATTAAATTTTCTGATGAACAACAACAAAGAACAACACCCAACCAAATAAAATAGAGTCCAAGCACAGTTAGAAAGCTCTGTACCTCAGGGTACAGTCCTTACACCATTGCTCTTCCTTATTTTCCTTATTTTTCCAGACTATACAAAAATCAGCATGAAAATTGCCTCTGCTGAAGACATTGAAAAACTACAGGCAGATATTAATAATTCTCAACTGGGCAACAGAATAAAACACGATGTTTAACAGCGAGAAATTCCAGGTACTTAGGAACGGTAAAATTGAGGACCTTAAACAAAATACAGGGAACAAAACAATCAAATCTGCCCATAGGAGGAAAGCAGCATGTAAAGGATCTGAGAATAATGATGTCTGACGATCTAAAGTTTGGGAGCATAACCAAGCAAATGTTGCATCAGCCAGAAAAATGATAGGATGAATTACAAGAACTTTCAAATCCAGGGACCCCATCACAATGGTTGTACTATACAAATCACTTGTACCGTCCCGTCTTGAGTACTGCTCAGTACTCACGTCCCCCGTCAGAGCAGGAGAGATTGCTGAAATAAAGGGAATACAGAGAACATATACGGCATATATAGACATGATAAAGCACCTAAATTATTGGGATCGTCTCAAAGCTCTCCAAATGTACTCACTAGAAAGTAGACGAGAAAGATATCAAATAATATACACATGGAAAATACTGGAGGGCCAGGTCCCAAATCTACACAGTAAAATAACAACATATTGAAGTGAACGATATGGAAGAAAATGCAGAATAGAGCCAGTGAAGAGTAGGGGTGCCATAGGCACAATCAGAACACTGTATAAACATCAGAGGTCCACGGTTGTTTAACATCCTCCCAGCGAGCATAAGAAATATTGCCGGAACAAACGTGGACATCTTCAAGAGAAAACTAGATAGTTTTCTTCAAGAAGTGAACCAAGTGGTGGTGGATATGTGGGCCGGCGGGCCGCTCCAAGCAACAGCCTGTGGACCAAGCTCTCAACTCAAGCCTGGCAGGGAATAGAACAACTCCCAGAACCCCATCCAGCAGGTTCCCAGCACCTGCATTATAATGCAATCAACAGATACATTCTACAACTGCCATGAAGGCATATGTTTCTAAAAATAACACTGAACCTAACTCATCCATTTAGGATTGTCCTGGAATTATAACATTCTAGTTATGCCCGTCAGTCTTTGCATCTCTTTAAACATACCTAATCTAATTAAACAAAAAATTTAGTTGTATATATATATAGTGTGCAGGTGTGTGGCTTCACCGCTTTTAATCCAAGGGCAGATTTGGAATGCTTCCGGCTGGAAGGTGGAACGTGGGGCGACATGTCCTGGTACCAAACACCCATGTATGTGAAACACCCCACTTCCTTATTAGCGTGTAACAAATTGCCCATCTTCTCAAGATGTCCTAACGCACTTCTCAACAAGCAAGGGCGCTGCACTGTACCCATACTGACAACCTGGCAATTAGCAGCGTCAACACATTACCTCCAACCCGACGCCAGACTTGTTGCCGCACTCGCTTCTTCCAAGTGGGAATAACTTTCTATTACCTCCAACACACAGTTCGCACTCCCAGTTTTCTCCTCGGGGTAGTGATCAAGTTTTACACCACACTACACCTGCGAAATACGCTCACTGGGCAAAAGGAATGACAACTTGAAACTATACATCACGGTCTTTAAGCAACGATGTTGTACGCCTTCATTTGTTTGTAAACAATGTGGCGTCATCTGTTGCCTAACCCGAAAACTACTTTTGCGCTCCAAATTTAAATCACCTAAATAATAATAAATAATGATGATGATAATAATAATAAATAATAATAAATAATAATAATAATAATAATAATAATAATAATAATAATAATAATAATAATAATAATAATAATAATAATAATAATAATAATAATAATAATAATAATAATAATAATAATAATGAATGCGTATTCGGGTAAAACTACATACCTACAAGATGAGTTACAAACAGAATGTTGGATTTCTTCTTTTTCTTGATAGTAGGTGCAGTTTGCACATGGATTTCTAGATAAAGCTAGATTGTAGCACTCCTCAGCACATTATGCATATATAGGCATAGTTTAGGTTAGGTGTTTAGGTTCAGTTGGCGATTATTTGTATTTGTTGTACGTGGGTGAAGCATTTATGGCGTTGTGGTTCGAACAAAATTCGTCAGTGAAACAAATACAAATAGTCACTAACAGTACCTAAACACCTTACCTAACCTAACCTATATATGCACAATATGCTAATATATTATAATATTAATTTATATTTGAGAAAATTCCTGTTTTGAATGAACAGCATGTAAAAATTTATGAATGCGTCTGTGGGGTTGACCGCTGAGTGTAATGGACTTGAGTCGAGGACGGGTTGTTCACGTATGTAATGCCGGAAATGCTGTGCGTATTAGTGGCTTTAGGCATAGTATATCAGCCCGTCCTCTAAACAAAGACTCAAAGTCGCAACCAGTCCTCTTACAAATTACGTCTGAATTTGGTCGTTTACCTGTTTGGCCGAAAATGGACGTGGTGTAATTTGAAAATTAAAAAAATTGAAAATAATTTTTTAATTTTTTTTTGTCCCAAAAGAGCAAGTTAAGAATGGCAAGTTCGAATGGTAGGTTAGGAGGGCAGGAAGTTCTCCTAAAGTTTCAAAACGTTAATTGAAAGTTTCAATTCGCCTACGAGCGAAACGCGCAGGAAGTTCTCCTAAAGTTTCAAAACGTTAATTGAAAGTTTCAATTCGCCTCGGAGCTCTTAAACTGCATAATAAATGCAAACTAAGCTGCTAAGATTGAGGAAAGATTTACAAGTTTCGTAAGTGGTCAGTAGTGATCAGGTTTCGTAAGTGGTCGTAAGTGCCTGATGGATCTTGGCCCAGTATTCTTTGGTACCATACGAAATATAACCACCATAAGGTTACCCTGAGCGTTTCCACCAAGCTATGCTTACTGAAGAGGTGGAATAAGAGGAGCTCAGCCAGACTTGAGCATCAAGTAACATGTGATAACATCTTCCTCGGGCGAAGTGTTTCTGCCTTTCTCAAGGCCCCTCTTACTTCCTGTATGTGACTGGTCTCACATGTCTGTCGTCATTATAGAGAGATTGATTGTTTGATACATAATTTTTCAGGCACCGTAAAACGAGGTAATTGGCGTCTCATTAGAGAGGGTGTTTGCTATCTTGAGCTTTGTCATACCGCAGAAGCTGTTCCTGCTTTATCTCAGTCGAAGGAGGAGGAGGAGGGTTGTACTGCGCACTCCACCTACATATTAATTCTTAAGCCTTACCCTTGGGGTCGTTGTGTGCTGCGGCTTACACTCTCCATCCCTTTACTTATCTGTATTTTTATTTTTTGGGGGTTCACACGTCTCGCAGAATCTGCTCTTCCAATGGATTTTTTTTAAGTAAATCTATTTCTTTTCATTTACTCAATCTTTTCTTCTTCTACTCCTTAATACACATTATTAAATTAAAGAGTTCTTTATATCACTTCAACAAAATCTTGTAGATCTGAGGCAAAGTGAAATCGACACCAGTAACTCCATCTATCATCATACTATCATGCAAGAGAAGCCACACGTCTATGGTTCATCCTATAAAATCAGCAGACTTCTAGATGTTACTACTGCTCGGCTTGAACTCGGTTACAAGTATCTCTGGGAATTCTCATTATCTACCGATGTAGACCAAATGTAAACTGTGTCAACAAAATTATTCGCACACCCTCCGTCACTATGTGATGGAGTGCGAAAAGATACGTGAATTCAAAGACAATTCTATAACAAATGTTCAAGAGATGTGTAAATATATCATTCAAAATGATCTGCCACCAGAAATCTTAGCGAAATATCCCCAGTTTGCTAACTGTAGGTAGTAACAAAGTGATTGTAACCCGCTTGATGGGGTTCTGGAAGTTCTTCTACTCCCCAAGCCCGGCTTGTGAGAGCTGTCCAACCTATCCACCGCTGCCCACTGGATGGGGGCCGGTGTGCAGGACAAACATATCAATTGTGACACTAACTCTCCACATATGTCAGTTGCTTAATTTAGAAACAGTATTTGTGGTCGGTCTCGGGCCCATTGTTGATGTGACGATGTGCATTAAATTTTGTAACTAGCTCATCAAAAATTGTAACTTGCTTAGCTAAATAAGAACATAAGAACATAAGAACAAAGGTAACTGCAGAAGGCCTATTGGCCCATACGAGGCAGCTCCTATTCTATAACCACCCAATCCCACTCATATACTTGTCCAACCCGTGCTTGAAACAATCGAGGGACCCCACCTCCACAATGTTACGCGGCAATTGGTTCCACAAATCAACAACCCTGTTACTGAACCAGTATTTACCCAAGTCTTTCCTAAATCTAAACTTATCCAATTTATATCCATTGTTTCGTGTTCTGTCCTGTGTTGATACTTTTAATACCCTATTAATATCCCCCCGGTTATGTCCATTCATCCACTTGTAAACCTCTATCATGTCACCCCTAACTCTTCGCCTTTCCAGTGAATGCAACTTAAGCTTTGTTAATCTTTCTTCATATGAAAGATTTCTAATTTGGGGAATTAACTTAGTCATCCTACGCTGGACACGTTCAAGTGAATTTATATCCATTCTATAATATGGCGACCAAAACTGAACTGCATAATCTAAATGGGGCCTAACTAGAGCAAGATATAGCTTGAGAACCACACCAGGTGTCTTGTTACTAACGCTGCGATTAATAAATCCAAGTGTCCGATTTGCCTTATTACGAACATTTATGCATTGATCCTTTTGTTTTAAATTCTTACTAATCATAACTCCCAGATCCCTTTCGCAATCCGACTTCGCAATCACAACACCATCTAGCTCGTATCTTGTAACTCTATCATCATTACCTAACCTCAGAACTTTACATTTATCAGCATTAAACTGCATCTGCCAATCCTTTGACCATTTCAAAACCCTATCTAGATCAACTTGAAGTGATAGTGAGTCCTCCTCCGAATTAATTTCCCTACCGATTTTCGTATCATCGGCAAATTTGCAAATGTTGCTACTCAAACCTGAATCTAAATCATTTATATATATTATAAACAACAGAGGTCCCAGGACAGAGCCTTGAGGCACTCCACTTACAACATTTTCCCACTCTGACTTGATTCCATTTATACTAACTCTCTGTTTCCTTTGGTATAGCCATGCCCTAATCCAGCTTAATATAGCACCCCCAATACCATGAGACTCTATTTTTTTAATCAGTCTTTCATGTGGCACTGTATCAAAAGCTTTGCTAAAGTCAAGGTATACAACATCGCAATCCTTACCACTATCAACTGCCTCAACAATGCTAGAATAAAAAGATAACAAATTTGTTAAACATGAACGGCCATTTATAAAACCATGTTGCGACTCAATTATTAATTTATGTTTTTCAAGATGAAGACGAATTTTATTTGCTATTATAGATTCGAGTAACTTTCCCACAATAGACGTTAGGCTAATTGGTCGATAGTTAGACGCAAGTGATCTATCTCCTTTCTTAAAAACTGGTATCACATTAGCAACTTTCCAAAACTCTGGCACTCTGCCTGACTCTATTGATTTATTAAATATGGTTGACAGTGGGTCACAAAGCTCCTCTTTGCATTCTTTAAGCACCCTAGCAAACACTTCATCCGGCCCTGGGGATTTGTTTGGTTTGAGTTTTACTATTTGTTTAAGAACATCCTCCCTGGTAACTGCTAAACTCGTCAACCTGTCCTCGTCCCCACCCACATAGACTTGTTCGGCTGAAGGCATATTGTTAAGTTCCTCTTTAGTAAATACAGATACAAAATATTTATTAAAAATACTACTCATCTCTTCATCACTATCTGTTATTTGACCTGTCTCAGTTTTTAATGGACCTATCCTTTCCCTAGTCTTAGTACGATATAACTGAAAAAACCCTTTAGGATTTGTCTTTGCTTGCCCTGCTATGCGAACTTCATAGTTTCTTTTTGCTTTCCTTATCTCTTTTTTAACATTTCTAACCAGTTGTACGAATTCCTGTTCTAAAGTGACCTCCCCATTTTTAATCCTTTTGTACCAAGCTCTCTTTTTACCTATAAGGTTCTTCAAATTTTTTGTTATCCACTTTGGGTCATTAGTATACGATCTATTCAATTTGTATGGTATACTACGTTCCTGTGCTTTGTTTAGAATATTCTTAAATAAGTTATATATTGAATCCACATCGAAATCCCCATTTAAGTCACCTATCGCTGGGTTCATGTCTCGCTCCAAGACCGGCCCACACCCCATACCCAAGCCTTTCCAATCAATTTGACCCAAAAAATTTCTTAGGCTATTAAAATCAGCTTTTCGAAAATCTGGCACTTTAACAGAATTTTCTCCTACTGGTCTATTCCATTCTATGCTAAATCTGATTTCTTTGTGATCACTGCTCCCTAGCTCACTCCCTATTTCGATGTCATTAATTTGCGTTTCCCTGTTAGTTAACACTAAATCTAAAATATTATTTTCCCGTGTTGGTTCCTTAATGTGTTGCGTAAGAAAGCAATCGTCAATTAATTCTAGAAAATCTTCTGCTTCACTATTCCCTGTTTTGTTCAACCAGTTTATTCCGCTAAAATTAAAGTCACCCATGACATAAATACTGTTAGATCTAGATGCTCTAGATATTTCATCCCATAGATGCTTTGCTTCCATTCTGTCTAAATTTGGTGGCCTATATATTACTCCTATTATAATATTATTAGCTTTTTCGTTTAATTCAATCCAAATAGTTTCTGTGTGTGGCTCTGTTTTGATTCCCTCTTTGAGACTACATTTCAAATTGTCCCTAACATATATGGCTACTCCACCTCCTCGTCTAATATATCTATCTGTGTGAAATAGTTTAAATCCATATATTTGATATTCAGCTAATAGTTCTCTATTTTCTACATTCATCCACGTTTCGGTAAGTGCAATAATATCTATTTTTTCTGTGCAGACAAGAGCATTTAATTCGTTAATTTTATTTCTTAGACTTCTACTGTTAGTGTAATATACCCTAAGTGAATTGTTATTTTGCGGACCTTCTCTTTCCCTGATCGTTTTGCCAATTCCTTTCTCCCACAAACACATACTTTTATTACCTCCTTCCTCCAAATCAATTCCCATACCTCTATCTACTAACAGTTTAAACCCAAACAAACACCTCTAACCACTTCTTCTAGCGAGTTCGCAACAGCAACAACCCCAGCTCTCGATAGATGCACCCCATCACGAGCATACATTTCATTTCTTCCATAGAAGTGTTCCCAGTTGTCTATGAAAGATATTGCATTTGATTTGCAAATGAATTGTTGGGTTCAGTCCCTGAGCCCATTATGTTCCTCTGTAACCCTTTCCAATACCGCCCACAAGATGGGTATGGGGTGCATAATAAATGAACTAAACTAACTTTCCTAAGGAGGTCTTCCACGCATTTGATAACACGCACATTTAACAAACTTCATTATGATGTCATTGCATACTTTGTTTTTCTTATGTTAGGAATCTCCTCTTCCACGCAGGCAACGATGGATTCAGACATTTATCGCTAGCGTCAGAGAGCTGATCTTGGTTGACCTCAATAAACTCATCTTGTTTATAAAAGCCTTGGCATCCCACTTTGCCTTCCAATTATGTTTTTGTTTTCCGTACGTATATAATATATCGTAATGTCCCCCAGAAAGATCAAGCGAGAGTTATTATTCAATAAATTCAGTTTTAATAATACGAGGACTTACTGGGAAAAATAAACATAGAACTTGCAAACATTCGACGAGAAACCGACTTACGAAACAAAACACCTATGCAAGGAATAGAACAATTGACTACCGAAACATACAAAGTCTGCTTGAAACATGTTTCTTTGTGGAAGTGGAGAAAGAGGACCAGAGGTTAGAAAGAACCCAAATAACACTACAGAAGGAAAAATAATGAAAATGCTTAAGCAGGTACGACTATTCCAACAAAGAAAAAATGATTTAAATAGAGAGATTAAATAAACAGAAAAGAAGCTGAAGCAATCATACTAGGTTGAAAAATATGAAGTTGAAATAAAACCATACAAGAGACAAAGGAAAAAAATCACATATGTGAAATCAAAATCAGACCCCTCGCCCAGTACTGGACCCATACATACAATTGAAGGTTCATACACAGAGGACAAGGAAATTGGTGAAATCCTAAAATATCAGTATGAAGTATGTTTAGCACCTCAATAAACAACATGAAAGTGGAAGATCTGGAAATGATACGATGATACTTTATGAATGATACGCAAACCCCTGACAATATAACTGATATCAGTACGAACATGGCAGATTTTGAAAGAGAAATTGGCAATATGCACTCAGCCCTGGGTCCAGACTCATGGAATTCTGTATGTATAAAGAAATGTAGAGGGACAATGGCACGAATGCTCAGTGTAGAGAGGAGAAAAAGCTCGGATACAGGGGAGACACCAGAAGGGCTTAAATCAGCAGATACAACTTCTCAGAGGGAGCAAGGCATTGACTAAATTATAGACTAGTCGCAATAACATTACACATAATAAAAGTTTTTGAAAGATTAGTTAGGAGTCGGGTCTGCAGTTTTATGGAGACCATTGACCTTCACAACACAGGTCAACATGGATTTAGAGCGGGAAGATTATGTTTTTCAGTTACTTGAACACTATGACAAAATCACGGAAACGTTAGAACAACAACAAAAATGCAGTTGTGGTCTACACTGATTTTGGAAAAGGCATTAAATAAATGTGACCATAGAATGATAACATATAAAATGAGATCATTAAGAATAACAGGCAAATTAGGGCGATATATATTAAATTTCCTGTCAAACAGAATGCAAAGAGTAACAATTCATCAAGCAAAATCAAGTCCAAGCAGAGTGAAAAGCCATGTACCTCAGGGCACAGTCCTTGCACCACTGCTTTTTCTTGTTCATATATTAGATACAGACAAAAATACAAACCAAAGCTTCGTGTCATCTTTTGCAGACGACACTAAAATCCGCACGAAAATTACTTGTGTAAAAGACATTGAAAAACTTCAGGCTGACATTAATAAAGTTTTCGATTGGGCAGCAGAAAATAACAATGTTCAACATGTGATAAATTCGAGGAACTTAGATGTAGAAAAAATGAATCCCTTAAACATAATACAGGGTACAAAACATAATCAAATGTGCCCATAATAGGAAAGCAACATGTAAAGTATCTGGGGAATAATGATGTCTGACGACCTAACATTTAGGGAGCATAACCAAACAAATATAGAGTCAGCCAGAAAAATGATAGGATGGATAACGATTTTTTGATTGTTACCGACGGAGGCGGCTAGTTTATTGTGCACCCCATACTCATCCTGTGAGCGGTAGCGCAAAAAGCATTACAGAGGGATCACAATAACGTGGCTGAAATATGTTGACCAAACCACACACTAGAAAGTGAAGGGACGACGACGTTTCGGTCTGTCCTGGATCATTCTCAAGTCGATCAATCGACTTGAGAATGGTCCAGGAGGGACTGAAACGTCGTCGTCCCTTCACTTTCTAGTGTGTATGGTTTGGTCAACATTACAGAGGGCACAAAAGGTCTTTATCAGACCTCAACTTAGATTATTACATAAACAATTTCATCTATCCTTCACACCTTATAATTACAATGTCAGCTAGTTACAGCGAATGTTCTATCTCAAGAGCTATATATTTACAGTAAGTCATTATATATGTATGACAAGTCTTATCGCTAATGCATAATTGTTTAGATTACGAGAACCTTCAAATCCAGGGATCCCATCACGATGCTCATTCTATTCAGATTATTTGTGTTGTCCCGCATTGAGTACTGCTCCATACTTCTGCCTTCAGAACAAGAGAGATTGCTGAAATATTGGAAATATAGAGAACATATTCAGCACGCACATACACGATAAAACAACTAAATTATTGGGACCGTCTCTCAAAGCTTTTAAAATGTTTTCTCTGTAGAGGAGACAAGAGAGGTATCACAAATGCACAAGGGTCGTGACGAGGTCTCTTATCTCCCCTAATTCCATATATGACTACCCATCCTGTGCGATGGGAATAATAGTTGAACCTATAGCTAGTTCTTGGTCTACACTGTGTAATATCTCATGTTGGGTAGCAGCACATTGCTGTGTATACCTAACGTTGCTAATTAAAAAAGACCTTGCGAGCGTGTATACACGCTTGCGAGACCTACAAGCGTGTATACACGCTTGCGAGACCTACAAGCGTGTATACACACCCCCGCGAGACCTGCAAGCGTGTATACACACCCCCGCGAGACCTGCAAGCGTGTATACACACCCCCGCGAGACCTGCAAGCGTGTATACACACCCCAGCGAGACCTGCAAGCGTGTATACACACCCCCGCGAGACCTGCAAGCGTGTATACACCCCCGCGAGACCTGCAAGCGTGTATACACACCCCCGCGAGACCTGCAAGCGTGTATACACCCCCGCGAGACCTGCAAGCGTGTATACACACCCCCGTGAGACCTACAAGCGTGCATACACCCCCGCGCACAAACACAGGCATCCCCCCTCCACACACACTTTTATCCGCGCATAAAAACCCTTGAGGCGTGGAGGCAGCCTACCCCCGCGCCATATATGCTGGCCGCTACATAACACCTCAAGGAGAGAGGGTGGAGCAGGAACCGCCGCCACAACACCCTCCCGACATGGGCTTCCTACCATGAATAAATCTTGTAATGTTTTGAAATGATGATGACTGTGGTGGCGGATTTTTGGCTACTGTTGGTGGCCGGTTACCGGCGGTGCGTTAAACTCCCATTAAACCGTTGTGTGCATCACTAGAACAGAAATGGAAGTCTTAATCTTACTTTCCCTTTCGTAGTGCTGGATGGAGACTTCGCTTAGTACTCGACACCCGTAAATGAAAGTGAGATTCGACGTTATATTATTGTGTATAAAACGTAAAGAAGTCAATTTACAACAGTTAAGTCCTCTGAGAGACTCGTTTTTTTAAAAGTTAGAGTATCTGAAAATCTATATTAATAAGTTACTAACAATCACATGCACAAACAACCACATACACTAGTTCTTTCGTGCGTCAATAGATGGCAGAGGCGGCGTGAGACCTGTTGGGGCGTCGTCTGCTGGGGTCTCCTGGCGAAGCTTCAGTAGCACCCAGGCGACCGTGCTGAGGGTTGTTCACTAGCATAGTGGTTGTGTCGCGCACCTCACACTGCCACTGATGAACGGTGTACACATCCACCGCGGGATTTAAGACTTCCAAGTAAGACTCGAGTGTCGCTATCTAGAGTAATACTGTGAGGTCCGTGGTGTGGGAGGGAGTGGTGGGCCGTCAGTGTGGAGGTAAGGTGAGCCAAGGTACACTTGGACACCCGTGGGACGGCCCGAGGGTCAAGGCGCCAGCAACATTAGTTCACTCATTTGCTTCCCATTGATAAATTTGCATATACAATAATGCATTTTGACTTCAAGCTCGATGCATTTCGTCATGTTGCTTGTGTATAGTATTGCTGTAACGGTCTAGTGACTTGTATTAACCACGGAAGTAAGAGGGATTATTTAATATTCGATGCTCCCAGCCACTTGGGGTGGACGGTAGAGCGACGGTCTCGTTTCATGCAGGTCGGCGTTCAATCCCCGACTGTTCAAGTAGTTGGGCACCATTTCCCACCCCCCCTCGTCCCATCCCAAACCCTTATCCTGACCTATTCCAAGTACTATATATAGTCGTAATGGCTTGGCACTTTCTCTTGATAGTTCACCCCCTTTACCTTCACTTGACGCTTCTCTTTGTGGATGAAAATTATTTGGGTTGCAAAATTCTTGCAAACTCATTTTCTTGTGCTATTGAAACTTGACTCATTTTCGTAAAGTCCTTGTAATTGATAATTTAATGGGACCTACTACGGCGGTCCAGCGAGCCTCGGGCCTTGGTTGAAGAGGGTGTGTACGTGTGTGTGGGCTGTAGTGCTTAGTTAAGTGTAATTACAGGACAGGAGGTAGGCTCGCGGTGTCCCGCTCTTCCCAGTACTGTCGTGTGACACTATGGATGGTTTCAGCATCCACCACTTTTTATGTACAATAGTTCTTGCATTCTTGTACAGCCACTAGCACGCGTAGCGTTTCGGGCAAGTCCTTAATCCTATGTTCCCCGGAATACGACCCGCTAAATAGTTTAACAATCGGGTATACATTTTACTGTTGGGTTAAACAGAGGCTACAGTTAAGGATTGACGCCCGGTAAATTCTTCCTCGGATAGGATACGAACCCAGGTCAAAGCCCTCGCAAAACGTCAGGCGAGTGTCTTACCAGCTGCACCACGGGGACTGCCTTTTCACTCGGCTAGTTCCAACCGTCTACAACTCTGAGAAAAGAAAACTTTCTTATACTTTTGCAGCATCTTTGTTCCTTTAGCTTGAACCTTTGACCTATTGTTCTTGAAATTGGAGATTAACAAAAATTCTTGTATATTTAGTAGATTCCTGTTACTGTTTTGTACTTGATCATGTCTCCTCTTTTCCCTTTTTTTTTCTATCGTCTAGCTTTGGCATATTTAACATAGCTCTATCTATAAATCTCTATCTGTACTAGCTCTATCAATAAATCCAACATTGTTTGGAAATCAACTATGTACTTCTCCTGAATAAAAAAATTAATTTTAATTTAATCCCTAGTCTCTCCTCGTACCTCTTTATTTTTCAGTTCGGGAAGCCATTTAGTAACATGTCTTTGCACTCTTAGATACGATCACCATAAAACACCTATATATTCAAATTTTGGTCTCGCGAGTCATGAACAATTCCTTTAGTATATCACCATTCGTGTATTAAGATTCTGAAGCTGGAAAGCTGAATTTCCCCGAGGGTCACTATCACACTAGTGGCTCTATGAAGACTGGTAGTATTTCCCCTCCATTTACTCGGATGATTTTCAAGAGTTGGATCTTGAATTGCAGGAGTATTTTGGCATTAGCTGCTGCGGCGGGTAGGCTGTTCCATGGGTTTAATACCCTATGAATGAAGAAGCATCTCCTGGTTTTTTTCTTAGTGGGGTTTTTTGAACTTGAAGCTGTTGCGCCTTGTGTTACATCTGACCTTTTAAAGAAGTGGTCTGGATCATTATCCTCAAAGCTGTTTAATATTATAAAAGCTCGAGAGATCCGCCCTGTCATGTCTGGTGTGCAGTGTTGTCAGTCCTCAGGCGCTTGAAATTTCCTGGTATGCGAGTCGACTTAAGTTCTGGGATGATTTTTACTGCTCTTCGCTGTACTTTTGCCAAGGCAAAAAGCTTCTCAATAGTCTCTCTATACTTAAATACAGTAATCCAAATGCAGTCGCACCAGAGATCGAAATTGAAATAAGTTTATTGAGGTAAAATACACACAAAGGGATGAGGTAGCTCAAGCTATTCTCACCCCGTTATCAGAGATCTGTACAGTTGAATAACCACTTTTGATTTTCTTTAACGTCTAAGTTTCATTTAACTTTTTTTCTGCAGCTTCCATTTGTGCAACTTTCAGTGACTCTGACTACTACGTTTTTTCTTCTCCAATTTGCAAATTTGTCCAACCACTTGGGCTGGACGGTAGAGCGAGACGGGGGAGACGTCTCCCGTCACGCAGGGTGCAGTCGCACCTCCACAGATCTCCAGTATCAGCTAATGATACTGGTAATGGCTCCAAAGGGCCACCACTTACGGGCTATTCATGCCCGTGCTACCCTTTGGGTGGCTTAATCTCCATCAGTCAATCATCGGTAGAGCGAGGGTCTCGCTTCATGCAGGTCGGTGTTCAATCCCTGACCGTCCAAGTGGTTGGGGCACCATTCCTTTCCCACCCGTTCCATCCCAAATCCTTATCCTGACCCCTTCCAAGTGCTATATAGTCATAATGGCTTGGCGCTTTCCCTCGATAATTCCATTTCATTCTCCAATCTGCTGTATGGCAGCGTCGATTTGGTAGTTGTAATATACCGGAGCCGGTCGGCCGAGCGGACAGCACGCTGGACTGTGATCCTGTGGTCCCGGGTTCAATCCCGGGCGCCGGCGAGAAACGATGGGCAGTTTCTTTCACCCTATGCCCCTGTTACCTAGCAGTAAATAGGTACCTGGGTGTTAGTCGGCTGTCACGGGCTGTTTCCTGGGGGTGGAGGCCTGGTCGAGGACCGGGCCGCGGGGACACTAAAGCCCTGAAATCGCATCTCAAGATAACCTCAAGATAACCTTACATTGTTCAGTGTTCTCTGCTGTCCTCTGGTGACAGTTTACTCTCCAGAATCGCCCCTTCATCTTTCTTCAATATTTTCACATAATTTGTAGGCTTTATGTGGCCTATATTTTCATAGCCCACAATCCATAACATGGCATATATATTCACAGATAACTCTTATCTAAGTGTTTCTCCATACACTTTTTACCCGAGAGCCACTAACACTAGTGGCTTCGACGAGGACAGGAAGCCGGCGGCTTGTCGAAGGACCCCCCCCATTTGCCTTTGATCTTTTCCAACTGTTTGTCCAGGTCATCTTGGAGGGCATAAGTCGTCTCATATTGTCCTTAGTAGCTTAGCATCATAAGTAAGCATGTTCACATAACAAAATTCCTAGGAGCCGTGATGAGGATTTGAACTTATGAGTCTGGGTATTCCCAGGCACACGCCCCAGACCACTAGGTCACGACATGGTCAAAAGGATTGCAACCTGGGGTTCTGCTGTGGGATCCTGAGTAGGTTTATCACGGCTGGATGATTAACTATCTGTCTAGAATCCAGATTCTGATTTCCATTACTGCTCTGTTCACTTCTTGTGGATTGTTAGGGCTTTTAATTGATAAATGGTCTGTCACCAACACTAAAAGGCCATCTTTTCTATTTGTCTCGTCTCCAAATTAATTAGGCTCTTTAAAATGGCAGCTTATTTAATATATCTACAAATGGTTCCGGCAATATTCTTTTATTTATTACATCAAATAGTTTGTTTTCTTTGAATTTTCTCAATCTACGTTAGTTGAATGTTTTATCAAGAAGGTCTCCTGTCTTCCCATCATTTATCTCTTCTCATCTTTTCTCTTTTTTTCTTCTCGACTAATTGGTTAGTTTTCAATTCCCCGACTGTGAGCCCTTATCACCTTGTAAACAGTAAGGCAGTAATTGCCTGACGAACATCCAGTTCTGAACTAAGACCTGCCTCTGCTTCAAGCACATCAGGACATTCCTTCTCCAAAGTTGTTACTTTATTCCTCAAGAACTTGTTTGCATCCTTTAATTCACTGATAATTTGTTCTTGAATAGCTTGAGTTTTCTTATCCAGCAATCCTGGCAAATACCTTCCAGATGCTCGCCTCAGCTGGGCGGTCCACCACGTACACCCCATGTACGTATGTGTACACGTGCTCGTACACATACGTACATGGGTGTACTCGTCTATTTGTGCCCGCTGGATAGAGCTTAAGCTCTTGGATCCCCGCTTTCTAGCTGCTGGTTATAATACAATGACTTATTCTTTTATCATATAAACTTTTAACATTACGGGTAGAGTTCGCTTCTACAACCTACTTCATTAGTACATTTTATTTTCCTACCACTCTTACACTAATAGAAAACTTGCTAACATACCTATGACTCGTCTGATTCTCAAGTTTTTATCTATATTCTCCTTTGCGAACATCTGTTTTTACTGTCAATCCTCTTAAGTATTTTAAGTATCATTTCTTTCTCTCCTTTCCTCTAGCGACGTTAGGTCTAGTTCGTTCAGTATCTCCTCATACGCTATTCCTCTTAATTCTGGGATGATCCTAGTTGTAAACCTCTGAACCTTTTCTAGTTTTCTTGGGTGTTTTGTAAAGATAGCCGATAGGACGGCAGAGTCTTGACACTGGTCTCACTTAGGCGTTGTACAGTGGTCCAAGTTCCTTCTGAGCGATGTTCTGACTTTTACCAATGTAGGGTATGATGATGCTGCTGCTGCTATCCTCTATTTTTCCAGAGTTAGGCTCGGCATTATATCCATACCCAGGTCTTTCTCTGATAGTTACAGGAAGGTAGTTTCCCTTCATTGGTCTCCTGGCATCTGTTCTTATTTCCATCACCCTACACTTGCTTGTGTTGAACTCTAATAGCCATTTTGTGGATCAACTCTAAAACTTATTCAGGTCATCTTGGGAAATCTTGCACTTATTGCCTCTTATTAAAGTTGTATCATATGCAAACATAGGCGTATAGAATTCAACTACTATGGTTAGGTCATTAACATAAATGATAAATAGTA